CCGGATTCACCGAGGACCGTGGCTTGCATCATCGCCTGGAGGCTGCACGGTCCTCCGCTCTTCACGCTGCACCGCGGCACACACAGTACGTTGGCACTGACCCCGTAGCCGACACTTCGTATGACGGTACGAATGAGGAAGAGCCACTGGGGACAAGAAACTCTAGCCTAGCTGGTAAGCTTGGAGATCCTAAAGAACTTGAAAATGTGTGTATTGGGTTATTGTGTCTGGTGCCGAAGAACGTAGTGCCGAAGAACGAACAGGCTAGTATTTCACCCAACGCAGCATATCAATGTGTACACAGTGACTCAACTATGCATAGACCCTAGTACATAAAAATAAGAATGGCCTAGGCTACGAGGCTGACCCCCAACAGTACTGCATGGCCCAAGCCACATCTGCAGGAATACTTCCATGTACACGAGAATGCCCGGGTACGCAATTGTAGTGTTTGTCTGGATCAGTGCCCGTATGGCAGAGTACTTTCTGCTTCAACTTGTCTCCATCACGGCTGGTGACTTGTGCACGCAAGCTCTGCGATATTTCCACCCTCGTCTTTTGCTTGACTTGTTCCAGTCCCGGCACGATCTCTAAATGTTGTGTGCATGGATTTCAACTCTGTCGGAAAGCTACTTTCGAACCACATGCCTGTGTGTTGATATCTGCTTCTTGCCATGTATCTCGTTTAGGTCTCCGTGCTGAAACCTCAATAGACGATCAGCTGTTGAATCGCTTTGAGTCGGCGCTGAACAAGTTCTCTCGGTACCTCGACATGATGAAACGCCGTGGGCAGCATGCTTGATCAATTCCTATGTGCAAGTGTGCTGCTGCACAACTATTGTTATTCTTGAGCTTGATAATGGCAGAACGACTCGAAATGTGACACCTGCCAAGGAACTGAGAGCGAGCACAAACGCAGCCTTACAGTTTTGAGAGTATCATTTGTACAGGAAGCGTATCACTGCTAGTAACGGTGAGAGCGAGTTACAGAGTTGCAAGTCATCACCTGACTACTTTGATGTTTTGAGGAGAGTTTCTGTAAAACCAAAAATTAATGCTATTGTCGTAAATCAGCCGGAGTATGTTTGGAAACATTTCATGCACTGATGTGCCGGTGTGTATTGATCGACCCAGCGTGCCTACATTAGAGAGGTTAAGATGCACGTTATTTTCGACGTGACGCGAAAGTTCAGCTCGCCTTATTTGGCTCGCGCGTCGGAAAACAACGTGAGTGACCTGCAGCTCACGTCAAAATTTGAGTTTTATGCCAAGTTTGACGTGAAATTGCGCGTCACGTCAGAAATAACGTGCATCTTAACCTCTCTATTGAGTATTGTGTCACAGTGCACATGTGTGGTGTCTGGTTGGCCATTTTTGTGTGAGTGTGTGTGGGGGGGGGGGTGTTAGTGCCCTGCGCCGGTATTACTAAATACCCGGGGGGGGGGGGGTGTTAGTGCCCTGTGCCGGTATTACTAAATACTAGGGCTCAAACGGTCACGGTTTTACCCCCAACAGTTAACTGCTAAGCTAACGGTCGGTTTAACGGTTATAACCTATAAGCCACGGCAATCCTGCGGACTCTTTTTTAACCGTATATTTGACTATACTTATTCAAAAAATGTACCCTATTCACTGTAGGGCTGAAACGAATGCTCAATGAAGCGAACGAATATTCTCTTTCCGAATACGTGTGAAACGAAGAATATTCCGAATATTCTAAACCATACAATATCCATGGATACCTAGTTGTATCCATGGTAACCATAGACCATCAACTGGCGTATACCCCAATTACAGGAGGGACATTTGAAAAGGACAATGTTATCGTTTGTCTTGCTGATGACAACACATGGAAGGTGACAATCTCACCCACTTTCTGCACCATATAAACCTGTTCGATATCAAAAAGACGAGTTTCTGTACATTTACGAACATTCTTATTCTACTCTAACGAAGAATATTCTTTTTCCGATCTGCACATTTCGAATATTCGAATAATTCGAATATTCCTTTCAGCTTTTCTAAGCACTCACAGACTCCATTGCAGCCATTCACACATTATAGGGTACCTCACTTCAAACTCTCCAACTACGGTCTCTTCGCTGCATATGTTCACTTCACTTCCAAAAAAAAACAAATAATATTAGATATAAATTGAATGCACCAAATTTTCGGGCATGGCCCATCTTCAGGGTGAAAAAGAAAACCATTCAACTAAAGCCAACAAAAACTGAAACGAGTATATATGCTGTGTGGTGCGGTAGTGCTGGAAATCTTTGTATGTGTGAAGGGTAGCAGCAATGGTGAAGTGTGTTGGTAAAAAGGGAAGGAGCGAAAGAGACCAGTGGAGAGCTGTGTCTGTAAGTGTGAATATGTGTTAGTGCGATGTGAAGGGAAAGCACGAGAAGTGTGGTTCCTTTCAGCCCAATTACTATTCAGTACAACGGACACATGTATATTCTCTTGCATGCTCATTCATACATACTCTCACACGAAGAGACCAGATATGACCGAGTTGACAGCCCAGAAATTGCGTACGCGTGCGACAGCCTGGGAAAGTGCATACTTTGCAACGACCTGATACTTGAAAAATTGACTGAAAAGTTACTGCGTAACCGTTATCTTTATCGGTTAACCGTTAATTCTTCGTAACCGGTCTGGAACCGGTTAATCGGACTAACCGTTTGAGCCCTACTAAATACCCAAGCATCGCATTGTATGGCCGCAATTGATAAATCCGCCTACAGTATTGATGAAACTGAAAGTGGTGATGTGTTTCGAAGAAGCAATTAACCCTGACGAATCTGGTTGTGTGAAAACACCTCACAGTAGAAGTTCTGCAATAACGAGATCAAAGCATGCTGGCCTGTTTCCCCCAATACTTCTTCTTCTGGCATTCCAGCGCACGGACTCTACTTGTGGAGTTTGGGCACACTGCTCCAAAAGAAATTATTCTCATTTCAGTTCACCTGGATGGAATTTCATCATCCTGAGTTTGTTAGACACTCCGGGCACAGATAATAAAGCTGAGAGCAGAAGAGTACAGTATCAAGCAGGGAGTACTAAAACCGGGGCTCCCTCTCTCGGTAAATAGCCAGGATATGCTACGAATGGCCACTGACACCTGTAGTACATACAAGTCTCACATCAGATTTATTCAACTTCAACAATCAAATCGTTGGACAACAAAAACAGACAACCGTGACCTGTAAATAAAGCTTCTACATTGTAAAAAAGTGGAGGGGGGGGAGACGAAATATATCGGATGTCTAACTGGAAGTTGTAAAAGGAGGGGGGATTAAAAACATCTAAGTTAAAAAGGGACCAACTCCATGGCAATATTAAAATTTTCATTGTGCTGGCGTAGGCACCGAATGCAATGAAAACTAGAGTGTGCAAAAAGGGGGATAACTACAGCAGGAACTCTGGGCCAACAAGCAGTCTAAGAAGTGCCTTAGTAAAACTCGTAGCCTAACTAAAGATCAACACGGCATGGCAGACCAGAGAAAATATAATATAAAAAAGGTAGGCGGCAAATACGAAAACCCGAAACCAAGAACAGCTCGATAAAAATATGGATCTCAAGCGGCACCGTCAACAGGCATTGATTCTCAATCAAGTGGAGCAGAGTGAGAGAGGCAGCAATATCAACTGCCTGCCTGCTGGACAAGGAACTAGGAAACACGCGGGGGAAGATGGAGGAGCTTTATAGTAGAAGAAAATAAATAGAACGGAGTATGAAGACGCTCTCAACTTCGGGTGCGGGCAGGAGAAAGAACTGGTGGACGTGTGATTATGGGATCAGCTGGTTCGTCCTCAGTCAAAAGAGATATGGGGTTACATACAGGGGGAGAATCTGGCAAAAAGAGAAGGTACCTCACGAATCAATGTGTCACAGAGCTAGTGAAATTGCAAGGAGCGAAAGTGCACGTGTGACATACCGACGGCGGAGCTCAACTAGAGAGATGCTAACACAACGCGTAGGAAACGAAAATCCACACACACACACACACACACACACACACATACCGTGCAAACACAAACGTACAACATACAAACATGCACAAGGACATCGCAACCTGACCGCGGGCATCCCTTGGGTGCCACCCAGCTGACAGACCGTACGGGCGGACGTGCACCGAACCTCAACAGCAGTCTATCAAGCCGATATGGGAGCAAAGCAAAGGAGCAAAGGAGGTACCATGGCAACGCAACTGCCGACCACTACTACGCGTTGAAAAAGAGCAAAACAGTCTTGTGAATGTACACGCTGCCTGCCACAACTTACTGTGGCTAGCAGGCAATGCATGGAGACAACGATCCTGGCATTGGCTGAAAGGTGAAGAGCAAAGATCCATTCTTTCTTTCTGCGACGACAACGATGATCCAGCGGGTGGCGTAGCGGGGGCAGACCCAACAATAGTCCAGGTGCACGGGTGCCGCAATGTTAGCGCAGCGGCATGGGAGAGGAAGAAGGGGGGGTGTGAGCACGGGTTCGGCGGTGGTAGCAGTGTGCCCATGCATAGTGCAGATGTCCGTCTACTACAACTACACCTGCACGGCGGATCAGCATCTCACGGACCGCCGACCATCGTGCCACGGAACAAGATAACTCAAGGACGGACTTCGGATGATTGGTTTGGTGACGTAACCATTAGCTCTCGCTGGGAGGCGGGTAGACTGGCGTAGGCTGTGCCGGCGCTATAGCACGCGCCAGTCCGTAGTTGACAATTCCACGGTGGCAGAAGAAACCAATCTCCAGATAGGAGTCCAGGCGCAGCTCCACCTGAAACACAAGCCCACTGTTGATCTGTACAAGGGCGACAGCGAAAGGAAAAGAGCTACAGTGTAACTGGGCATGTACAATACTAGTACGTGAACCACTGTTGTGGGCATAGAAATCTGGTGGAATGACCGGGGCCGGCGTCGTACATGTACTTGCTTAGCGTGTACCACACCCCGTAAAACTGCAAGAATGGGCCAGCAGTGCTAACGGCTGCAAGGCCAGCGCACCGTGGCCGCTTGACTTCCCAACGGACTTCAATGTCCGCTACAGTGCATGGCATGTACCAGTATTAGATAAAACACGTACTAGTAGCAAGAGTACACAGCTGCTCCCAGACTCGGAGTGGGAAACTCGTGATTCGTGGCAGCCATAACGCGTCAGATATACGTCATTTTTCGTGGTGTAACAAGCTCTACGCAAGCATGAGAGACGCAAGGTCGACCGCGTTCAATGCAGGTTATGCACTTTTGCTAAAGTGAAACTTGCTGCAAGGAATGGGTGCTTGCACAGTTTTACAACAGGATAGCACCTCTTTTCATCCAACAAAAAAACGTTCTGTATATGGAGAACATCACACTGACATTGTGCGCACAGTCTATTCTAGCTAGCATTGGAAAACATACAAGCCTCTGTGTCGCTGTATCAAACATAAGTACAGGCAACAGCATGTTGGAAGGATCTGATTCACATAACCCCTGCAGTGCGGCTTACCGAGACCTCAACCTTCTGGTTGGGTGTGAGCAGCTGCGGTAGCTTGATGGTAAAGTCCTCCATGCCGGTGATAGAGAATGTTTCTACGCTCTGACCAAGCAGGAACTGCAGCGGCAACACCCCCATGCTGGCCAGGTTGGCGCGGTGCGCCGCGTCAAAGCTCTGCGCTATCACTGCCCCAACACCCTGTGAATACAAAAGTACAATGACATGGGCAGAGTGAGTGAGAGAGTGAGTGAGAGAGAGAGTGAGTGAGAGAGTGAGTGAGTGAGTGAGTGAGAGAGAGAGAGAGAGAGAGAGAGAGAGAGAGAGAGAGAGACAGAGTGAGTGAGAGTGAGTGTGTGAGAGAGAGAGAGAGAGAGAGAGAGGAGGGAGAGAGGGAGAGAAAGAGACGGACAGAGAGATGTGGCTGACTGTGCATACTACACACGTAATCAGTCACACCAGCGCATATCGAGTTACAGCAAACAGACCCGTAAAAGTGCTCAGCAGACTACAATACAATACAGGCTGCCCATTGCAATGATACGGCTCGGCCCAGACAGTGTACTCACCAGAGGGAGAAGGCACTTCGCTGCCCAGTCACGTGCCGATCCGCAGCCGTAGTCATGGCCGGCAAAGATGATAATGGGAATGTCAACACTGCGATAGCGATCGGCAGCATCAAACACATCAAGCTGCAAGAACACAACACAAGCAGAACACCAAGAAGAGCAAGGATATCAAGGTCTGGACTAAAGCATGTCTCAAGCTGCCTTGGCCTTAGGTTGGATCCAGCCTGTGTATACACTATGCCAGTATACAAAGCACTGCTCTCAATGAACAGTGTTGCTAGCATACAGTGACTGGCACAACCTCTACCATGCACTGCATGCAGGCAGGTTGTACACAGTAGTACTGGATCAGTAGGCTCGCGTCTTCCCTCACAAGACACAATCAGCAAAATTCATCCTTCACTACCAAGGCAGGAAGAAAGACAGAAACAATCCGGTCACTTTGCTGAGTGATGAGAATAAGATCGGGCAAAGCATCGTGCTCTTCTTTTTAGGCACAGCTCCAGCCCATCTAAATATCACACCTCTTTTCCAAGAGTGAAGAGCTTGCACGCACAATGGTCACGCTATGTTGGGTGGGTGCCGCCACACACTCTTGCATAGTATTCGTAGAACTTCACACAGCCGCCAGTAGATAAAGGTGCTACAAGTCACAACTTGAAAGGGGTGTTACGAGCCCTGGGATGCCTCACTCCGGGTGTGATTTCACCAGCAAGACTGCGTGGAGATGGTGGCACAGAGCAAGATCCCTATTACTGTAAGTCAAACGTGTAGAGGGGCCTAACATGTTGTCAAGAGAGTCTGTTAGCTTAAAAGTGACGAACTCCATACTTCAAATATTACATGCTAAGCCAATAGCTTTGCTCTGGGGAAAGAGATGTGAGAGCATGCATGGTATTCGTGGCTCTAACTTCTGTCTTACATTCCTTGTTGCACCCGCCGGCTACCATGGCTCATTGATGGTCTCCCGACATGTAATACATTCCCTTTGACTTTGTGTCACCGCCAGATCCTTTTACTTCTGGTGTCCGTTTCATGTTCATCTATCGCTCGCTTGCGCGCTGGCATGCAACTGGCGTGCTCTCATGCGTACAGTGCGTACAACGAAGAACCACGTCAGTTCCAGTTAGTTTTTAGAGTTGGCGGTGGAACAAACTTGTGTTTTTCGCTCTCCCACATTCTCTGCTTCTTCTCCAATAATTAAATGAACACTGTTCGCCAAAGAACTCGTTGTGGACGTTGTTGCGAGTGCGTGTCTGGGAGTGAGTTGGGGCGGTCGTGATTATCTAACAGAGAGCCAAGGCATTTCACTACAGTGGCAACATAGGTAGCTGCTTAGCAATAGAGACAGGGCACAGTAAATGGGAGGGATGAGGGTAGTACACATTCAAATCCCACGTCACATGGGACGTGAAAAAGAGAGAGAGAGAGAGAGAGAGAGAGAGAGAGAGAGAGAGAGAGAGAGAGAGAGAGAGAGAGAGAGAGAGGAGAGAGAGGGGAGAGAGAGAGAGGAGAGAGAGAGAGGAGAGAGAGAGAGAGAGAGAGAGAGAGAGAGAGAGAGAGAGAGAGAGAGAGAGAGAGAGAGAGAGAGAGAGAGAGAGAGAGAGAGAGAGAGAGAGAGAGAGAGAAGGAAGCAGAGCAGCAGTGGCTGCTGATCATGACAAACACTACGCCAAAAACAGCAGCACTCTCACCTCTTCTCTGGTGGGTAGATAGAATGTCTTTGGCAATGGTTTACCGGCTCTCATCATCTGATTGACGAGGTGCTTGTGTGCAAAGGCTCCCCGCAGCATTACCTCAAAGTTGCCCACGCGAGAGCCGTAGGAGTTGAATTCGCGAGGCAGCAGTCTGTGTGAGAGGACAAGAGCAGACCGGAGATACGACGAGGGTCAGCATAACGACTGGGAAGACAGTGTGCACAATGAATGCACTTGAAGTATGTTTCTCGCTTGCTTAAAAATTATTATGCGCTCAGACACTCATGTTTATAGAACCTATGTGGTGTGCTACGATATGGTCCACATGCATTATTGTCCAGCACAGACCAGGACAGTGGCTGTACTAGCATGCCCACGGCCACAATTGCAGAGAAACAAAGCCACCGCCACAGCAACAACAGCAACAACAACAACTTATGGCGATGGTGCCATCGTGAGAATAAAGAATTCAAAAAACAACATCTGTTATTGGCCACAGGACAACGTGGGAATAAAAATTTGAAACAACAACAACAATGACGGCAACAGCAATTCGAAGGGAACATTGCAAGTTAGTGCATACCCGATATAGCTGAGGTAGCGAGCAGCAGGTGAGTTACGCGATATGCTGCCCGCTGGCGATATGTGGTCGGCGGAGATGTTATCGCCGAGTATGAGCAAACACGCCGCTTTGTACATGCTGCGGAAACAGGGTGGTTGCTTGATCGACAGCTGGCCAGCCTTTTGCTAGACAGACGAAGAAAAAAAAAAAAAACAGATATCCATGACAATCTCCGCCAGGATTCCAAGAAGCAGTCAGCATTTGTATGGGGATATATCGTGTGTTTGTTGTAATTTTGTGGTCTCGAAGTTCAGAAAATTGATATTTCGTAATGTTCATGCTGCTATGTGCAACCGGTTTCCTGTCAGGATGGGCAGCGATCACCAAACACCAGAGGAGAAGAGCAAGAGCAAGATCCTGGACACTGACCTCTTTGTCCGTTAGTAGAGGCATCATCTTTATGTAGGATTGACATATATCCCAGCGGAACAGAGGCTCAGTGATTACAGGTAAACTGAACCAGCGGGTGCTTCCCTGTAAAGTCAACAGAAATACAAACACACCAGTATCTATCATACTCAACAAGAAACCAATGTGAAAGGATATTCCTGCCAGATAAAGAGAGAAAAGTGCATGCGTGACAGATGGAATGCATCCACACACACACACACACACACACACACACACACACACACACACACACACACACACACACACACACACACACACACACCACACACACACACACACACACACACACACACACACACACACACAGAGAAGAGAGACAGAGAGAGAGAGAGAGAGAGAGAGAGAGAGAGAGAGAGAGAGAGAGAGAGAGAGAGAGAGAGAGAGAGAGAGAGAGAGAGAGAGAGAGAGAGAGAGAGAGAGAGAGAGAGCGAGAGAGAGAGAGAGGAGAGAGAGAGAGAGAGAGAGAGAGAGAGAGAGAGCGAGAGAGAGAGAGAGAGAGAGCGAGAGCGAGAGAGAGAGAGAGAGAGAGAGAGAGAGAGAGAGAGAGAGAGAGAGAGAGAGAGAGAGAGAGAGAGAGAGAGAGAGAGAGAGAGAGAGAGAGAGAGAGAGAGAGAGAGAGAGAGTTACATTTATAAACACAGGTAAGTCTAACAAATGAGGACTGAGACCTGTACAAGCAGGTGCATGATTTACCAAGCAGGTTGTCGGTCTAGATTATTTGAGAGAGAGAGAGAGACAGAAAGAGAGAGACAGAAAGAGAGAGAGAGAGACAGAGAGAGGTAGATAGATAGAGCGAGAGTGCACACTTGTGTGGGTGCGCATGTGCAGGCGCAGCACCAGCACCTACCGATTGCATTCTCTGATGAACAGTCTGCACGACTGCAGGATGGACAATGTTCCTCTGCACCTCGCGCGTCTCCGCATTCTGTGGCCATAAGTCACAGAGGAAGACCGGTTTCCCCGTGTTGCCAAAGCCGATCGGCTCCTTCTCAAAGTTGATATCTGCTCGTCCAGCAAGCGCATAGGCGATGACAAGAGGGGGAGATGCAATGTATCTTGCAGTAGTCTTGCTTGCAGCCTGTAGGCAGCAGTCGTTGCCCCGGCTATTTGATAGCATACTGGCGGTTATCAACTAAAAAATGAACGACCGAGAGAAAGAAAGAGAAAGAAAGAAAACAAAGATAGACCAGGGGTTACGAAATCGCAGCAAGCTGACATCCTAAGTTCATAACAGAGAGTAATCACACTAGACACAGGAACAGCATGGAAGAATCGACATGCAGACAATTCCGTACACACTTACACTCAATCTGCACTTACAAATATGCCTGTGTTGTACCCACAGACAACAGTTTGGGTAGCATGCATAGCAGAACTTCAAACATAAAAACGCCCAGTGCAGCTCAAATATGAATCTTCCACTACAGTACAGAAGCAGTACTCTTCGCACTAACCTCTGATGCTTGCTTCGTTAGCGTCAGCCAGTCCTCAGGGAGTTCTTCCTTGATACGATGAGATGAGAAGTCCTTGCACCGGAATCTGTACAGAAAGCAATGCAAGGGAAGCGGCATGCCAACATCAAAAACCCAAAAGTGAAGCAAAACCAAAAAAATCCAGACACCTGCATATAGTTGGCTTCTGTGACAACACACAGAAACATAAAGGATATCGATACTCCCTACCTCGTATATGACACCTAGCTGTTACCTGAGAAGGAAGTCTTCGGGGGGGGGGGGGGGGGGGGGCATCCAGCTATGGGCGAACATGCAAAACAACGTACGAACGTAAACCAAAATGGGGGGGGGGGGGCTTCCATAACTCTCAACCCCTACGAACTCAGAGAGCACACATACACACTGATGCGCACACACACGCACACTAAAACAGAACTGAGAAGTGGAGCACTCACCCGGCAGATGCCAGAAACTCGAGCACTCCGGCCTCCTTCAGGTAGGTGTGCGTCAGGCCATTTCCAATGTTCACACAGGCATGGATATGCTTGGCAACGGTCAGGCCTCGGTTCACGGCATTTCGTGCAAGCAAGCCTGCCAGGGACAAAACCAGAATCACAGTGTGAGCACACACACATGTCTATGAAAATAGGAAGGAGCCATTGGAAGAAAGAGTCACGGGAAATAGGGGCCATTGGCAGCAGGGGCTCAGTGCACATGGTGCGGAGCTAGCCACACGAGGACAGGAAGGCGGGGAAAGTTGGTATCTAGCACTCTGGCTTGCACACTCATCATGCGATCATCAAACAACAACAAACAGCAGCAGCAACAGCAACAACATGCCTGTGGCAAAACTTCTTCATTCATTCATAATACCTTTATGGCAAAAAATAGTGGCAGCAAAAATTACTTTGACTATAAATGGAAAAAATTGCACACGGTGTGACACACTAGACTTGCACGCATACGACTAGCACCTACACACTTACCGGCTGTCAGCATGGTAGACGGGTGGCTGCCATTCGTGCAGTTCGTTACCGAGGCAACAAGAAGAGAGCCATGTCTGAGTTGAATGGGGCTACCCTGGTAGTCAACAGTGAAGGTCTTTTTCAGGTTGTCAACCTTGAATGCTCTTTCTCCATCCTGAATGCCAGAGAAAGAGAGAGAGAACGAAAAACAAGGTTTGTTTATCAGACAATTGACACATTGACTCGCTTTCAACAGCTGGTAGTCGTTACATCTGTAACTCATACGAACGTTTTTTCTCTGCATATTACAACAGCAAAGTCTCTGTCTGCCAGACCACCCCCGACAAACCCACTCCAATGAGAAGTTCTGAGAACTACAGCATCCCAACCAGCAACACCAGCACCACCACCAACACCAGCAGCACCACCCCAACCAGGATCAGCACCAGCACCCCAACCAGGATCAGCATCATCACCACTACACCACTGAACATCACACAAGTCCATGTGTTAGAGCTTAGGCAGATAGAGCAGGTTGCTCCACTTACAAAGGACGATAGGCATTCTCGGAAGTCGCTGGGGAACGCCGATAGTGGCGTCCGCGTACACGACGGATGAGGTCCGGATACGGTGATATTGATAGAGCTCAGGTCCAGTTCGAGGGTCTGCAGACGACAAGAACATATAACACCCCGTCGTCAGCAGTGGCAAGTATCACACATACAAAATGTGCATGCACATGCACACACATTCACACACACCTACACACATTCACACACACCTACACACACCTACACACACACACCTACACACGCCTACACACACACCTACACACACACCTACACACACCTACACACACCTACACACACCCCGCAATAAGACTAGTGTAGACTATTACAGGACACTGTTGAAGACAAATCAGAACACCCGTCACCGAGAGGATCTTTGCTGTGGGTAAGACTGCCATAGTACTGTACATGTAACAAAGCCTACACTTACCACATGTATGTTAACAAATCTAGCAATCAAGTCTCATGATGATAACGTCGTAGCATGAACATCTGAGTAGAGACAGAGTGACTTTTCCACTGTACCCAATGTGTACAAATATCTCTGGTTATGATGGAGACATAGTAAATGGCATTAGTTGTTATTATTTTGGAACTTTCGTCATGAGGATTATTATCATATACATGCAGTCAATGTTGGATTTGCCATTCCAGGGAATTAGGCCAGTAGGCAAGTACTACATGTGTGTGTGGAGTGCCATTATTACAGTTGGGTCAGGTCGGTTTCACGGGCACTCACATCGCTGAAATACATGCTCTTGTGCATGGTGTTGTTGGAGACGAGTTGAAACTTGCGCAGCACATCCTCGCTGTCTCTGAACGAACTGCCCCGGCCTGCAACACCGCACAGACAAAATAAAGCGCGAAGAAAAGATTGAAGTGGAAACAAAGCGTATCAGATGTGATGGTCCATCTTTAGATCCAGACCAATCAACAAAAATACTGAAGTGGGAAGGCGCAGTACCATGGGTGCGGGTGCTTATACACAACGATGTTATTCTTTGGAACATGATAAGTCACATATGCGAATGACATCGTGCAATGTGGTTTGTATTGAGTGGCAAACGTAAGAGCTCAACCATGTGAACTGATGATAGGCGAGCCTGGCCAGACAGGAACCACGTGCGCCATCTTATTCCCATACCACGAATAAGGAGCACTACTCTATTTTGGAGGAAAGTGCCCAATACGGGCATGATCACTCAGCATGCACAAGGACAGGCATAGATGTGCCATGATGGGTAGGAAAATACAGATCCAGGTTGGAGTCCTGGTGATGACGGTACCCTTTCAACTCCCTCAATATAGAACAACAATTTAAATATAGATCTGCCCAGTTTTATGAATCATTTTCAACATCAGCTGGTACATAGTAGGATGTGCTGTGTCAGCCAAGTGATTCCTAAAGGTGCACATCTACAGCTAAACCCGATAGGAAACAACAGCAGGCACAACGAACTCACTACCAAACTTGGCAAAGTGCTTGAGCGTGTGCTCATCCATCGGAAAGAAGGACGCCACTGCCATGTACTCGTCCGCCATGTTGGCAATGCTCATGCGATCCGCCATGCTCAGGAACTTCACAGACGGACCGTAGAACTCCACGATACAGCCAGCCAAGTTCACCTGGCTTCTCAAGTACTGAGAGACACACACAGATCAAAATACGGAAACAAAAGTAACTGGCTATTTACTGCTTTTTTTCTTCTGCTAACATACCCTACACATCGACAGAGCAAACGGCACTTGAGAACTGTACAGCACGAACAGCAGAGCACATTAACGCATACATACAGACACACACACACACACACAACACTGCCACCAGCCGCTGTCAACACGCAAGAGAGGCAGAGGAAAGTAAGAGACATGCTTGCTACCTAAAGCGGTCACACCCCTACTATCCACAAACACCTACCGACTATATCACAATACGAGCCAGGTTCAATGAAAATGCTTTCACCTGACATAAATGAGCACAGCAAGCCCACGACACCAGCACACAACCACTTCCAAGAGTTGACTAGACAGATGTAACAATTACTGCACCTCACCTTGGTGACAATTAAAACAAGATCGGTAGGAGTGGCGAGAAGAGGGGTTCACCGAAAAGCCTGCAGCCGATGACATCGGGCAGCTTGAATTGAATCGGCAAGTTCACAAACACACTCTGCTCAATGCCACTGACACCTGAGAGAGAGAGAGAGAGAGAGAGAGAAGAGAGAGAGAGAGAGAGAGAGAGAGAGAGAGAGAGAGAGAGAGAGAGAGAGAGAGAGAGAGAGAGAGAGAGAGAGAGAAGGGAGAGGGAGAGGGAGAGGGAGAGGAGAGAGGGAGAGAGGGAGGGAGAGAGGGAGGGAGGGAGGGAGGGAGGGAGAGAGAGAGAGAGAGAGAGAGAGAGAGAGAGAGAGAGAGAGAGAGAGAGAGAGAGAGAGAGAGAGAGAGAGAGAGAGAGAGAGAGAGAGAGAGAGAGAGAGAGAGAGAGAGAGAGAGAGAGAGAGAGAGAGAGAGAGAGACAGAGAGAGAGAGAGAGACAGAGAGAGAGAGAGAGAGAGAGAGAGAGAGAGAGAGAGAGAGAGAGAGAGAGAGAGAGAGAGAGAGAGAGAGAGAGAGAGAGAGAGAGAGAGAGAGAGAGAGAGAGAGAGAGCAAGCAGTGAGTAAGCAAATGAAAAGCTATGACAGTACGTTGCAATTAGCTCTACATGTAGTTACAGTACATCGCATCGTTTTGAGTGTTGTGCCTCTCTTTCTTGTTTTGGATGTGTCGAGCTCGATAGAGTTCATTTGTGGCTCGTAACTGTAACCCCCCCCCCGTTACTCAATAATTATAATGACAGCTACTGTAGCATGATTCCTGCTCCTCCCTATTATCCTATCGTCTCTCTTCTTCCTTGTCTTCTCTTGGGTTGTCGGCTAGCGCCCCCTCCCACCCCCCTCCATTTCGGCACTCATGCTACTATTGAACAGTCAATAAAAAAATAGTACGAAGTAGTGGTTGCGACTTCGCCGAAGTCGCAACCACTACTTCGTACTGTTGTGCCCAGCGCGGGCTGGCGACTAGTTGGTTTGGAGGTGACAGCGTTGCGAATGACCGAGGGTCCTCGACGTCTGTCTCACCGTCCAGGAGCGACACTGACTCACGCTGCTATCTGGTGTTCACGAGGTGTTTGTCGCGCTGGAAGCGGAGCGTCTCTGTAAGTTTGTATCCCTGGTGATGTTTGTGCCTGGAGAGCACTATATAAGTGGTGCTCTTCAGGCACAATCTTCCTCAGCCTACTCAAGCTCAACTGATGAGGGGTGAATTCCCCGAAACACTGTGTATTGAGCAGGGAGTGGTGCTTTCTTGCAGGTTTGCCGAGTCGAAGGTGCGATGGACTTCTCGTGTGCTCTGGATGGCAGTCGTGAGTCAGTCAAGTGTCAAGTAAAGTCGGCGGAATAGCGCGAGCTCCGGTGTGGGGAGCAAACCTTTCTTAATAAAAAAATAAATGCAAGTTGGTGAGATTCTGTCCATATCAGCACTTACTCCAGGCCAGCGTGCCAAAACCATTGTGCATGGCAATGTGGCTATCAATGCCCACGATGACATCGGGCACAATCGTCGAGCTGGGCTTGACGACGGTGAGTCCCGACAAGCTCTCCAACGCCGTCTGGTGAACAACACTGGAACTGGGCGGCACAACACGGACATTCGGGAAGGTCGTGGCCACCCACTTGAGGAACATGAAGCGTTCCCGGCAGCGGGCAAACTCTTCCTCGTTGCTCGGAGTGGCAGCCTCGTTATCCGGGCTCAGCGTTTGTTCTAAAAGCAAGTCGATGGGAACAGCTGGCTGGATTTTGTTCATCCACGCAGTGCCTCCCAGGTTGTGCGCAACTTGCCGGGCGGATGCCAAGTCGACCAACGATGTGAGCCCGCTGAGAACGAACAAACAGAAAAACAAATAGAAGTAGGTTTGGCAACACAGATCATTTGGGTCTGGATTTCAGTTGCCAGACGGGAATGTTTCACTCAGCCTGCATGAGTGTGCGTAAATACACATGCAGATGCTCGCTGACACACATGCACTTTTGAACTTTCGAGAATCAACACATGTGATGGCTATTGGGAAGATTTACGACGAACTCAAATATCCACAGGTCCTTTCCCCGGGCGAAAATATTACCTTTGCAAGACTTATTAATTTCGGTAACCGGACTTGTCGGCATTTCAACTTGTTATTACTTTAGAAGTAGATAGATGCAAACTCCAACACAGCTGCGCTGCGGATGTACACGGTTTTATATTTCCATGACGTACACTTCATAACCTGGTTTAACCCTTTGCGTGCGGATGACGTGTATACACGGTTTGTGCCGTGCATCGCGGTGAAAAGACCAGTGTACAAACTTTCGTTACTCTGTGAAGAGCATCCGATCTCCACAAACGACACACCGTTGGAAAGGTCATGAGCTCAGCCTTCCAGAGATATAGAGTTCTTCACGATAGGATAAAATTTGACTGAGCGGCGACAAAAGAAACACTGAAATCACGGCCTGGAGCGAGCGCGAATTTTTTTGTTCATGATCTATAATATTCCTTACTCAAAACTCGAATAAAATCACACGCCGAACACTATTATTTGTGTTTGATTACAGTCAACTTCGCATATAACGACACTCGACGGGGCATCAGAAAAGTGTCCTTATTCGCGAAGTATCCTTATACCCAAAGTCTCATTATATGTATTACAGTTAGATGGGACTTTGCTCTGGGCATGGAAATTCTGTCGTTATTCGCGAATTGACGTTATATCCGCAGTCGTTATTAGCAAAGTTGACTGTACTGCAAGCTGACTTCATAAACGACAGTGTCTCAAACTGAACATGACCGTCGTGGTAAGTGAAATCCAGGTGTGCCCAAGGCCAAGGTGATCAAAATTGGGTCTGGATTTCAGTTGCCACGACTGCAGCACACCAGGAGGTCATTTCAGCCACCTACCCTGGCCTTGGATAGACATGAGGGGAAGTCATGGGGGAGTGCGTAAGGCTTGAGTTCACGACGTTGGATACATCTGTGTGGACAGCATAGTCTGAGCGCGCTCTTCGAATGCAGGCATGGACTACTACATCATGACATATTGTAGTAGATGCACAGAGTACGGGCTGGCGAGTGGGCTCGCTTGGGTGGGTGGTAACAGTTGCACGCTTGAAACAAACTCGATTGTTTTGAAAAAGAAGCTAGTGCACGGATTTCGGCTGACGCCTTGGCTTCAATAACTATCGAGTCCAATCTCTGATGACAAATGAAGGATAAACGGCCGTATTTGGTGGAGATGTCCAAAACGGTCAAATAAACTAAATGCTTCACGTTCCACAAACACTAACCTAAAGTTTTGGAAGACGAGGCGAGTGGGACGAAATGGCACGGTGTCCACAATGCTACCATTTCTCGTTCTTGCCGGCTTTCCGCTGTAGAACGCCAAAACATTCTGGACGTCCCAAGGCCCAATGTGCTCATCCATCCCATGCACCATCGCGCAGACAAAGCTGCGGATGCAATAGGGTAGGAGCGCTGCAGCAACGACATAAACACGCACAAAAGGACCAGATTTTCCAGCATGTCAACGCCTTCCACATGTAGGGATTATCCACGGCCATAGAAACACACCATAGCGCTCGTCCCGAAGTATCTCTTCCATGTCAGCACGTTTTGAAATTGGTCCTCAACAGCATTCCCGGTGCATTGAAAAATTGAATCCACAAATCGTCATTGGAAATCCACGGACAACAAATCAGAAGCTGGGCAGTAGAAGATCAGTTGCTGGCCCTTGCAAGACACAAGGCGGCTCTGCTCGCACTCACAGCTTTGATTGAAAGCTGTCTAGCCGAAAGCAGACCTGCGAACAAGAAGCACCAAGCTAACTGACTAATTTGCTATCGTACTGCGTTGGAAAGCCAAAAGCTACACATCTACGCAAATACAGCCCCGGCCCCGGCCCCCCCCCCCCCTGCATTATGCCAAAAGTGGCAAAAATGGCAAAAAGTTAAAGACTCGTGATGTCATAGCGGTGTGAACTCTTTGTTCAAAACCCGAAAATATGCGAGCCTGCCGATAAAAATGCTGTCGGCGTGTCGGATCAACGCGATCGCCGATCATGCAGTGATGATCGCGCAGGCAGTATCAGCCGATCCGCAGATTTTTGGATAACACCAACCGGGTTATGAACTCTTGATAACACTTGTATTGCGGAGTACAAATCGTAAAACCTCAAAACCAAGGTTCGAGTCGACTACCAGGAGTTTGTAGGGGGGTAGCTTTTGAGTGGTGTACAGGAGTCGATCGAGTACGCTCGTGATCGTAGATGATGTACACCACAATTATTTCCACAAGCCACAACTCACTTCTTTCCATAGGTAAGCCGCTCAATACCAACACGATCTGTGCCAGTTTGCAATATTTGGTGATATCCTACAGACTAGAGAAGTACAGTAATAAGAATCCATCAATCAACTTTTTTACTTCCGAACAAAAAAAGCCCTTGGTGAGAATTTGGTGCTTTTTCTGGTACGTTTCATTCATGTTTGGTATGTGGATAAAAATACAGCAAAATTCAAGGAAGTGCCTGGTAAAATGTTTGTTCTGCCAATTTCACTGCCTTTTTGAACAGAATTCATCCGTTAAGAGCTAGTCGACAAGGGAATTAATCTCGTGGGAAGATTTGTAGCAAGAAACTTGGACGTTGCATCCTCTTTTCACAAGTTATATACAGGGTACATGTTGTTCAAAAGCCGCTAACATTTCATGATACATGTACCGACACTCATATTCATAATACTTGCATAAAAAAAGCAACCACTCCGTTCTCTTCTTTTACTCCAGTGCTTCCAGTTTCCCACCCAGGCATGTCTGATCGTGTTTGTGTGTGTGTGTGTGTGTGTGTGTACGTGTGTGTGTATGTGTGCGCGTGCGCGCGTGTGTGTATGGTCGTGGCAATCCCAGCACAAGTTGCTATGGCTTCTGTTGTAGCATCGCTATCACTGTCGCCTCCGGTGATGGGCGTCAAAATAGTCAAATGGTGCGTGTGTGTGTGTGTGTGTGTGTGTGTGTGTGTGTGTGTGTGTGTGTGTGTGTGTGTGTGTGAGTGTGTGTGTGTATGTGTGTGTGTGTGTGTGTGTGTGTGTGTGTGTGTGTGTGTGTGTCCCATATGGTGCAGTGGTATGTGCAGCGATTTCCAATCGATAGGTTGCGGGTTCGATTCCCGACGATTATGGTCACACACGTCTTTCTTCTCTTTCTCAGACTCTTCCTGACTTTTCTTTCATTCTCCTGGGTGGTTACCAACAGCCAGTGCATGCCGGAGTATGTGGTGTGATGTGTGTGCGGGAAAAAAGAAAAAAAAATGAAAATGAAAAGACCAAAAATAGGGATTCACTGGCCAGAAAAACCACTTCAAATAGCTGTATGGTGTAGACCAGGCTGAATAGTGACGGTCAATTCTTCAGCCTTGCAAGCTGTTGAATGGTGCAATCCCGGCACAAGTTGCTATGGCTTCTGCCGTAGCATTGCTATCATCGCCTCCGGCGATGGGCGTCAAAGGTCAAAGGTCAAAGGTGTGTGTGAGAGAGAGAGAGAGAAACTCCCAGACGCTCCCCACGACATCATCTCAAGCTCCGTGCCGAACAGCGGTGTCCACCATGGCTGCTCAGACGACTCCTCCGCCGCCGCATGTCCGGCTCGCCCTTTTCTGTTGCAAGGCCCACTGTGGGGCCTGTGGTCGGTACTGCCGCTCTACTCGTGGCTTCCAAATCCATAGCTGCCGGAGATGGCTCTCTCGTGGTGCCGATTGAACATGGGCGTCGCTCGTCGTTCCATATTGTCGGCCCGGCAAGGGGACATGTGACCATAATGGCAGTGTTTACCAGGACCAGGTGTGTGTGTGTGTGTGTGTGTGTGTGTGTGTGTGTGTGTGTGTGTGTGTGTGTGTGTGTGTGTGTGTGTGTGTGTGTGTGTGTGTGTGTGTGTGTGTGTGTGTGTGTGTGTGTGTGTGTGTGTGTGTGTGTGTGTGTGTGTGTGTGTGTGTGTGTGTGTGTGTGTGTGTGTGTGTGTGTGTGTGTGTGTGTGTGTGTGTGTGTGTGTGTGTGTGTGTGTGTTTCCTTTTGGTCTACTTCGTAGTACAAGAGCCTGAAGGGAGGCAGGCGAAAATAAAGAGGTTTTCTTCTTTTCCGGCCCGGAAGCTGGTGGGGAGAGGGGGGGGGGGTTCAGGGGTGGGGAGAGGGGGGGGGGTTCAGGGAGGGGGAGGGGGAGGGGTGCACACCTGGCCTTGGCACCGGCGCGACATCCCCATATCCTCCATTGTCCCACCTCCTTTCCTACCATATCCATTACCCGCTAGGCTAGGCAAAATCGGTGGTACACATTGGTTTTTTGCCTCCCTGCACGCGGGCACCATCGGCGACTGGCTGCTGGCGACCGGCCCGCACGAAACAGGGCGTCCTTGGCCTTACCAGCAAGCCAAGGGTCTTTTGGGGGGGGTCCGGAATGGCCTTGCCAGCAAGTCCCAGTAGGTTTCCGAATACATGTACACGTACGTGTACTTGACCTTGCCAGCTTGTCCTAGGACGGCAGGTTCCCGAAAAGCCGTAACCACTCAGTTTTTTCTGGCGGATCAGAACGTCGTCGACCAGTGTGGCAACTTAGCACAATAATGGAAAAATGGGGCCGGGAGGAGAGGGAAGGAACAATAGAAAGAGAAGAAGGAGCGTGTCAAACACCGCCTGCAGTAGCCCCCGATCTTGACGATCTGGATCAGCGGATGGCTGCATGTGTTTATGGTACAGCGCTGCAGCAAGGGGGGGGGGGGGGGTGTAGCATCTACAGCTCAAAAGGGATTAGGGATCGGGGGCGACATGCGTGACCATAGTACAAGGAGCGAATCCCGAAAGTCCCAATTTGGAAGTGCTGCGCCGACCGGGATAACAAGGAAGTAGAGCATCAGTCTACTCTACTGACAGTACTATAACCATGATAACTTTGCTCTGCATATCTGCTCGCTGGCGCCACGTGCAGACCCTACAATTGTAGGTCCATTCGGCAAGATACGTCCTCGTAGTTGTACTCATAATCGTATGCAGCTACAACTCACGGTAGCTCGCGATCGCAATCCCCGGCCATAACCTGCCCCAAACACGATCAGACTTGGATGCCATACTATTAAAACGCAACAAAAGACTACCGGTATGCTGCATCAATCCACTCTGCCCCGACTGAAACGAGCAGCATCAGTGAAGAGCGACACAAACAGTTGTGTTACGTTCCAAACGTCCGCGTCGCGTCGGTTTCCCATTCGGTTCTCTTTTAGTAGCCACCTTGTACATGTATGTCAGGTTGCATCGGCGGAGCTCAGATCGCAATGTCTATCGAAGAGCAAAGTATTTTTGAGTTTTGCATCAAAGTACATGATTGTACTAGTAGATGAGTTTGACGCTAACAGTAACCAGAAAAAAATGCTCAACAAAGCCGAGGCGAGGGAGCACCAATCTCTGGACAGCTACTGTAGTAGTCAGCTACTGTAGCTGTTTCGACAGTGTCTCGTGACTCTCGTCTCATGAGCGCCTTGAGCGGACCTCAGGCCCATGCAATGATTGCTACAACTCCCTGAAATGGAGTAATGTACAACTACAAGTACAAGCGATATGGAAGGCACCGGGTCGGGGACCCGGGGTGGTTATTCGTGGGAGATCAGGTGGCACGGCCCCGGGGGTCGTGTGAGATTGAAAGCCCACACCCACCCTGAGTGCCGTGGGTAGCTGGTGGCATGTCGATGTCAAGGTGGTTGTTGTCAGCGGCTGGCCCGCCGGACCAGGCGGGATCTCAGCTGCCTAGACCCTGTACATGTATCCCGTCTGGTGGGTCAGCCAATTGAATTTGCCACGTACGAGTATTTACGTAAACACACCATGAGTGTTTGCTGACGTCTTTCTTTGCATATGCCCGAGATCTGGGATGATCATATGAAGACGTTCAAGCCTGCTCTTTAAGCCAACCTTGACCGGAAATACGGATTACCGTGACCCCAACTGGACTGCCATCCGGATATCCGTCTGGCTGGGCCGTGGGGAGTGCAGTGACTCTATCGCGGTCCACGCTATTTGAATTTCACCGAAAACTTTCCCGAGACTCTTGAGGGCGCCTCGCTGACGATCTCCATTCTCGCCGGTGGCTGCAGAGCGCTTCGGGCTCTGTACACCGCGTTTATCGCGAACCCTGTCATCGGGTTTCCTCCGGAGATTGCCACCGTGGTGCTCCCAACCTCTGCATCCCCAGCTGCCTCGCAGTGAGGCTGAATTTCAAGCGCTGCTGGTCACATTCGATAACCGTCTTTGAGACAGAAGCAGGAGATACCAACAGCTCATCTCCCGTGTACCGCACTACATAATTATAGAACTGCATGCCCCGCCGTCTGATACTTTTCTTCGGCTGCAGCCCCACTTTAGGTGGCATCTTTATCTCCACGCACCATGTAGTAGTAGTATTCTTTCATTTTCCATCCGGGAAGCCTCTACAGTGATCGGAACACAACACTTTTAAAGAGGGCCCATAACCATGATAACAGAGTAGAGGGGTGTGTGGGTTGAGAACAATAAATAAATTAATACTATGCATGTAATAAACTAAGTGTAGACTTATCACCGTGCCAGCACCAGCAACGTTCTCACTCTTTAGGGAGCCGGGGCGTTCGATAATAACATGTGTTGGTTAGTTACATGCATGTACAGGTATACAGTATGGTGTGATCCGCGCTTCTTCATTGGTACCTGCTGCTATTTCCTACCCTAGCTAGGACTACATGTAGGTGTGAACTTGAGAATCTTCTTTTTTGGCTTGGCCCTCCATCTCCATCCGAGTCCATTCCTCTTCTTTATTTGCTTACGGCTTTGATCGTTCAAGTGATGCTTTGAGCCCGGCGATAGATCATAGAAGTGCTTTGTCGTTCATTGGACTTCATCAAGTGATGTGATCAGTTCAGCCAGTAGCTCCGCTGACGAGATCTCACAAGATCCTAAACAGCTACAGCTGTCGGAGATTGAGTAATGTTATTTTGACTTTATTGGTTGTTTTGGTAATAACAATGATTGTGACTGATGATTTCCGACCAAGAGTACATTATCATGGTTACCGGTATGTAGGCTTGTTGTGACGAAGCTTCAAACGTTCGTCATGATGCCATGGAGAGGCGTATCTAAATCCTTTCTTCAAACGGCTAGGCCCTTCCTGAAGAGTTTTAAAAGTGATTGCATTTGTCTTGGAGGGTCACACCCCGCTCTCTTGCCTCTTGGAGGAGAGTCGATCGAGTTGATGAAGAAACAAACGGTAGTTTCGAAGAGAACGTTTTACCACCAACATTCGGCAACACACAGAACAGTTGCTGCGAACATTAAAGGGGAACTCCACGAAAAAATGAAACTTTGATAGCCTGTAGAGTTCCGGGCGCTGAGTCGAATGGTCTTGGTCCGAAGCCTCTAGGACGAAGCGTTCTTGAGATATTTCACTTTGAAATTGCAAAAACGGGGGCCGCGCCCTGACGTCATGCGGCCATTTGGTTACATCATCACGGGCTGCCTACGTCATTGTGGCAAAGTCGTTTCTCATCGCCAATCTACAAGCACTAATTTTAGTTGGTATTTCAAGGGAAGATGGGCGATTCCGAACAATCCTCTGTCCCCAGCAATGAAGGCAGCGATGCTGAGGCCAGTGAGGACGACCAACAGCCCACCGCCGCGTATGGTTGGGGCAGGGAGCCCAGATACTCTGCTGAGGAGCTGCCATCGCGTGTAACAAATGTTGAGGAAGAAGATGCTTCAGCAGCTGCGTCCGACAGAAGACGAGTAGCTTGGCCACCAGAATCTCGATTCGTTTGGGACTCCGACTGGTGCGAGCGTGAACAAAAGTGTATAGCCATGCCCAGCCTGCGGGAATGATTTTGCTGGTAGGATGCTGCCGTCGTTGTCGACAAGACGGCCCAAGGTTTCTTGCGTAGCGGACCTCGCAGATTACGAGATCGTATCCTTGCATTAGGCTGTGCCCATCACTGCTCTTCGAGGTTATCTCGACATGTAGAAGCCGCCAATGCCAGTGACAGAAGAGTCTGACATTAGGTAAGCCTCAATTAGTTTGCCTTGACTTGTCTTGTGAGGAGCGCGTATCAGCATGATACACTTATTCTTATTTTTTTGGGGAAATTTATTGTTGTCAGGCGCACTACAGCAGGCGTCGCACAAGAAAGACATTGTACTGGTAGTTATCACAAGTTCCATGCATGACACAAACAAATTTCTCTTTGCTCCGAGTATGTCTTGACTTATCTTGTGAGGATCGATGCGCGTAATGTTTTGTGTGTAACTTATTGTTGTCAGGCATAGCACGAACAACGTAACTATGGTGCTATCACAAGTTTTCATGCATGACTCACATTTGTCTTTGTCATTTTCCCTTGGATTGGTACGAGATCTACAAAGTATGGTAGGTAGTGTTCTGTTGGTGAAGAGGGCACTGCACACAGTTTATGAGCACCATGGGTGCATTTGATCACACCTGAACCCATACTTTATCGTTTCAAGCGATAGACTTTGTCAATAAACTCGTTTTCTAGTATACCATGGCATGCAACGTACAAGCGTGGGGTCAAGAAAGTGTACACCAAAATAATGCACAAATTCTGGCAGGAGAGTAAGAAATCTGTACTTTCTGACCAAGACATCTCTGTACTAGTAGGTAATCGAACGCGTCCTAATCAGTATTCATCCCCCAGATCATTGGAATTCAATTTGAAATCAGCAATTATGGTAAATTCTACAAGACCCTCCATCTTTGTACCAGTGGACACTAAATTAGTATGGCGCGCGCACTGAAAGAGCAGGTAGGTACCGGTAGGTGCAATACAGCGCATATGTAGAGTAAATGAGTATTTGACTATAATAATTATTACGGTACAGCAATGTGGTATGTGTACAAGCACGAAGCACTCATCATACACATTCCATATGACATTCTGTGTTTGTGTAGATCTCTACGCTATGCGGCACACAGGCAGTACACACTATGTACACGGCAAATTGGGCAAGCACGTTCGTTGTCGTCTTCCAGCCTGCGTTGTGAATACCATCAGGCAAAGATATCCAAATTCTGCACCACCTCAGCCTTCTCAGGAGGCTTCCACCTGGAATTTGGCAGGGAAACTCGCTTCTCCAAGGCAGGAACATCGAGGTTGCCATTTGCAACCGCTACCACCTCACACATGAGCTTGTCAACATACTCATAGCTCTTTCTGTCGTATAATTTCTATTTGGCCAGTCTTCTTTAGGGGCCGTCCAAGGTTACCAATAATATTTTCAAAACGAAATGTTTTCGTTTGTGGGTGGGTGGGTTTGGTCTTTTTGGTTGTGCTGTGGCGACGGTTGACATTGACGTCGTCAAGAGCTGCGAGATGTGCGTGTCCAATCATCCCCAGAATTGAGAAACGAATGCGTTTGAGAATGTAGTTTGGCAGGACACTGTGATATACCTGCATGGCAAAAAGAATGTGGAGAAAACACACTTGCTTAGACAATATACTGCTGTATGAGAAAATGGAAACTTCACCGTACAGGATGACTCTTGTTCTCAATTGCATTGTTCGTTTCATTCCCTGTGTTGCCCATAAGAGACGGGAGCAAAAATGTTCAGCAGATGTTTGTTGTCTTCTGGTGTGGAGTGGCGGCATCATTAGATGTACACATAGTCATTTCACTAAGTACACCACTACTACAGCATATGTACTATCCTTAGGCTAGCGTGCGTGGGAGTGAGTTTGAGTATGTGGGTGCGTATGTGTGTGTGTTGTTGTGTGTGTGTGCACGCACACGCAAGCGCGCATGTGGGTGAAGGTGTGAGTGCATGTGTATAATATGTGTAGTTCCCACTGTATTCCTTGCACAATAGGTCTTCACTTACTTTTCTTTCGCACACAACCAGAACCCACTCCTTGTTCGAAATTGGATTTTTTGGCCTGGTGATCCCGCAAGCGTGGAACTCGGAGTGTAATAATTTTTTGTTTCACTTTGCTTGCACTATTCCTAGGCTGTCCAGACTTCTAACAACTGCTCTGAGTGATACGGTATTCATGCAACCATGCCTAGAAGTAGGGTAGCTGTTATAAATAGAGACATATCCACGCAATCAACTTACACTGGTTCAGTTTGGCAGGATTGGTGAGACAGTTCGTCGTGCATGCTGCCTGCACATCGCAAGCAAACAGTTCTGTAACCTTCGTACTTGCTGGGGGTCTGTCTGTTTGCGTCCCAGTTGATGACAGATGTGCACAGTTTGAGTACTGGTATGCGCAAAGTTACTGGGGTAATATCGTTCATCAGCTAGCTGCAGTCGGAGTTGATGGGGTGATGTACTCTTCTGATCCTGATGGGACGTATCTCGCCCTGCTTTCTCAGTTGCAGCTTGTTGAGTTCGCTTTGCTGGAGGCTCACGGTTCGGAGGGCACTGGTACACTGATGAGGGCTTTCCTGGACGGCGTACTCGTCAAAACTCAGCTCTCAAGTCCCTCTGGATCATAAATGCAGCGAGCAAACATAGCTCGTGCTGCGAAAATAGGCTTGAAATTTTCACGACGCATTGCAACATCTCGGCGCTTTGCCAGGTCTCCATCCTTTGGGAATCTGAGAAAACTAACCCCAGGAGGATGATGTGATACTGGCACAATCAACAACACAACAATTTGGCATTGCAGCGGCTCAGGCGACTTGGCAAACTACTTTCTGAAGTGACTTTCGTCCTGAAGAAAGTGAGATTCAAAATCCAAGTATTTTCGCACCATGCCACAATGACGTCACACATACATTGGTATGGGGCGTGGCTAAAATTGAAATAATTATCTCAAGAACGCTTTCTCGTAGAGACTTCGGACCAAGACCATTCGACTCAGCGCCCGAAACTCTACAGGCTATCAAATTTTCATTTTTTCGTGGAGTTCCCCTTTAATTATCCACTGCCTAGCGCCTACCATGCGGCTCTACAAAGGCCTTATTAGGCTTGTGGGGATTGTTTATTCAAAATTTAAATAATAATAATTGTAGTACATGTACCAGACATTCGATGAGGCATGCATGATGTGGGGCCATTCAATTCACTGAGTCTGTTGGGTACATGTTCAGGAATGCCGCAAGAAAAGCCCCACGTGTACCCCGTCGAACTCATGGTGAACTACATGCACGTGACATAAACCACAGGCAAAAAAGCTTTTGACAGTTTTGCTGAAGATGTGGCCGGGAGAACCGGAGATTTCTACACTTCTCCGCTACAAAACTCGCACCGAAATTCAAATTCCTCGGCAGCACTTGCGGATCATACACGTCGACGAAGCGAGCTCGATCGAACAGTCAGCCGAAAACTGTCGTTGCGAACATTTTTGTGTTGAAAACTGGTAGTGGACTCATTCGGGTCGTTTCGTTGGCTTCACCCCAAAGGTTTACTTCACCGCAATCGCCGGGGCGGTGTTGAAGCTGTCCTAACTAATTACTTCTCCCAGGCTACTTTATCACTTAGCTTGTAATAAATGGATGCTAGGTCTACTTTGGATTCATAGAGTAGGGAGGAAAAGATCCAGAGCCGACCATGGCCCTGGATCTTTACGCGAAGGTGAGTGCCGGTTGGAATCCAGCCAGTAATCGTGTCAATGAAGGCATAGAGTGTAAACGGCGAGTGATTGCTTTCTCTCTACTCGACATTCCCTGAAACAGGGGGCGAGAGTCTGGATTCGCCATCCAGATATTGTGTGGGAAGAAGCAGAAATCGTCGAACGCTCTGACGACAAGTTGGTCGTCAAGCCCGTCGAGGAAGATGAAGGGGCTGAGGTGAGAGCCGAGCCCTGTCCGTCTGGTTGGCCGAACACATTGTATTGAAATTGAAGAAGTTACATTTTCTTGCACGGTTACTCATTTTAGGAGCAGACCATTGTCATCAAGACGAAAGAAGACTTTCCACCGCTGAAGAACCCTGATATTCTGATTGGAGAGAATGATTTGACTTCACTCAGTTATCTTCACGAACCGGCCGGTGAGTAGCTTCTCCTGAGTTGCCGACTGTGTCTTTTGACTTGTTCCAGTGTTGTTTTCGGGTGCCTGCATTTTTCGTGCCCTGTCCTCTCAGTGTCAGAGAGTTGAGCTTGCGAGGCTTCTGGTTCAGCCGAGCTTCCTGAATCGTGGATCATTTCAGAGGCCCAAAATGGCACATGCATACATGTACGAGGGAAACCCCAAGGTGGTTCACCAGCTCTGGTTCTTACACATTTTAGTACTCGGCAGTCCGAGGCTTGTGAACGCTTTGCGGCTGCCCACGCCTATGAATCACGAGCGCTGCTTTGAATTTGATTAATTGCTGTTGGACGTGCAGATCAATGTTACGTGGCTCGTTCGATATTCGCCTGTTCACGTTTTGTTCATTGTTTTCATCTGTCTCTTTGAATCTAGTGCTACATAACCTGGACGTCCGTTTCGTTCAACAGAATGCCATCTACACGTACTGTGGTGAGTGCAGCGTACATCTACCATGATCTACAGACTGCATGCACCCTGTGCTGTGGATTTCTGCATGGAGCTGGCACGTGTTCAAGCAGCAAGCCTGTGTGTGCTGTCGTGTTTGTTTCGGGCTGGGTGACGGGAGCTAGCATGGCTGCGTGTGCGCGCGCTGTGTGCTGTGTGCGTGTGTGGACTGACAGTGACACCCAGATAGTGCATGCATTGCCAGCGACTGGGTGGCGTGTACACACATTGTGTTCCTTCCGTGCTATGGGTATTGAATAGACTGTCTGATTTGCTGGCCTGGGATTGTGCGGGCCGTTGCACGGTATTGCATGGCGTTCACAAGTACATCAACGTTGTATGAGGCGCCATCAACTGAACACACATTATGAGTATCCAAATGGCTTGCACAAGATAACAACATGATAGCGTGCAATTGCAGCACACCGGAAGTCTTTCATTCAAGTAGTCCACAGGAAGTCTTTCAGGGGCTGAATTTACTGATGACATACAGATATAGTCAAGTAACATTGTGAGCATTTTCCCTCACCGTCCCAGCCATGGGTCAGATGTGATACCTCTGTTTAGAAACAGGCACTGACATGCAGTGGACACCGTCGATGTGTAATCTTAACCGACACACTCACCTCTCCTCTCTCTCCGTCTCTCTCTCCGTCTCTCTCTTCGTCTCTCTCTTCGTCTCTCTCTCCGTCTCTCATTTCGTCTCTCTCTCTCTCTCTCTCTCTCTCTCTCTTTCTCTCTCCCTCCATCTCCCTCTCTCCCTTCGTCTCTCTCTCTCTCTCTCTCTATCTATCTATCTCTATCTCTCTCCCTATTTTTTTGCTTTCTCAGGAATCGTGCTGGTTGCTATCAATCCCTACGCAAGACTTCCTATTTATGGAAGTGATGTCATTCAGGTGTGTATGTGTGTTAGTGGTTTGCCGAATTTGTACCTGTCATGTGCCGGCAGAGCACTGTACCACCTTGACGCCTTTATGGTGATGTTTTGGAGGCTGGGTTGGATGATTAAATCTTGCATCCAGGTCATTGGACACACCATGCATGCAATAGTGACATTGCGCTCTGTACAGTCAATCTGTACCCATACAGCATAGCGGCATCAGGGCGGAAACGAGCATCACACTTACACACCGGTGGTCTGGTGCAGGGGCAACAGCCTTACACTCCAGTTCACCATACTTACTCCCCTTCAACCCGGGGTCAAAAAAGAAAAACGAGAGAGCTTGGAAGCTCAGGGCCCTACGCTATGCTTTTTTGCCTTGATGACCTAGACAAAAAAGCATAGAGATGTTATAAATTCTTATAAGTTTCTACTTTTTGTTTTTAGACATAACCTGGGATTCGAACCCGCACTATAGCCCTGCATGCATCCCCCGATACACTTCGCATACAGTAGAACCTGTAACTAACGACCACCGTGACTAGCGACCGGCCTGGTACTACCGACCACTTTGTCAGGCACGGACGGTCTCACATTCAAAATGCACTGTGACTAGCGACTACCTGCTGAACGCGACCAGCGACCGCCTTTTCTTGTCCCAATGTCGAATTTTGACCCGTAACTAGCGACCGCGATGTAGCAAATCAAACATTGCTTGAAGCTCCTTCTCGAAATTTTGATGATTTTCCATGGTCGTTTCGATACTATAGCTGGACAAATGAGCGCAGTCTCATTTTTACTGTGGAATCAGTGTGGATTGCACTACACCTGTCATAATTTCAAGTGCTGTCAAGAACAAACATGATAGGAAACGTCTTGGAGAACGCATCCAAAGCGCTCTTTGATCGATGTTACTACTCGAAGGAGAAACTAAGACTGAGCGGCTCTCTGTCGAAGTGCAATCACACAGCTCAGTCACCAGACTCACCACTACACCAGGTCACACTGACAGTCTGTGCTGGCTAGCTAGCATGCTACCAGTACCAGGCAGGGAGTCCCGACTCCCTGCATGCTACGGTATTATGTACTCACCTGTACGGAACACAGACCAGTGAAAGGTGCGAAAACTCGCAACATCGCCGCATCATGTACCGGTACACACCAGTACAGTTTACGCTACACTACATCCAGTGAGTCGACATATCGCTTCCAGTGTATAAAAAACTTGATTTTCTCTCTCTCCAAGTGTTGTATGATCTGAAAGAAGAATGTCAGTGCGCAAGTGGTGGGGGATTGTATTATCTGCATTTTGACATACATAATATAATGGGATCCATATATGGTCGCGCGGTGCAAACCTCTAACTAAAGACCACCTGCCACTAACGACCACTTTTCCGGGCACCAAGGGGTGGTCGTTAGTTACAGGTTTTACTGTACATACTAATTCTTCCAAGTTGCTTCACGTTATGATCTTGTATTTGAAAGCCCTATTTGAATATGCATTGTGGCCAGCCGTCTTTGAATGTACGGTACGGGACAGGTACGGTCGAGGGTAATACGACACCGTCTACCGCCTTGATGACGGCAAAAGAAAAGGGATATTATAAATTTTTCAATTCTCCTATTTTTTCAGGCATTACCTGGGATTCGAATCCGCACTATCGCCCCACATGCATTCTCCCATACACTTCGCATTCATACTCATTCTTCCAAGTTGCTTCACGTTATGATCTTGCGTTTGAAAGCCCTATTTGAATATTGCGGCCAGCTGTATGTGGCCAGCTAGCTGTGTTTGATGGTACGGTACGGTACGGGACAGATACGGGATAGCGCCAGGCGTGACACAAACACACAAACAAACAAGCACCAAATTAAAGCTGTGTGGACCCTGGCTAGCGCCAGACGTTACTAAAGTCACATCTTCTGCATAGCTACGGGAATTAATGATCTCTGTCCCACCTAGTCATGCACTCTTCCTCTCCCTAGGTGTAAGTTGAGGTACGGTCTATCTCGTGTTGCTTTGCGGTGTATCTTGTGCACCAGTGGAACACTTTGTTTCAAGTTCTATCTCCTAACAGGGAGCCCCTTAGGATGGGTCTAGCTACACAAGGCTGTCAACGATACTTTGGATTATGTAAACTCGGCTGTTGTCACAGTTGTGTGGAGTCAGTCCTGGCTGGAGTAAACATCCTATATGTTGTATTCCGTACCCCCAATATTTAGTCACCGTCCGATACGACTTATTGCGGAGGATTGAGAATAGCTAATTGCCTCCTCATACGTCCTATTCTGTCGTGCGGTGGGTTGACGACCTGTCTTCGTGTTTCTCTGCATGCTGCGTAGGTGTACAATGGACAAAATATTACAGGCGTGGACCCTCACATCTATGCTGTTGCTGAGCAGGCATACCGGCAAATGGCCAGGTAAGCTGTTGAACGGTTGAATTTTTTTGCATTTCAGATCGAAATATTGAATTCTTTGATGTATGTACTCCACTGTGAACAGTTACTAGTATGTCTTTCTAGTGATCATCCGCGGCTGTCATCGTTTCTTACTTCTTGAGCCGCATCCGCAGAAGTATTTTGCCATGAGACGAGCGACACAATGTGATATGTGTCCCCCCAAATCGATGCAAACTCGCGAAGCATGATTAACAGAGAGGGTCTGTGATGCATGTTCTGCAAAATTATTAATGAAACTTCGTTGCAACCTCCGTACTTTCTGCACTTTCGCAGTTCTGAAGACTAAAGTGGCCTGGAGCAGGACATACACTTCCGCCCAACTAAACTCCAGGAATGTAGATCGATTACACCATATGTTCACGAATGTCGGCGAAACAAATTTTCGTTCGAGCGTTTATGAGAAATTCAATTTACTGCACCTCTCCAATATTACTTGATGCTTTTCTCGGTACGCCGCTCGGGGCTGTATGGCTTCTTGAACTGCACGTAGCTAGGTTGCAACTGGTTGCCACTCTTTCCCGTAACGTACAACTTTTTGGTTTTTCCCATTTTTGAGGCCGTTTCAGAATCCTTTGAATCCCTGATTAGTGTTACTCTTGCGGTGGTGCTAGTGGGACCTCCTAGTGTCCTTGTTTTGAATTACGTTGGATAGAGTTACTAGTTTCTTGCGAAAGAAAAGAGACAGTAATATGCATCCTTTATCGCGTTTGGCCATCTCTGCGACTCAAACTGTATATCCTTCATCGCTGCTAAATCACCCCCCCCCCCCCCCCTCTCTCTCTCACCTGTTTGCCTTCTGCCATATTTCTGTTCTTGCCATCTGTCTGTCCTCTGCCACTGTCACCTCTGCCATCAGAAATTTCGCTGTGCCAATCACGGACCATCCGAGACACATGAGGTACCAAGGCCACTGCCATGCATGTCACTCACCGACCGCTTTTGTCTTGTGTTGATGTGAACCTGATTATACTGCCGGTACATTTGAGTTTAAAAAAAAATAGAGTGAGTATGTGTTTGGCCCGCCTAGTAGTCCCTGATCTAGAAGGATGCATTCTGTTGCTTTTGAAAGAACTTCTTGGGCAATTGTTCGGGGCCGATTTCAATTTTGCTTTTGTGGGTGTGGAGAAATGAGTTGTTTTCATGTGAGTACAAGACCGAACCTGAATTGGGTCAACCCATGCCCCCTCACCAAGAATGGAGTTTGACACTATATTCCAATGTGTTTTCTCCTGCTGTCCGCACGCAGAGACAAGCTTAACCAGTCCGTCATCATTAGCGGTGAGTCCGGTGCTGGTAAGACTGTGTCGGCCAAGTTTGCCATGAGATACTTTGCCACGGTCGGCGGAGCTGAGGGTGACACGCGCATTGAGGACAAAGTGCTTGCCTCCAATCCTGTCATGGAAGTAAGTCTTTGCGTCTTTGCTGCTTCTTTCTGAAGCTCTTGCTCCAAGCATGGTTGCATTGCAATCCGGAGTAACTGAGCTTCGTGGAATTGTTTCAAGTGCTATTATGCTGCAGTATTCAGACCGATTGTGGCATTGGCGTTTAGTGTTCCAACTTTCCAACTGTCTGCATTGATCTATGGACCCTCCTGTGTGTTTTGTACTCATGCTTGTGTTTGTGCTGTGCTACATGCGTGTGTGTGTGTGTTTCCGTGCCCTTTTCTGCATCTCCTCCTCCAACCAGGCTCTTGGAAATGCCAAGACAACCAGGAACGACAACAGTAGTCGTTTTGGAAAATACATTGAGCTGAGCTTCGACAAGAAGAACTGCATCATGGGCGCCAACATGCGCACGTACCTGCTGGAGAAGACGCGTGTTGTCTTCCAGGCCGAGGAGGAGCGTAACTATCACGTGTTCTATCAGCTGTGCGCCATGCGTGACGATCCCGACATGGAGGAACTGAAGCTGCGTGAGTGCACTCGTTGAAAAATACGTTGGGTCAGGTTAAGTTAATCTGAGTAGTGTGCCATGGTCCTTGGTGTGGGAACACGAGACCTCCTAACGACGAGTGTGCTGTAGGGAAGTAAATTCCAGTGTACCGGGAAGAAGAAGTGCCTTTTTTGCTTCAGTGACACTCCACCACATCACAATCCGGGGTCTAATGCAGATCTCAATGCATAGGTAGAGATGGGTCAGATCCGCCAGCCATAGGCCAAAATACTGAACTTCCACGTGCTGCATCCATGCTAGTGAAGGCATGGCATCTATTAGGCCTAGTACTATAAAAGCAGAAATTTTCGGCTGTGTTTTATTTTCGGTAACTTTGGAGCCGCCAATTTTCACCGAAAATAAAACGCACCGAAAGTGTCGGTACTACCGGTACTGTATACATTTAGAACTAGTACACGTACCTGAAAAACGGGTTTTACCGAAAATTTCCCTCCAGCGAACCGCCGATTTTGGAGAATACCGAAAATATTACACCACTGAAAATTTCTGCTTTTACGGTAATTATAAACACCAGTGAGTGGTCCAAAATGTCCAGCTGCCCTGCTCCCAGTACAGCACTGTCGGGTGCTGAAGAACGATGCACCGAAGAACAGGCAGGGTAGAATTTTACCAGGTGCAGGGCACCCTTATGTACACGGTGGCTCAGCTGCATAATAGTAAACAGTTCTGCATGAAACATAAGAACAGCCTAGGCTACGACTCTGAACCCCCAGTTCTTGGGTACCAGATAGTGTTGTAGTAATATCAACTGGCCTTTGAAGCGAAACTATTTGAGGTTTTCTTTGCTTCGCACGGTCTGCACGGTCTTCAGCTTATGCTTGAAACTCATCTTATTCTATTTCTTTCTGCTTCTAGTATCATGCGAAGAGTTCATCTATACAAGCGGAGGTGAATGCCCAGTAGTCGACAGCATCGACGACAAAGAAGAGTTCAAAGCCATGCTGAACGCGTTCGGGATTGTCGGCGTGAAGCCGGACGTGCAGCGTGTCATTCTGCGCATCCTTGCCGCCGTTCTGCACATGGGTAACATCCAGTACAAGGCGAAGTCTCGCAGCAGCGAGGACGCTGTCATCCCGGTGAGTGTGACCTGCTACTGTTAGCAACCGGCCTGGTTTTCGGGGCTGAATGCGTTCGTCTCCCTGCCAATAGATAAGCAGATTTGGGGATTCGTTTGGGAATGGGGGGGGGATGTAGTAATACCTCATCATTGAGATAATGGATGTGCGGGTGTGTGCATGACCTTGCTGGCAGTCATTGCAACAACGTTGCCAAGTTCTGTTACACATGATCTATGCACTGATGCTATATGCCCAATGCCGTAGACAGCTAACTGTTTCGGCTAATGCTATAAAATTATGTGTATGATTTATATCATGCCTTTGCTGGTCTAAGTCGACACTTGTTCTCTCTGGGTTTCTGTCTTGTTTGTCAGGCGGATGATCCTCATTTCCCCATGGTGGCGTCTTTGCTGGGCGTGGACAAGAACCAGCTGCAGAAGTGGCTGTGCAATCGCAAGATCCAAACCGGCCGCGAAGTCATGGTCTCACCGCTCACAATGACTGCGGTACGCAATGCACTGCATCATCTCTGGTGGTGTTTGATGCCACCCATGGTCACCACGTTTGTGCATGGCTGGTTCTTTTTATCCTCGATTCACAAGTTGTCTGTTTGTCTTTCAACATTGTACTAGGAAAGTGTTTCAACTTGTCAGCTCAAGTACTTTCTTATGAAATGAAGATGCAAGAGTCTCTCCTTGACTTTGTATTTTTCTGATTTTTCATTCTAAGGAGAGGTGGGGAACCGAAGCTTGAGCAATGAGTTGAACAGAACTAAATAATTTGGAGGTGGAGTAGAATCAAGTGTGCGAGCAGCTGTCCGTGTTGCGAATGGGCTCGGCACCCGTACACATCTTTGTCATCCCTCTGTCCGTTCTACATGCCCTCTCTTCATGGCTGTGTTTGTCACTGCAGGCCGCACAAGCGCGAGATGCCTTAGCTAAGCACACTTACTCGCAACTGTTCAGCTGGGTCGTGGCCGTCGTCAATCGCGTCCTGTCCGCGAGCAAGCACTACACTTCCTTCATCGGCGTCTTGGATATCTATGGGTAAGAGTGCACTCTGGCACGCTCATGTGTGCCAGTGTGTGCGTGCGTGTGTGCGTGCGTACATGCATACACGTGTGTACGTGTGTGAGTGCTCAGCATAGCAACAGGGAGCTCACTGCAGCACTGCAATGGACTTATTTCCCAATGGAACCGCAGGGTGTCCATGCGCACTGTTATCACTGTTTTGGATTTTTCCCTGGCTGCGGAAGTGGATTCATTAACTTGTGAGCTGCATTGTCTTCTCCCTACCTAAACCCTGTGTGTGCATGTCTTCATTGTACGCTTGCAGTTTCGAGATCTTCAAGAAGAACTCATTCGAGCAGTTCTGCATCAACTTCGCGAACGAAATGTTGCAGCAACAGTTCACGCAGCACGTCTTCAAGCTGGAACAGGAAGAGTACATCTCCGAACAGATCCAGTGGTCGATGATCGACTATGCCGACAATGCACCGTGCATCGAGCTCATCTCTCACCAGAAGTCTGGCATTATAGCCATGTTGGACGAAGAGTGCAAGGTAGGGGCGGGACTGCCGTAGAAGTATCACTTCGTTGTATCATGCAACATTTAACAGTGTCTGTAACTGCTGTTACTTTCATAAGATGTAACAGCATTGGCAGGTGCGGTAAAGTCGAGTGCTAAGGCAAAAGGCTACATGAGTAATACATGTCCAAGTCAACAGAATTTGTGGGTTTGGCAGCGTGGTACTGAATCCACGTCGTGTTGCTAGGCCCTTGGAGGTCTCTGTATCTCCCCAGGCCCAGTCTGTAATGCGCTTTCCGTACGTTGTCTTGTACTGCACAGTACAGTCCTAGCGCGCACCATGCTCATTGCTGGTACTCATTCTCTTTTCTGCTCTTCTCTTTATAGCTGCCGCGAGGTTCGGACGACAACTGGGGCGAGAAGCTTATCAAGGCGCACACAGGGTGCCCGTTTTTCAAGAAGCCTAAGATCGGACGAGAGACGTTCTTCGTGGTTCACTTTGCTGCTCCTGTCGAGTACACGACCAACGGGTTCATGGACAAGAACAAGGACGCCATGAACGAGGAGCATTTGCATTTGCTCAGAGCTAGTGAGGTTAGTACAGGATTTAACTTGACTTCCAGGTTAGTTTAGACCATACACAACATACAGTGTATAGCTACTACTGCCTTTTGATATGAATAATGGAAACTTTACTCGGTCTTTGACCACTTGGTGGTGGGTCTGATCTACTCACCTCCCACCGTTTAGGCGCTGCATCTGCGCCTTTGATCCTAGAGGGTGGTGGCGTTCCCACGGCGGATGCGGAAAACTCGGCTTCCAGCCGAGTCTCACGCGAACCGTGACATTTATTTATTTATTTTTATTTTTCTTCGAAGTCTGTGATGACCTGACCAGCCGGACTGATTCCGGCGGGCCTGGTAACATAGTAGTTTATAGACTGCTAACTTAAAGCACATTGTGCATCACCTGATAAACTACTTGAAGGAAGATCAGGGCTTCCAAGATCCAACCATGATCAGGGCTTCTGGAATACACGGGGTGAAAATGACATCAACGTTTCCAGGTGAGCAATAATGGACTCCCAGAACAGAATCTAGGCGGGCGAGAGTGATTGCTCTTCTCAAAGCACATGGTCTGAATCATTCATACCACTGGTATTCTAATTTTATAGTTGATGTCATCGTAATAATTAGTATGCTATTTGCCGACTTCTTTTGTTCTACAGTATGCACTGGTAGCTGAGCTCTTTGAGGAGAAGAAGGAGGCCGCTGAGCCAGCCGCGCCGGCCACAAGGAGCAGAAAGGCCAGCTCAGCTTCATCCGCGATATCCAGAAGCAAGTCCGTTCGAGGTGGTCCCGGGGGTGGCGGCGGGGGCAAGAGTCGCAGTGTTGGTGCGCAGGTAAGAAAGAGAGAGAAAGAGAGAGAGAGAGAGAGAGAGAGAGAGAGAGAGAGAGAGAGAGAGATACAGATACAGTTACAAAGACAGAGAGACAGAGAGAAACACGCAGAGGCATAGACGTTGTGTCCTAGTCTGCTGATACCGTGCTGGAGAGCGGTACATGTGTATAGCTTGGAGCAGGAATTTCTCTGAGATCGTCCAATATCAAGTTGTTTCTTGAACCATCTGATCATGTCCCTCTCTTCTCTGTTCTTTTATAGTTCCGTGAATCACTGACAGCGCTCATGGAGACCCTCAACAGCACGACGCCGAATTACATTCGTTGCATCAAGCCTAATGATTTGAAGGCCGCTTTCGAGTAAGTTGAGTGCACTGGCGGTGGCAATCATGGAGAGAACGTGGAGACTTTTGTTCGCCTTCGTGTTCTGTATTCTCTGCGCTTGCAAATATGATGTACGCCATCTCTGCCTCTTCGTCATATCTACGTTGCCGGTCTATCGCATTTCCGGGTAGTATTGCAAAACAGTTAGTTTTCAGTTTTTTGGGCAAAATTAGTGTTTTCGGCGAACTTCAACATCTCCGAATGCGATTTTGTGTTCCTTGAATCAGCATGCGCAGTACTGTTTGGCTTCAGACTCTGTTTGCTAAGTTTTGTTGTAAAATCTGGCTGTTTTAGGATCACGGCAGGGTCCTTCTTCACAATAAAGTCAGTAATCAATGGATTGTCTGCATGGTTTGCAATGACTGATCTCTCACGGGGGTGGTCTCCCAAGACAGGGGACCTCTGATTACAGTGGCCTCCCAAGACAGGGGACCTCTGATTACAGTGGTCACCTGACACAGTTTTTGCTGTATGAAAGTGTATCGGCGCGGGAATGAATCTAACCGTGTTTTTGTGCTCAATTATTTCCTGTGCTCAGATTTGAACCGAATCGCGCTGTTGAGCAGCTCCGCGCCTGTGGTGTGCTGGAAACCATTCGCATCAGCTCTGCCGGCTACCCTTCAAGGTAATGCTGCAAACACGTCATGCACATGTCCCGTCCTCCACATGCCATAAGAGTTTATTATAAGACTACGGACGTGACTGCAGCTGTCTGCATGTGCTTCGGCGGAGCGTACATTTCGTTCACATTGTGCCGTTTGTGTGCGTATTCATACGTACTGCATACGCCCAAATAACCCAGCAGACTCAGCTTGTAACCCTGACACTAGGACTGTCAATCCTGAACCTCAGCTCAGCACGGTGATGGCAGCTGTCTTGTGCTGGTTGTGAGATCCACAGGTGTTTGAACTCCGTTACATTGATAATGGTGCGTGTATGTGTGCGTGTGTGTGTTTGTGCGTGTGCGTGTTCTACAGGTGGACATATCGTGACTTTTTGATGCGCTACAGTACATTGTGCGAGAAGAAGAAGCTCAAGCCAAGTGACGCACGGGCCAGCACTGAGATTGTTGTCAAAATGTTGATTCAGGTAAGAATCGCTCGTGTAGACTACTTGCTACTACAAGTAACAACATCTTTTTTGTTCTTTCTCTTTTTCCTTTCCCATAAGCAAATGCAGTATGCTGACAAAAGGGGTTGAAATTTAAATAATAAAAAGCTGCTATCAGGGACGATTTGAATTCTCTCTGAATGTAACTCTTTGTAGGCTTCCAGGGGCGTCGGAACCTGTGCGGCAGGTGCAACCTGCAGCCAAAGCCCCACCGATCATTTATCCTGTGATTTTTGAAGCATTGAAAGATTGGCTATGCGGGCCCACAATTTACCCGGGAAGGCCCCAGGCAATGAAGAATACCTTCAGACACCCCTGGGATCCCCTTGGTTATATGTTTGGTTTAGGCATTCTCGAAGAATCGTTTGTTGAACGTATTGTCTTCGTGTTGGTGCTATGCTATGCGCAGGATGAAGACAAGTATCAGTTTGGCAAGAACAAGGTCTTCTTCAGAGCAGGACAGGTGAGAACCATGTTTGTACTGTTCTACGAGGCTGTTGATATAGTTCTGTTCTTTTTTCCCTAATGTCTGTCCGGTGCCGTCGTCGTATCTGCTTTTCTGTGTTAGTGTCGTTCCATGGCACTGTCCAGTTTCTCATTTCCTGATGTAATCCCCTCCTGCACCTGTCGGTGATGCTCCATTTCTGCAAATGTTTTTTTAAATTGTTTGATGCATATTCATTATTGCCAGTTTCAAGTTGCTGATTTTGTAGCTGTTCCAGGTTGACATGGCCGATTTGTAAAAGTCCAGGTTCACTTGGCCGGTTTTGTAATAATTCCGGAATTTTGTATGACACAACTCACACATCTCATTTATTTGTATCTGTATAATTTGGCAGTGTAAGCCAGGCATAAATCTTATGGATGCATTCAATGCTCGACAGGCCACTTCCACACTGTTATCGTGTTGTGTTCTTGGCACAGGTGGCCTATTTGGAGCGTCTCCGTGGAGACAAGCTAAACAAGGCCGGCGTAGTCATCCAGAAGACGGTGCGCGCGTTCATTCATCGCCGCAAGTACGTGCGCATTCGCAGAATGGCTCTGTACGTGCAGGCACGCCTGCGTGGACGCTTGGCAAGACAGTAAGTGGCAATTCACATGTTTACCAGCGCTCACCATCAATTTATCATACTTGCGTATTCGTTTGCTGGAGTGCAAGTCATTGACGTTGTTGTGGAGTATCAGCACACAGTTTCCTTCGCTGTATGTGTGCTTGCGCGCGTGTGTGTGTGTCCGTGTGTGCATCCGTGTGTTTGTGCGTCACCTCTTTTCAGACAATGCCACCACATGCGCCAGACCCGTGCGGCAACGCAGATCCAGACATGCGTCCGTGCGTTTGTGGCGCGCAAGAAGTACGCGCGCTCCCGTCGCGCCATCCAGGTCATCCAGCGCTACACACGCGGCATGTTTGGACGGCGCGCGTTCCGCGCTCGCCTTCGCGAGACCAAGGCCACCGTGCTGCAGGCCAACATCCGCTGCTGGCTGCAGCGCATCAAGTACAAGCGCACGATGCGCGGCATCGTTCTGCTGCAGTCCTGCTGGAGACGTTTCAAAGCCAAGCAGGAGCTTAAGAAGCTTAAGGTATGCAGTGTGCCTTACTTTTCAGTCTGGGTTTGTTTGTTTGATTTCGCTTCACCGGCTACAGGGGCATGTCCGTCTTCTCCGTTGAGTGCTTTTTGTTACAGCACTAGAATGAACTGGACCGACCTATTTGCGCAAACTTGATATGGTGCTGTATTGTTGCAAGATGCTGCGGTAAACCTGCACCATGGACTTGAGCGAAACGATCTTGCCGTTCCTGCACTCTTTTTGCAGAGGACGCACCACCGGTCTCTATCACATGACTGAGCCTGTGTTTGCATTGCATTGAATCCGTCTGAATTACTTCGGTAAATTATTTTTGTGAGGCGGTCACAAATCTATGCCTGCTTTGTGCATTCTTTGCATAGGTGGAGGCTCGCTCTGTTGGCAAGCTGAAGGAGATAACCAAGGGTATGGAAGTGAAGATTATCCAACTGCAGCAAAAGGTCGACGACCAGGTGAGGCTCGGGAATGTGACAGCAAGCACAATTGTCGTGCAGTAAATCAGGCCACACACACACAAGCAGAGGCGTGTCAGTCTAAGAACATCTCCACGTGCCAATTGACTACTGTTTGCTGAATGCTGGAAGGTGCTGAGTTATTTGACTTCCACTGTTTTCACGTGCTCCTAAATGTAGTAAGCACATTCATTCTTCTTTGCATTGCACTAGTACTCTTGCAGTACCGTTGCTCCGTGTTCACACGTTGTTGACCCTCTTTCCTTGTATCTGTTCAGTCTCGTGAGGCCAAGAACATGGAGAAGCAGAACACACAGCTCAACAATGAACTCAACAAGCTACGCGAGTCCACATCACAGCAAGCCTCCAGCAACCAAGCTTCATCAGCTATCATTCACCAGCACGAGGAGGAGCTGACGAAGTTGCGCGGGCAGCTGCAGTTAGCCGAGACAGAGCTGTCTAACGCCAAGGCCAGCAATGAACGTCTGGTCACAGAGCATCAAGAAGTACGTCATACTCCTGATTAAAACACATACACAGTGTATCTAGGTGCTCACATGCACACACACACACACGCACACACACACATTTCATTGTGTGTGTGTGTGTGTGTATGTGCGTGCGCGTGCGTGCGTGTGTGTGTAGAATTGGCATTGGTGTTGATGTCACGGTACATTTTGTTGATCGTCAGTCATCCACTCGACAGATTTACTCACAGATTTACTTACGCGCATCCTGTACTTGTTTTGTCTCCGTGCAGGAGAAGAACTCGCTAACGGCCGAGATCAGCCAGCTCAAGGTGCAGGTGACCGAGCTACACGACCAGCCGCCTGCTGTCGTTACCACTCAGGCGGTCGGCAAGCACCCGCTGTCGCGCGAGAGTTCGTCCACCGCGCTCATGGCCGGCAACCGGAGGGAGAGCCTGGGCACCGGGGCTGCCATGCAAGCGGCGGCGGCCGAGCTGCAGGTCAACAACACCGAACTGCAGCAGTCAGTCGATCAGATGAAGGCGCAGCTTGACGAAGAGCGTCGCCACCACCAGCACCATCTGAAGGAGCATAACCGCCTGCAACAGCGCTTTGAGAATCTGCAAGAGGAGCTGGTGTATGCGCAGGCGAACCAGATGATCTCGGTGAGTCGGCGTTTGCATGTTCCAGGTGTATGCCTATGCTTTTCTGGGACGCTGGCAAGCACTTGAGTTTGGTTTGTAACAATCCTTTTACCACGTATGCGGACCAGACCGGCTGGGCAAATCCCCAAGGAGGTGTGTCCGGTATTTTTCACTTGAACACAGGGTTTTGTTCTTCAAAGTCCATTACGAACTACAATGACACCTGTCCTGGGTGACCACTCAAGAGACTTTCCAAATGTGATCCCTGCGTACAGGCGGTCTCGGTATCCGCAAAAAAAGCACCCATTGATCCTATTTGTAGTGGTCCTCTGGGACGAGTGATCGCCGTGATATGATGGGTTTTAATGTAACTGCACGTATCTCATTTTGTACGCGGCCATTGGTCCACTGGCATTGCAGTATAAATCATGTAGGACTGTACTGTCTTCCAGGCATGTCAGGACCCCCCCCCCGCCTGTCAGTTTGTACCGTTGATCTGCCCCCCCCCCCCCCCACGCCATGTCGCTTCCCAGCTGGATTCTCGGCAGGGGGCGGGAATTACAGTCCATTCACAAAAAGATGGGCCTTGGCTCTGGCGAGCTCCCGTATTAGGCGATTTTTCAAGATTTTATCGTGCACAGTGCAGTGCTGTGAAATTTGAAAAAGGGACCAAAAGGATACCTGAACTGGGGTTCGAACTGTACAATGCACTGTTGCAGGCAGGGTCAAACGGCCTGGATTTTGATGGGTTTCCCAATTCAGTGCTCTTGGGGCAAAACCTGGCCGAAATCCTATTCTTGCTATCGCTTGCTTTTTGGAGAAATAGACTTCAGAAACATAATTGGAAGAGGATTCCATAGGGGATTGCAGAAAAAAATTCTTAAAAAACTCAACGTTTGACCCATTTATGGCCAAAAGCTAGAAGTCCATCTTTTTCTGAATGGATCAAGGCTGTCGAGTGCAGTACGATGTACAACAACGTAGAGGATCAGACTCGATGTGCTGAATTGTGCATATTTTCATCCTGGATTGGCACATATTGTGTACAGCAGTGCATGCGTCGGTTCAACATCGTATTTCGTTGTATACGCCGAAGTCGCTCCACAGGTAGAACATCGACAGGGAGCGGGAATTAGAGAGGGGGCGGATCAACGGTACTTTACGGTATTGTTCATGGTTTGCTTTGGATGTCAACAAGAGTACATGTACTTCACCCCAAGAGTGTACACCTGTCTGCATAGTCTCTATCCAGTGCTGTGACGGCAGAACTTCACATCACGTGACCTGTTTCTATAGGTTATGCTGACAAACAGTGCAAGGCGAAGTGACCACAAGAGAATTGAACCCAAAGCAGAGTGCGTGCAACCCTGCATCCATCATGCATATAATTATATGGGGTGCGAATAATGTGTACGGGTTCGTCACCTGATGTGAAGTTCTGCCATCGCAGACCCCATAACTGAAGTCGTACAATCTTGGGGGTTATGTACATAACTTTTACTCAATCTGCGGACAGAACTGTTTCGTCCTTTATGAACTCATCAGCGCAGCACAGAGAAAATGAGGCCGAACCTGATAGCAATGAAAAATAAATTTTCCAAAGCCAGATTTAAACCAGGCCCGAACATACCTTGCCAGAGTGCTCAGACTGACAAGTCAGTGAGCTCTGCATTACTCCGTGGTTGTGATGGGCCGAGCAGAGCAACACGCTGCAGGCCGGAATCTACGCAGCCTGGACCTGATGAACTAACACCCCAGTTTTTTAACAAACACTGAAGGGCCTGCTTTTAAGTATGCACTTGATCAAACTAACGTTGGTACTTCAGCTAAACATATCACAATAGACCCAGAACTCTGCAGGCTGTGAGTCCATCGTAGCTCAAGATAGGAGTTGTGCATTCTTGTGTATGTACTCTTCGTAACAATGAGCATCCTAGTGTACTTACTGCATGGAGTATAATTATATATTGCAACAGTAGGAGAGCATTTGTGTCTCCTCTGGGGATTAGACGATCCACTGGACCCCATGCTGCTCAGGACGTGGAGCTAGCTAGTGGTTTGAATGTGTGCACGTTACTTTCAATTCTGTGCTCAGCTTTACTGACTCTTTGTGCCAAACTCGTTGTCTTCTTTTGTTGTGTGTGTGTGTGTTTGTGTCTGTGTGTATTTGCACTGCAGCGCTCTGAATCTACCACTTCCATTCACGAGGGTGCGGGGTACCCGCGCTCGCCCTATCCCAGCACCCTTTCCACCAGCGACGATCGCCGCACAAGCAGCGACCCAGCACCTGTGTCTCCCAGCAGCGATCAGTCTAGCAACAAGTCTCACCCGGATCTGGTGAGGTCTTTGAGCCAAGATGCTGAGGTATGTGCGCAGCATTTCCCAATACCAATAGTCATCATTGCCTTCATTTTCATACTTTGTGCGGAAACGAAAAAAATCATGATGTTGATCGACCTGTCTGCAATGGTGAACTGGGCTCTAAGAAATCAAGCCGTGGTGACTCTGAGGAAGACTCAAACAATACCTTACAGAGGCGTCGGACGGTATACTTTGGTACAACCGTGAAAAGGCGGGGGATCCCCGGGGCCCTCAATTTTAAAGGAAATTGGGCCCAAATTGCCCATATTTCATTGCTTCGGAAATCACAGGACAAAATTATTGGGTTCCAACGCACCTGTCTTAGCATGTGGATAAAAGGGTCGCCAATTTTGTTTGTTTGCGGAGGAAGTACACTAATGCACCCTGGGTATGTGGGTTTTTTTGTAGTCTATATATTGCGGCCAGGATGTGAGTCACGGTGCTCCACTGTGCATGCTTTATAAGGTTGCCGATCAAATCAACAGGTACTTGACTGGGCACGGCCTAAGGTAGATGTCTTCTTCTGCTTTTTTTTTTTGATCGCGAGTGCTGCATAGCCAGTACTATGCCAGTAACGATAGATGGAGTGAAAAGAAATGTACATCCTGCATTTTTGCCCATTTCAATTTTCTTCTTTGCTACGTGTGAGGTTGAAAGCCAAGGGACATTACGTTAGAAATTGGGTAGCTTTTGCAACATTAGAACAGCTATATCATAGCGAAGTGTATGGAAAAGCAGGTCCCACGCCTCAAACTATACAATATGTAAGTTGGTTTGGGGCTTAAATCCAGCTGAAGCCTAGTTTCTGATACAAACGGGACTATTTTGGGGGAATACACGGAAATTCCATCTTGATACAGGTCCTTGATCAACCGAACTGAACCAATAGCTCGTGCCTAGTCTTATAACCTGGTCTAATGGCATGCATTTACGATCTGCACTAATATGGTTCGCCAGGTCATGATCCGCCTGAAGTCGCGCATCTCCGAGCTAGAGACTGAGCGCACTAACCTGGTGCGACGGGTTGCGGAGCTGACGGAAACGCTGTCCAACGTCCTCGCCGAGGGAAACGACGAAGCTGCCGCCAAGGAGGCGAGCGAAGCCGCTCGCAAGAACCTTGCCGAAGCCATGAACGCTGATGCAGAGGTGGGTACTATAGTGACGTGGCATGGACACGAGCGCTTAAGTTCGGACGCCCGCGGTTGCCCTGATTTTCATGCAACATCTGTGGCTGGATGCTTTCTGACAGCAGTTGCCATCCATGTATATATTTAGCGCATGATGTGCATTTATTAGTATCTATAGTATCTGGATATTATACACGTACTACGGTTAACTGTTATAGCATTTGCTCTTTCAGACCATTATGGCTGCCACTTTAGCTATTCTCTCACCTCATCCCCTCTCCAAGAACATTACACGAATGATGTGCTAACTCTCTCTCTCTCTCTCTCTCTCTCTCTCTCTCTCTCTCTCTCTCTCTCTCTCTCTCTCTCTCTCGCTCTCTCTCGCTCTCTCTCTCTCTCTCTCTCTCTCTCTCTCTCTCTCTCTCGCTCTCTTGCTCTCTCGCTCTTTTCTCTTGCTCTCGTTCCTATGCACGCATACGGTACTTGCCTTGCAGAACGTAAGGCGTCTTGAATCACGTGTGTCACAGCTGGAGGGTGAGCGTAACCAGCTGAGCTGCAAGGTCACCGAAATGCAGGCCTCCATGAACGAGCTGCGTCAGGAAAGAGATACCCCAGGCACGCCAGTGAAGGCGCGCAACAGCATTTCGAGCCAGGCGTCAATCTCGTCCGTCATGTCTGAGACGTCCAAGCGTCGACAGAGCAACAAACGCAGTCAGACCATGTCCCTATGCGGCGGCCAGGCTAACGTGCGCGGTGGTGCCAATGCAAGTGAACTCAACATGAGCGATCTTACAGCCGTAAGTGGTGACACGCTGTGTTGACTTCTACACCAGATAATTGGGACTGGTTTGCGAGCGTCTCCAAACCCTTACATCCGTATTATCACTTACACTAGTGTTGACTAGCACCTCAGTGCCGCCGGAAGCAGTTTTTGATTGGTCCGGTAGTAACGGGGCCTTTCACGCTTTGTGTATGATATGGCGGGTACACGTGCCTTCCACAGTAGCCAGCACGTGTTGGTGGCCTGAAAGTAATATTAGTTGATCCGGTGATAGCCTGACCGACCAGACCGGTTCCGGCGGGCCTGCACCTTTGGGTCGAAGCTGGGTATGGAAATTCCTGCCTTGCTTGTGTAATCTGTATTGTAGTTTAATGTGCATGTGCGTCATGTGTCAGTATCTGTGCTGTTGTGCCGTGGGCACCTCCACTGATCTGTGTGGCCGTGTCCGTCTGTTTTGCTCCGCTCCTCCAGTACCTGAACTCTGCCACTCAGAAGGAGAATGAGGAGTTGCGGCAGCATCTCTCTGAGCTCCGCAATCGCATCGTCGAGTCATCCTGCGACCAGGCTTCCGGCGAGGCCGAGCTTGTTGCAGTGCAGCAACTGGCCACCGAGCTCAACCGGGTATGTTCTTTTCTCCGTTTAACCAAATTTTAGTTGTCAAGCAAGATTCCAGGGATTCAAAAACCATCAGCTGTCAGTAGATTGTTTCTGTAGCTTTTGGAAATTGCTTCCATCTTGGGACACATCTGCTGTACTCAAGTACAATCAGTGTCTCTGGATTTCAAGGCCGTCAGGCGGCTCGATAGCCAATTGACTTATCTTTCCAAGATTCCTTTTTTAATCTCTCCCCCTGCCCCCTTCCCAGGAAGACCCTCGAGACCAACTTTGACAGTCAGCAAAAAATAATGCAGGGCCATTGTAGGCACAAGTAGAGTGTGCGTTGTGTTTCCCTTTCCCCATCGACCTGGTGTACTCAGCTGGCTGGATTATTATTATTATTTTTTAGTTACACAGCACCCATGGCACGCCTTTTGACTGCCACCAATTCAGTTGAGATGAACGGTTGACTTTTCAGCTGCCGAAGGAGTGGGCTGAGTTGTGCTTGGCCAGTCGACTACACTTGTATGACTTTTGCATCCATCAGTAGGACCTGCTTCCCTCCATATTGTTGAAGTAACACAGTGCAGTCGGGCCGTGTGCATGTATTGGTTCTGCAGCAAGTATTGACAGCCTGCTGCATCTGCAATAAGCCCATTGTGCATTGCCAAATATGAGTAATGCATGTGAGCACACTGGGATCAGGGATGCACTGTTCAACACCCCAGACGACCATGCCCAGGTGGCTGCGTGGGGTGTTCGCAGAACAGATTATGTCATTGCGCAATGGGCGTATAGCTGCATGCCCAATCCTTCTCACTGCGCTCTGCCGTTCCATGCTCATGGCTTTTTCACTGGTTGTCTTTTGGTGCAGTTGAATCGTGAGAACAACAGCCTGCGTTCAGACTTGCGTAGTCGGACGCTGGCACTGCTGAGCCGTGACCCGACCATGGATATCACTGCTGTGCTCCAGGAACATGAGCGTGATGTGCCACACTCCGGCGAAAGCGGCTCGGAGCTCGACGTACCCATGCAGGTCGGTACTAAATACTGCTGCTGTGTGTCTGTTTGTCTGTGTGTGGGTGTGCCACTACAAGTGCGCATCAGAATGTGTATGTGTGTGTGTGTGTATGTGTGTGTGTGTGTGTGTGTGTGTGTGTATGTGTGTGAAAGTTGAGAACGGACACATGTATACCATCTACCGCAGGTTGACCGGCTTCCGGGGCAATGTTCGACAAGTCTGAACCATCCACTTAACTGGCTCTATGTTCATACATTGTGCTTCCAGCGATTTAGTTATGAACTGAAGGATAACTTTGGATTGCACTGTAGTCTTTCAGTCACCAGTCTTGCCACGCACGCTTGCAGGCTTGTATAGCCACCAGCGTTCCCCGAGCCCATGTTTGTGTCGTAGTTGTGGGCGCCATTCTCATCCATGCCACTGGCCTTTGCCCTGCTGCCATTTTGATGCCGTGATTTGTGTGTCCTGTCATGATCCATGCCTTGCGCTCCACGGTCCATATGCTGCATTCACACAACTCTTGGCCATCGTCACGTGGCAGGGTTTGTCGCGGCGTTCTGTCGAGCAGATCGAGCTGGAGGTTGAGCTCTACCGTCAGCAGGTTTGGCTCTGCTTGCTGTTGCCAAATGCACTCACTCTCTCTCTCTCTCTCTCTCTCTCTCTCTCTCTCTCTCTCTCTCTCTCTCTCTCTCTCTCTCTCTCTCTCTCTCTCTCTCTCTCCTTCTGTCACCATCTGTCATCAACCACTGCTCATTCTATGCAAAGCTTTTGTTGGCTTCCATGTTAATATGTGCGTATGTCATGGCAACCTACTACATGTCATTTTACTTTTTTAGCTGGGGCGATGCACTTTATTCATGCACCACCAGTGCCCGCATGGTAGTTGAATGTGTTTTGTATTGAAGTACTTAGCACATGTATTGATGATGTGGCTTAGATTTGAGACCTTGTATGAAACATATGGTATCTACACCGTGTGTTTTCGTCTACATGTGATTGTATGGCGTGTGGCTGAAGGAGTACGTGCTTGCAGCTGGAGCATGACTTCCCTTCTCTTGTCTGTATGGATGCATCTCCAGTTTTTTTTTCATTGTAGCAAAATCAAGAAATGTTGTGCTGACCCCGCGTTGTGTCTTGTATTTCTGTACCGTTACCAGATCGCTGCGCTGAAGGAGACCAATGCTGTTCTTCAGGACGAACTGGACAAGACATTCGATGCCTTGAACCAGGCACAGGCACAAAACAAGCAGCTCGAAGCCGACCTCACTCGACTGGAGAGACAAGTAAGCCCCGCGCGTAATGTGATGACGTATTTAAATTTCGAATCCGACTACTGTACATGTACTTCGCAGTATGGGTTTTCAGCTTGTGTGCTATGTCTAGACCTCGATAAGCGCACGCCTTCTTAAAAAAGTTGTTTACTATGTGGGGACATCTGCAGCAATCATCACCTTGGTGCTCACTGACTGGTATCTTTTTAACTCGTTCATGCATCACAGACAGTTAACAATCCGGCAAACATAATTATTCTGTTAGACACTGCGGATGATTTCGTTCTTGCTTCTTCAAGTATGTAACTGTGATGTATGATCGTGCATTGTGCAGAGTGTGTCGTCAACTGAGCCTCCCCGGTCCGTCGGAGCGACCATCGACGTTCGTCTGCAGCAGGAGGTCACTCGCCTCACGTCGGAGAATCTGGTAAGTTACCGCTATGCAGCACGTCATCAACACTGTGCTTTCTGCAGTTTTTCCTGTTAGTATTTTCTCCATGATTGTGTAAAAAAAGTGAAGAACTGAACAAATGCTGACGGGGTGCAGCTTATCGATTGATATTACTGCACCTGTTCTGGGTCGGCCAGAACATGTTTTGCTTGCTCCGGCCTCGAGGCCGGAGCAGACCGAGCTGTTTCACTTTTTCACAGTGAAACGTGGCGGGAACATCGATTTTGGTCCCAAATGATCACGTGCATACGCTTTGGGGTTGGACTCGTCGTACCGTACACAGTGACCATGGTGACCCATAAACATTTTGAAGAATGCACCAAGTTTGGCATATTTTTCACACAAATGTGCTCTGTTTCTGGAGTACCGTTTGGTTGGCGTGAGGCTGCTCCATGTGCACCTGCTGTTCGATCCTGTTCTAGATCGTACCAACCAAACGCACCCTCAGTGTTGCCAGGTCGTCCGACATATCGGACACTGTCCGAAAATTCACCCTTCATTTGAAAATTTGGCGAAAAGAGAGTTCCGATTTTGACAGAAAATCCAATGATAGTGCTGTATGTGTTTTGTACAGTACTAGTATAGTGGTATCATTTTGAAGATTCCATGCCATTTCAGCGCCCTCGAGTTCAGCGCCAACCAGGTGAGCGCGACCTTTTCAGCGCCGTGAACCTAAGCGCCGAATTTTACAGCGCCGAATTTCAGCTACGTATCCTTCAGCGCCAGCAGATAAGCGCCGAATATCTCAGCGCCATATACTTCAGTACTACCTTTCTCAGCGCCACAGATCTAAGCGCCATGTTTCTCAGAGCCGTTTTATTATACAATGTATGATTGAGCAATGTATGTATGTATGTATAAACATCGCCTGTAATGACTATGAGTATGACTGTACAAGTACATGTATAGTCTTTGCGCTCTACTGTATCGCGCTGTACGTGATCGCGCTGAACTGCTTCCTGCTGTAAATTACCGCACCTTACTTTTTCGCGCTGAGTTGCTGGCGCTGTACTTTACCGCGCTGATAGCCATGGCGCTGAAGAAGCTGGCGCTGTGAAATCATGCGCTGAAGTGCTGGCGCTGAAATGTATCCCGCTGAAACAGTGGTGCTGAAGTGGCAAGTCACCATTTTGAATACACTTTTGATCTCACCACGCGATTTTTTAGAATTTACTTGAAGCTCCCAGCTGGCCAGATGACTGGCATTGTACGAGTCTTTACTTGTCATGGTTCCACCACTGGGCGAAAAATATATTACTGGGGTTCTGGCAAGCTTGCAAGGCCAAGGCAAGGAAGGGCCGGGCCGGGGGGGGGGTGCAGACCTCATTCGGTCATGCATGTAGATCTCTAGTCATTGCGGATCATCATGATAATCAGGGTGCATCGAGCATACCAACAGCGTGACACTGACACTGTGACAGGTGACTCACGCGAGTCCTATGCACACTCGGCACAGATTCAGTAGAATGATGATAGGGCCATGCCATGTGGACCTACTCACTGACGCAGTGACGGGGCCGCGGGGGTGTTTGTGCTGATAGTGACACTGCTCTTCCGTTCATCGTGTTCATACATTCTTGATCTTCCGCTTCGTATGCCTTGAAAACCTTGGTTATTGTTCGATCGGGCCCTACTGCCAGTGCCAGTGCTCAAGGGAAGTGTTTCGCTGTGGACGGTAAAGAATGGCTGAGAGCGATATGAACTTAGAAGCAGGCCGTATGGCCAGGAGAATGTCTGGAGTTGCTGTAAAGAAAACTTCTTGCAACGTCTGGTCCATGGATGTAAGTACTGACCAAGACGAGGGCAGATTCTTCGAGTTGTTCTAGCAGCTAGCTGACCGGAGCTCGTATCTTATCTGTGAAGTTTAAGACGCGATGGCAGCGGCTAGCTACGAGTGTCGCCGATTTCCTGCGTATATCTTGTTGTTGATCTGCTGGAAGATCGTAGATCTACGTCGCGAAAAATCATTATAATGCTTCAGGGCTTCTCGTGCAGTTTGCAGTTTCGGTGGTCCTGTTATTTTCGATCGAATGTGCTTGTCGCCTGCTGTGTTTTGGAGCGCAGAGTAGTTTCATTGTATGATTTGTGTGACACCCTGGAACATGGCGTTCGAATGACAGGTACACGATTATTTCCAGGTACGAACAATGCTTGGCAAGGGTCGCCGTCTGCGTTGCCTTGAACATTTCTGCGTTTTCCCTGTTGGGAAGCAAACAGTTTATACAGAGAAGACCTGTAATAATATTGTGCAAATGTTCATAAATTGTGTTTGTCTTGATGGTGTGTTGTGTGCTGTCCAGGATCTTCAAGAGGAGGTTGAAAGACTCCAGTCTCGCCTCACCGGTCGCAATGACAGTACTGGAAGCGATGTAGAAAGTCTGACGGCAATGGCCGAGAATCGAAATCACGGTGAGTGACACTGATTCTTTTGTACTTGCGTAGTGGTGGTGGTGGTGGTGGTGGTGCATTATGCACTCCAAACTCATGTGTTGTAACGGCTGCATTGCATTTACTAGCATGGCACTCCTGAATCTGCAACGCGCTGCGGCTTTCTGTGTTCTGTGTTGGTGTTCTGTCGCAATCAATCGGGTTTCGGGGTGGCTTGCCGTGGTGTGGGATGTAGCACTGTGCCCTCTCCTTTTGTTTATGATGTAATAGTGTGTTCACAATGTTTGAGCGTGCGTGTCTGCATTATTAATAACTGTTTGCGATGGGACCAATTCTTGCTTGTAATAAGTTGTACACCCACGGCCTTCCACTGTTCCGGTAAATTCTGTTTCCTTTGATAGTGCCTTGCTACTCGTATACTAAGAGTTGGTTGATGTCCTGCTCTCTCTCTCTCTCTCTCTCTCTCTCTCTCTCTCTCTCTCTCTCTCTCTCTCTCTCTCTCTCTCTCTCTCTCTCTCTCTCTCTCTCTCTCTCTCTTCTGTGTGTGATTTGGTGGGTGTGCATGTGTATGTTTGTGTGCAGCTATTGCAGCCAGTGCGAGATCATCTAACAGCATGGTCAGCATAGTGACACGGGCAGTGAGTTTGCTATGTGCTTCCATTAATGTGTGTGTGCGCGCGCGCGCGCGTGCCACTTCAATCAGCTCTGTGGTGTAGACCAGGCTAAAATTGGTGGCGGTCAATTCATCAGCCTTGCAAGCTGTTGAATGGTGTAATCCCAGCACAAGTTGCTATGTCTAACATAGCTGTTCGCTATCATCGCTTCTACGATGGGCAGGTCTGAGGTGTGCAAACCCTTGTTTTTTAGCACCACACTGTACCCTGTCTGCTGTGCCTGCAATGACTATGAACAATGTTTTTGTTTCCTTGCCTGTTTCGTTTTACATCCCCGCTGAGTACGCAGCGTTTGGTATACAATAGTGGCATGTTTTGCAGTATTCATTCTGTTTGTGCGTGCGTGTGTTCCATTTCCTTGTTTTCCGCAGCCCAAGTTCCAGGGTCTGCTCAAGTATGAGCCGTCGGATGAGCCTCGCCTCATCAAGCGCCTCATTCTTGAGATGAAGCCCGGCCAGATGGTGGACAAGCTGCCCTGTTTGCCGGCCACCATTCTGTTCATGTGCCTGCGCTACCTGGACGATATCAACGACGAGCGGCGTGTGCAGAGCCTGCTGACCACCTCCATCAGCGGCATCCGCAAGGTGGTCAAGGTACGTACAGTTTGTGTGCTGGTGGTGGATGTTTTGCAGTTGGTCACCATGGATATCCTTTTTGCTGCACAGGGCTCAGGTGACGTGGGGCTCGCGTTGTTACTGTTCCCAACCTCGTCTACATTCTGCTGCACTGTGTAAAAAGTTACCAGGTGGTCTCCTTGTCCAGGGCCAGTTGACTGGAAATAGTATCCTTGGTCCTATCTGCAGTGGTCTTCTGGGACAGGTGGTCGCCTTTTCAGAGTGGTTGCCTTGGCAGGTTTGACTGCAGTTTAGAGTACAATACAGACCTTCATTGTGTTCCCTCAGTCTCCATCTTTTCCAGCGTATCTTATAAATTGTGCTCTGTTCTCTCTGCTCTTGATTGCCTACGTAGAACCAGCCCAAGGATGTCTCTCTCAAGGTGTTCTGGTTGAGCAACACATCGTCACTGCTGACCTACATGAAGCAGTATTCGGGAGAAAGGGTGAGCGAATGTGCAGTGGATGCACTCTGCATGCATTCTGCATTGAAATAGCACTGGGATGGTCATTCCGAGCATGCAGACACTTCTCTGCATCCAGGTAAATGGAGCTACGAGCCAGCATGCGTGTGCTGTGTGCTGTTCTGTATCAGTAAACAAGTCACAGTATTGGTGTGCTGTGTCAGGGTAGTGTACTATTCTAAATAAATAGATTTCACGGTTCCGCATCTGTAGGAACGCCACCACCCTCTAGGATCAAGGCGCAGATGCAGCGCCTAAGCGGTGGGAGGTGAGTAGATCAGACCCACCACAAAGTGGTCAAAGACCGAAATCTCATTAACTGCATCCATGTTACCCTCGTGCCATGCCACGAGTTCCCAATTAACAGAGGGTACCAGGTTCAAGTCCTGCTTGGAAGCGGAAGGAATTTTCCCAGCCGTGCTGCGACCCAGTACTATTCATCTAATGTTGTTTATTCTGTGTCCTCGAGAGGATTGGCTCCTGGTAAACCTGTGTGTTTACCTCACTCTTTTGTCTTCTCTACTAGACTTTCCTGTCAGAGGATCACCTGCTGGCTAGCCTGTGTCTGAACAACTTTGACCTGACCGACTACCGCATGGTGCTGAATGACCTGTGCATTTTCCTCTACCAAGACATTGTCTCGTTGGTGCAGCAGAAGATTCAGCCTATGATCGGTGAGTAGCTGTGTGTGTGTGTGTGTGTTGGGGGAGGGTTTGATTTTCTGACTATTTTTGACATTTTGTGGACTTCTGTACTTGCATCTAACCGGGGTGGGAATCAGTATATGTGTGTGTGTTTGTGTCTCGTATGACATGAGCACATGTCTACACTTTTCTCCTTCATATTTTCTTACCACTTTACGCATCGTGTGTGTATTTGACTGTGCAGTGGCTGGTATGCTGGAGCACGGTATACCTGGCATGTGGCCATCCAAGCCCATGGGACTGCGTCGTGGCAAGGAGCAGGGACCAGCCTACACTCCTGCCGATATTGTTGCGGAGGTGAGTTCCGGTCCGAATGGCCAGCAGAGAGGCTTGATGTTGAGATGCACACATTTGGGGTGTTTATCTAGGCACCAGTCTATAATGATGTTCTTCGTGTAGCTGTCTCATTTACCAGCGAAGCATTATTGTATGCGTTCACTATGCCTCGTAGCATAGAGCACACTTCTAACAGCGGATCATTTCGCTTGGCTATGTTCACAGCGAAGCTTGATTGGTGTTAATTGCATACAACCCGTGCCGGTCGTAAACCTCGTCCTGCTATGTGCTGTTTTATGTCGCTTGCAGTTCAACACTCTGCTCCATTACATGGTGGACCACTGTCTGGACAAGGATCTCATTGACCAGGTCTATGTACAGGTATGTTCCTCGCCGCCAGTACTGCACTGTTGCATCCCGTTGCTAACCGCTAGCTTCTAGCCGCCTCAGTGCGTGCTGGTGGTCTGACTTGACGGTTTCGTGTTGGCATGTGTCAATGCTGCTGCTGTGGTCTCGTGCAGCCTTCTCGTCAGTTCTTGAATGTTAGCATTACCTGAGTATCGCACTTCTATGTGTTGCTTCCATCCTCCTGTAGATATTCTCAATGATCAACGCATACATGTTGAACAACATGCTGCTGCGCAAGGACCTTTGCCACTTGTCACGCGGACCACAGATCCGGTAAGTCGCTCTCCTCCATTATGTTGCTTTGCACAACTGTCCAGTCAATGTTTTATAAGTAGTGAGGGGTTGTATGTATTCATGTGACGACTCAATACAAGCACCTTTTTGCACATAGAGACATGGGTACACAGTCTGTGGCCATTTTGAGGAGGGAGAGGGGGAGACAGAGACAGAAAGCATGTCTGACTACTTTCTTTGTCAAGCATGTCAGTCTAAGAACTTCCTTTGTCTGTCCCGTTTGTTTAGCTACAATCTTTCTCAGCTTGAGGAATGGTCGTACGAGCGTCTGACGGTACCAACCAGTGCCATCAAGCAGTTGCACCCAATCACACAGGCAGCACAGCTGCTGCAGATCAACAAGCAGTCGCCGTCTGACGTCGACGCCATTATCGAGCTCTGCCATTCGCTCAACCCTGTACAGGTAAGCTTTGTCGCCCTCGAACGGGAACTGGAAGCCCGGTACTGCTGGTGGGCATGGCGTCTGAGTGTGTATGTGTGTGGGGAGGGGGGGGGGGGCATGATGCTATGTTTGGGATTACAGTCGAAGAGGTGATGCTTGCTTGCATGCTGTGCAGTTTCCACATGTCTTAACCCATGCACCACTGCTGGTTTATCTGCACAGATCCAGAAACTGCTGACCATGTACACGCCGACCAACGAGTTTGAGAAGCGAGTGCCGGCCACTGTCATCAAGGCTGTCAATGCTCACTTCAAGGGCCGTTCCGACCCGTCCAAGCTCATGCTGGACATCAGTGAGCTGCTGCCCGTCAGCTTCAGCTACAAGCCGATCGACCGTGACCTGCGTGACATTGGTGTTCCCGATGATCTCGGCCTAAAGTTTGTCCACAGGTTATAGGTCCTGGTGAGCCAAGCCCAACGTGGTGTTTCCCCCTGTTTAGTATAGCTGCCTTGCAACTTACCAGTTCGCCCCGTTCTTTGTCCTTGTCCCCTTATTTGCACTATTAGCCAACATTTCTCTTGTGTTTCTCGATGTCTAGGTCTGAGTTGTCATTTCCTCTGGTGGTTTTATACAGAGCCCTATACATAACATTGCTAACCACCCAGCTGGCTTGAACCCCTTTCCCCGCTGTGTTGAATTTTATTGGGTTTGTTTCTGAGCGAAAAACGGATTTCCAACGCTGCATTCCTCCCTCCCCTCCCTGCTCTAGCTTAGTTTCATATTTTCATTACCCCGTAGTGCTCGGAGAGAATGCAGGCGTCATTCCCGTCCGTCTGTCATGTTGTGCAACTACCCGATGCTGCAGTGCACCACCGCCCACGCAGGCTTGAGTGATATCCACCCCGTCTAGCTCTCTCAACAGGCGTACGTCCTGACGAATTTAAAGTATTTACCGGTCTCCTCTTCTTTCTTCCTTTTTGCTATTTATTCCTCTACCCTGTGACTTGTCGTCGCTCATCGCTGTTGCTCTTTTTTGACAGTTGGTACCGTGTCCATTATTATTATTATTATTTAACAACAAATGCTGTTGAGCTTGCAGCACATTATATTCTGACATCGCCGTCATACTGGTTGATTATTCGCTTCCGAGACTCTCTTGTATATTTTTCCTATGACCAGATATATACATGTACATGTCCAGCGCCATGGTTGATGAGATCTGATTGATGCCCAGAAAAACGATTCATTGAATATCTGTCCCTAGGCCCTCGTGAGTGATGCTTCAGCATGATGCCAGTGTGAATGATTGCAGGTAATGTATAAAGCATTGACAACGGGTTTGTAGGTGAATTCTGACCGAAAGAGCCTTAGTTTGTAGGTGAATTCTGACCGAAAGTGCATATTTGCGCCGCCTCGCCTGGACTTCCATGGCCCAGGTGGTTCAAACTCGGAAACTGCTGCTGGACATACCAGTTGTGCACATGCAAAAATTCAGTGATGGTCGTCCAAGACACCAGCTTTGCACTTCTTTTGGATCGGATCTCGCCAAAAATGGAAGATAAGTACAGTAATGCATGTGAGTAGTACTCGTACACTGAGAAAGCTGTGCATGTGATCAGCATTCGATATTCAGCAATGCACTGTTAAACACCCACACGACCAGGTGGCTACGTACATGTGGGGTGTTTATGGTACAAATTACGTCATTGCGCATAGTGCAGCTGTACATTAATTTTGTACTGCTTTTTTGCACGTTGCACCCTGGGCCTGGCACCCGTATGTACTCGTGCTGGCTGAGACGGAGTGTACTTGTCCCTGATTTAGTTTTACAGCGTAGAAGCCAAGTGTGTTCGTCAGGGAGTCGTCATGCATGCAGTTGTTGACATCTCATGTGGGTTCCTGGTCACCGTGTACGTAGTAGGAATTAACAATTCAGCAAACCTGGGAATGGTTAGGGTATTCGCAAAACGTTTTTGTCGTCCCTGAAACGAACATGATTCGTTTTTTGGGGGGGGGGGGGTGCGAGCCAAAATCGCAAGTCGACCGACACTGTGTAAGGAAAGGGACATGTACATGCATGCGATTTTCGTCGTCCAGCATAGCAAGCTGTGTTCGATACAGAGGGAGGGGAGGGGTCCAAGTACGAAATGAACAATGTTCGTTTCAGGGACGACAGAAAACGTTTGCGCATTATTACCAATCTTTTACACGAAAATGTTTTGTTAGTGGGTGGGTCGAGTTCTGTGAAATTATGGATAATAAGAGAGAGAGAGAGAGAGAGAGAGAGAGAGAGAGAGAGAGAGAGAGAGAGAGAGAGAGAGAGAGAGAGAGAGAGAGAGAGAGAGAGAGAGAGAAAGAAAGAGAGAGACAGAGAGAGGGCATTGCATGAACTTCACTCACAAGTCTGACACAGGCACATCATAATTATTGTTCTGTTTGGCACTGCGTGGCAGCGGCATACCGGTAGTTGTGAGAAACGTGTGCGCAGTGAATTCATAAAGGCAGGCTGGTACAGTGCACACATTATTCGGAAGCGGTGAGAACTCCATGGGACTCAGCATTGTACGTATTCTTGACGACGTGTGTGCATCACAGTGTACTCTGCTAGGCTTGGGAGACTTGGGAGACTTGGGCTTCCTGCTTCTGAAGCCACCACCGGCATTACAACTCAGCATGTTCGATTCGGACGCGATTTGAGTTTTCGTGACGGCCATGGATGGCGGTTCCTCCTCGGATCCTTTACAACAGCCGGCACAGCAGTTTGGACTACATGCACTCCCTTGCTGTTGTACATACATGTAAGTGGCCGGCTCGCCGCGGATGTCAATAAATTAAATCATTTTTTAAATTAAATGTTCGATTCTTGCTCTGCTTGTTCGCGCTGTGTGCATCTTGAACTGGGTCATCACCAACATATAAGGAGCGAGATCACGTATGCTCGAATGGTCGCGGCTAGGCCACGGCCGCATTGATTTACAGCCACCATCCGTGTTCCTTGCAGATCGCGTCATACAGGGAAACAGACTCAAGAACACAGCCGGGTTCAGTGCTTGTGCGGCATGTTGATCATGGCATAACGGTTGCCTCTGTAGATGGACGGTGCAAATAACTTCCGAAGCTGCGGCTGGCATGTTTGTTTGTCGCCATTAAAGTCTGGGTGTTCCATCCAGCTGCCTCAAGCTCAACTCTGGGAGCATCATCGCGTAGGCATGTACAATCAATCATGCACTTGAATGAAGTATTCGTGAGGGTGGCAGTTCACTATTCACCATCTCCCGGATGATTCCAGTGTCGACTTGTTCGGCATGCTTACTACACGGGCTGTTTGCGCCGTGTCCGCTACAGCAGCCCTCTCAAACTCAGCTACATTGTAGTTTTCTTCGGATCGCCAGCCGCTGTCCGTGCTTTGGATCCTGCGGGAACAGTCTGCATTTTCAGCGCCTCTCTTCCCAGCATCTTCCTGTGCTCCACCTCTTTGAGTTCTTCGGCAATCTCCACCTTTCTCTCGTACAAGTACTGTTTACCATAGTAAAGGGGTGTCGAGAGCACCAGGGTAAAAAAGAGCAGGCCGCTGAAATACTTGAAAGTCAAATGCTGAGGAATTGCTTCTTTCGCCACGTCAACAAAGCGTGATTTGTAAGGACCTGGGCCTCGCCGTGTTTTGTCCTTGTATATCTTTCCACCAATGAGAACCATGATTTACCAGCCCGAAGCTGTAGCACCAGTGAAAAGCGGTTTTCAAAGACTACCTATGTCTATTATCCTTGTGCCTCGACCCGTGCGGGGCAGCCTCATTCCAAAACCATTCACTAGCGACTCTCCAAAGCAGCAAAGCCACACTGGGTAGCAGCTCTTGAAACGACGACCACCACCAGTTGCAGTTAACTAGTTGTTTGTTGACCAACATTCGCCCTTCCCTTTGCCTATCCATAAAAATTAAAAAGCAAGAAAAAAATAGCCAGGGAAATAATCCATGTAATCAGTTGTACATGTACATGCATAAGGCATAGCGCCTAGCGCTGTATACATGTACTAGCCTTGCGTGAAGTATAACTACAACTTTTTTGTAAGTACTCACGACACGCGCAGTCGTTGTTACTTTTGCGGGCAGGCGCGCGGGCACTTTTTTTACACAGTCTACACCAGAGAGTCGTATATATACGACTCCCTACACAGTAGAGCGGTCACGAGTTCTTGCATTTATCTCCTCCACCATATTTGTCATGGTTACTCTTTCATAGTCGATCACGTGTAGATGCGTCATCAAATCGATCGTCACGTAGATCTACGTCGTCATTTTTGGCATTTCGCATTTTCTGCAAAGAGATCTCACCCACACGCACAAGCGCAAGCCTGACAAGTGACAAGACTACGGCGACACTGCATGCCTGCATATGCATGCAGCCTCTGCAGATCTGCGCTAGCATATGGCATGCTGCACAAGTAGTACCGGTAAATGTCATGATTTCTTCTTTTTATGAAAACCAAGAAAATGAACAAGGCGAAATAGGAGTTACTTTCCTTGATCCTGTTGTTGGAGATCGCGTTGGATGGAGGCTTGCTTGTGTCCGAAAGCGTTATATTCCAGTAACTGTAGTTTGTGCTAGCACTGCTCATCAGTACCTGCCAGGTTTGGAAGCAGCTGATCACCTCCCTCTCTTTTATTCACCTTCAACTGTTATCTGAACATCGCTGAGTAATCAACGTGTGTTGTTCGTGTGGCCTCCCCTGGTGGTACAGCCATTGTCGACGTTACAGACGTTGTTTGTGTGCTGATCACATAGCAGTGTGAGCTGAGGACGGGATTCGTAGTGCACTGCACCTCGCCGAGGATGGCTGGCCGTGATAATAACCAATTCAAAATTGTATTGCTGGGTGAGGGCTGTGTAGGAAAGACGTCATTAGTTCTCCGGTACTGTGAAGACAAATTCAATGACAAGCATTTGACAACACTGCAGGCATCATTCCTGACGAAGCGGCTGAATGTAGGAGGAAAACGTGTTACCCTGGCGATATGGGACACTGCAGGCCAGGAGAGGTTTCATGCACTGGGACCCATCTACTATCGTGATAGCAACGGTGCTCTACTTGTATATGACATCACCGATGAGGACTCCTTCCAGAAAGTGCGCAACTGGGTGAAGGAGCTCCGAAAGATGCTTGGAGACGACATCAGCTTAGTGATCGTCGGAAACAAGTCTGACCTGGAGAAGAACCGTCACGTCAGCAAGGAGGAGGCAGAGGAGTACGCAGCATCAGTGGGTGCCAAGCACTTTAGCACGTCTGCAAAGCTGAACCGTGGCATCGACGATGTCTTCCTGGACCTGACCAAGCGCATGCTGTCGGCCAAGGCAGATAGGCCGGCACGGCAAGGTGGCCTTGGCCCGATGGTAGGGGGCTCCAGTGCAGGAGTACAGATCACAGAGGACGAGGCACCGAGCAGTAGCGGTGGATGCTGTGGGTAAGCTGAGGAGCAAGTGCGACCGGCACGAACTAAATAAACTGTACAGGCTTCTCTCTCTGTGTGTCTCTGTCTCTCTCTCTGTGTCTCCGTCTCTCTCTCCCTCTCTCTCCCTCTCTCTCTCTCCCTCTCTCTCCCTCTCTCTCTCTCCCTCTCTCTCCCTCTCTCTCTCTCTCTCTCTCTCTCTCTCTCTCTCTCCCTCTCTCTCTCTCTCCCTCTCTCTCTCTCTGGTGTATACGGCACTCGCTGCGAGTGCCGTATACATCTTGTTTGTTTTTAATTCTTTTTTTTTGCAATCGAAAAGCCACGGCGGTGGCGGCTGCTGCTTAGCTAAAGAGGAAGGGCAGTATCCTAGGCGTGGTTGCTCTTCCCCAGTGTCCGGCTGCCACGGCATTGCGATGCGCAGTGTGGTATGCTTCTTGTCCGTCAGCTCCGCGCCTTGTCCTTGATTGGCTGGCCCCAGCACGTGCATCCCCACCTTTAGTCTTCACCTGATGTCACCCTACGCAATCAGCTGCCCGTGTAGTTTTTTAGCAGCATCGATCAACGTGAAGGAAGCATCAGCAGCAGCAACGGCTATCACAGTTTAGCACCGAGCGTTGACTAGAACAATAACAAAGATGACACTATTTACAAACACCGAGATTACGTTTTCTGTTTTCGACTTCCCCCGCCGCCGCTACCGTCGCTGGTTGCTGTTCCCATGCCCGTCAGTCGACTGTAAATCGCTAGGTTTTTTTGCATGCATCTGATTGTTCGTCACCGCTTCCCCAAACGGTTTGTGTTGGCGCGCGAGTGAATGGGAATGCACAGTCTTTCTTTTGCCGCTGCAGCCGTTGGTATTTTCCAGCCATGAACATAAAAAACACATGCTCAGACCCCAGTATTGTCATGCTCCGCTTTCTCCGCTCACCCAGCGCGCTCTCCCCCGACCCAGCACCCAATGCACACGTTCTCACTCATTTTATCCAGTTCTTCAATATTCCTCCTGTGTGCATGCATGCACATGTGCTTCTTGATGTTGGTTGGTCCGAGTGTCCGAAACTCGTATTGATTTACCTTGCTGACATTCCGCTTGTTTCCCTTCAGACCCTGACATGACCAGTCAATTTTTTACTCTGACCAACGTGCTGTGATGATTATACTGTGGGCCGTTAGTGCTTGCCTTCACACGAGGTGTGTGCTACGTGTATTACCCACTCTCGTTTGCTGTTGGCTTTCGCCAGGTCGACAGCAGCAAACATACACAGCCAGGGGTGTGCAAGTTGATGGTTCCTTGGCCCACTGCAGACATACTTTTTTGTCCGCTTTGTGAGACACTACATGATTGTAGTGTTTCTCCGCCATTGTGGCTCACTGATGCCATCATGCATAGCCTAGCCGCCGGAGATTGAAAGTGCAAAAGAAGCTGTACTTGAAGTACGCGTTGTCGCAAGTACGGTACTTAAAGGTGGTCCATTCATGTTTCCTGGATGTGCTGATGATCGGATCCTATTTCGAAGTATAATCGTATCGTACATAATCAAGGCACGAAGCTCTACCTATGCACGTGCCCACACTTACTGTACAGTAAAAATATATATATAAAAAAGTAAATTATCGTGTCCGTTCCCGAAGGGAACTCACGACGGCCGCTAACACCCGGTAAACCCTATAAACCCTAGCGACAGATGCAGATACTGTAAGACATGTATATATAACGAGGAAGTAAATCTAACGTTTTAACGGATGACATTTCTTCGTTATAATAAGATCCGTTGAGGCCATACTGCTTCATTTATATCTTGTGTTTTGGTTATGCCGGAATACTGCAAGATCGTTAGCATATCTTCTCGTTAACCTGTGAATTTTGGACAATCGTTAAATTTGCGACTCATTATAACAACATGTCTTACAGTACGCCTAGAAAGATAACGCAATGAAATGTAAAAAAACCTTGCGAAATTGACTCCTATCGCAAACATTTCTAGGCAAATTTGTTGTGCATGCAAATCGCGAAATAAAGCCGGCACAAGCGTTTCCCAGTTCACTGTACCAGCCATTGGACATAGATATAAGAGTACCTGTAAACACGGCAATACATGTATTGCTGATTTTCACGGCCCTTGGGGGTACGCTATATGGACGTTTCACTGTGTTTTCCTGCATAGAAAGCGGAACTTTGATATCAAAGAGCCCCCCCCCCCCCCTCCAAGGCAACAGGCAAACGTACCCTGTAGCCACGGTACTTCTTGTGCGACCACACTGCAACATGGAGCATGTTTTTCGATTTTGACAGCATGTTACATGGCGAGGACGCGTAGTGCTTGTAACATGCTGTCAAAATCGAAAAACATGTTAAACTACCAAGCAAGGCTTCTGTATAATGGAGCATGCACTAGTTGTGTAGTCTATGTGATGGCAGTGGTCGTCGCGTTTTCCTCTTCTTGTCCTGCCCATCACAAAGTGTGCGGAATTACGGATACAGCGTGCGCTGTAGTTTGCTCTTGTATTATTTATAGTACTCGTGCAGTATCCAGATGAAGCTGACAGATTATGCTTCCACTGTACATTGCATTGACTGCTGCAACGCCAGGGCAAAGGAAAGCTGCTTCAAACTTTTATTCCCCCCTCCCTCCCCCTCCCCCTCCAACACGTCGTTGTATCTAAGCGGGCTCATGCATTATGTTTGGGATGTTTGAACTACCTGTTAGCCTCCTGGGACTTCCGCCCTCATTTTTCAGTTTTGCCGGGATCATCATCATCATCATAAACGAGCATGGCTATAATCATGGCAATGGTACTAGTACCTGGTAGTAACAGTGCTTGTGATGCAGGACAATGTGACATGCATGGCCATCATGTCCAAAACCCAGCTAGTGGACTGGGTTTTGGAATGCCTGGTGCCAAGCAGCTGCACTATTGGGGGGGGGGGGGGCTTCTTTGGTGCCAATTATAGCACTGCAATTTTGGACTGTGCGAACTGTTCTTTTCTTCACGTACACGTACATGGCCAGTGGCAGTTCCTCACTGCTAGCCACTGGCTATCTATCATACAGTGTAGTTATGCTCAATGGCCAAACTACAAGGTGGCAACGGCCGGCCAGCTAGCTGCCAGCAAAGTGAGCCATTGCATGTGCGTTGGGTCACATACGCACCACAGCGTTTGTGATCGCCGTCGTCGCACAAGCTCTGGTTCCCTGCCGCCGCCGCCGCGACATCCGGGCATCCTGGTTCGCAGGCCAGCAAACAAACCACCACTTAGCTCTAATTATGAAATCTGGAAATGAAATTGAAAACCAAAATACTGTGAAATTTGCTGTGGGGCGTCATGGTTCGCAGGCAAGCGAGCGAACAGACCACCACTTAGCGCTAATTATGAAATCTGGATATAAAAAAGCCAAATACTGTGAAATTTGTTGAAAACCAGCCCAAATCAGGATTAATTAAAAAAAAATTGAAAAATTGAAATGGAATTTAGAATAAGGCTGGATGTGCTGAGGAATTTGTTTTGTACCCATCCTGCATGGACTTAGGATCAGGATCTTCGAAGGAAGTGAAGTAGAAGAGCAATCACTAGTGTATGCCGATGGACCAGGATAACATCACCTGCATGCATGCTACATGTGTGTATGCATACCATGCATACACACACACGCACACACACACACACACACACACACACACACACACACACACACATACACACACACACACACACACACACACGCCCAAGCACCTGATCTTTGCTTGCGTGCAAAGAAGTACACGTTCGCGAAAGATCACATCCGGGTGGAACGCTGGCAGGGTGCATGGCCATACATGTTGGTCTGTTCCTTGCCTGCACGCTTGTTCAGTCACTGTATGTTCTGCTCGCTCTTATCACCGCCGGCATGAACGTGCAGAGCGCACACACTCGATCCGGGCTTTTCGTGCGTGGATATTAGCTGGAGAGCAATCAGAGGCAAAGGAAGGCACTCATGAAGTCAGTTTGCGCGAACATGTCCTGAAATTCAAATTCTACACATAATGCAATATCAGATTTATACATCAGATGTAGCATTGACTATGGTTTTTTTTAAATGTCTTCTGCTAGTGTTCACGACCGGTTGTAGCATGCTCTCGCAAAGGGCATACCGAGACCTGTTATTTGTATTTTTCCTGTAACTTTATCACATCTGCCACCGGGATTTAAGCTGCTGACAACCTCATTGGTGCTCAGTGATGGAAAATGGTGTGGCTAGAGACTCGGCAATCCGCAGGGTCATGTATTGGTTAGTTGCTAAGAGCAAGATTCACCTGGCTGTACTCATACATCAATATCAACGGCTGAATTTTGGCTACCATACCTGCATTCACGATCGCACAGCTCCAGTTGCGTGGTGGAGGTTAGGCAACGGCGCGTGCCAAAGCTCTGGCTGAAGCTGCGGCACTGGCGTCTGCGATAGCGCCGGCCCGGGCAGCCAAACACACAGCGGCTGCTCCAAGCGCCCCATGGGCCTGCAAGCGCGGTGTTCTCCCCTGTTATCCCAGGAAGTGACACAAAGACAGCAGCACATAATCTACTGAGTTAACAAACTACGACGACGACTCGCTCGTATACTAGTACCAAGTGCCACGCTGTTTTCCAATTTATTTAGGTTCTCATCGTTTGTTATTTTCTTTCCATTCCTCTGTAAGCATGTGCACTCAAAAACATAAAATAGAAACCCATATCACCTCTTCGGACCTCCGAACTCAAGTTGCCATTGGCTACAGTTGAGAAAGTGGAAGAGGAACGGCCAGTGGTGATGCATGTCTTGCCGGTTTCAGCTATGCACTATTCAGAGCCTTTATGGGGACAGCTGTAGAGACGTGTAAGAGCAATGGCTAGCAGGGATCCATGTACTGTACGTCAATAAATATTTCGGCGTTTATTTATTTTCGGCTATATTCGGCCTGCGCTTTTTGGCCTAAACTTTATGGCGGCCGGAATTTTGTTTTGCAAGATTCAGTTTGACAGTGTATACAGGCAGTAAAGGCAGTAAAGGCTGACATTTTAATGAGGCCGAGATGTGTTTTAGCCCTGAGAGGCCGGAATTTATACGCGCCGAAAATTTGTAGACTTGCAATGTTGGCTGCTTGAATTACAAAGTAGTCATAGCAACCATACAAATTACTAAACTGATCCTAGTAACCTACTTGCTTGACAACGGTCACCGCCGAAACCAGCTGGACACACGCAGCGATAGTTGTCGGAGTACTGGTAGGCTTCACACTGGCCACCGTTCCTGCACTGATGACTGGAGCAGGGATCTGGAGCTGTGCGGGCAACAGCAACAATAGCAGCGGCGGCGGCAGCAACAGCAAAAATGCATTTCAAAAATTAGCAACTGGTATGACCTAATGTTATATACGTTAGATCTATACAATGACAACAACAACAACAACAACAACAACAACAACAACAACAACAACAAAAACAACAACAACAACAACAACAACAACAACAACAGCAGCAGGAGCAGCAGCAGCAACACCGTCCATCAATTTAAGATGAAATCACTCATAGTACTTCGAAAGAAGTATATACATGTACATGTAGATGCTCTTAGATTCAGCTAACAAAGTAAAAGTTGAAACTCATTTCCACTATGATGAAGGGTTACCTTGGTTGCTTGCCCGTGGACTGGTGGTCAGTCCAACGGCGCAGAACTGCGTCTCGGACACTGGCGCGTTGCACACAAAGCGACCCTGCTGGCCCAGGAACACTGGCTTGACGCAGTCTCGCCGGCGCCGGCGGAAGCCGTTGCGCGGGCTGCAATCGCCCCACTGTCCCCACGGGCCGGCGTCGTTCTCAACTGGATTCACAAACGATACAGGACACCCAGACGTATACACAATAATCAGCACTGAAGGCAACTGCTGCTTCTTGTAGTTTACTACAACCGTTTTCAGTGTCCAAATGATGCCAGTAGGGGGCTAGAAACAGTAAAGGAGTGAGTGATAGCGAAAGCTAGTGAACTTGCTTCAGTACTGTGTTTTGTCCGATCGAGGCTTACCTGGTTCACAGTCTCTGCCACGGCCGAACACGGCTCGGTTGCAGCCCACGCAGACATGGTCGCGTGATCGCGCCCGGCAGCTGGCTCCGTTCTTGCACGGATTGGGAGAGCAACGGCCACCTTTGAGTGGAAAGGGCACAGAACACGGTATTACAATTTCAAGCCATGACTTCATCATTAAATCCACTATATCCAATTCAGCATAATTGCCATGCAGACTGCCCCAAAGAAGAAATTCTACACACAAAACTAGGTCACTAAGAAGTATAATGCCTCATTCAAATGGACCCCCGGTGCTTGCGTTCGTGTCACAGTGAAGATTCCGTGATTTGCGTCCATTGAATTCGAGCTGCTTTGAAGTGCGATGGATATCTAAAGAAATCTGTACATGTACGTGGCACAAAGCATGATAGTTACCTCCGGTTACTGGGCGCCTTTCAGCTGGTCGTGTTGGCTGTTGGGGTTCTTCAGTGGTGGGCGCATCGTTCCCTCCCACTCTTTGAGGCCCAGCGGGACGTTGCGGTGGACCACAGTAGCTGGTCTCCGACAATCGGGCGTTGCAGACGAAGCGTCCCTGCTGGCCCAAGAAGACCGGCTTGACGCAGTCGCGACGTCGCCGCCGGAATCCGTTCGACGGACTGCAGGCTCCCCACTGACCCCATGGACCGGCATCGTTCTCAACTGTATGGAGCACATGAGACAAATAGACTGGAGTAAGGATACCATAGCCACCTTTTTTTTACAAACCCACCCACACCCACCCACATCCACCCACACCCACCGACAAGGAGTATCCACACCTCTTCTAGTCAGGAGTGTGAGCCGTAGCCCTCGGCTGGCTAAAGGGGAAGTTAAGCCTAAAATCAAATTTTCACCAGTTGTAGTCTTTGGGGTGCTGAGTCGAATGGTCTTGGTCCGAGGAAGCTGAAACGCTCCCTTTCTCCTTTATTCCCAATCGAACTCGCGCACTTCCACCGAAACTGGGTGACTGCGCCCTACTAGATGGGGATTTGCATGCAAAATGTCACTGAAAGCGCCATTTCATCTCTTGTTCATGGTTGATCCAGACTGTCATGTTCATGTAGACAGCAGCTCATGTAACTTATTGCTCTGGATGGACTGAGCTATAGCAATCGTTCTTTGTTCTTCTGGTGGGGTAAGTGCTGCTGCTACTGCTGCCGCTGCCTGTTGGTTTGTTTGCACAGTATTGCGTGACAATGCTCTGACAAGTGCAGGATATTGAGCTACTGATTATGGCGGCCGCCAAAGCTGTGAAGCCTCTATGATATGCTGCGCTCAAGTCTCAGTTGTACATCTTTTCTCACTACAACCAATTCAATCTGAGTTGGCAACGGAAGATCTCGAGTGGAAGTACTTCATTCATCTAGACATAAAATTCGCACTGGTCATACACCACTGCCTTCGCCACTAGCACCCGAAACAATCACGATTGATCACAGCGACCTTCGATTACATTGTACATGTATGTTTGCGAAACTTTTCTTTTCTCCTCCAGCCTTACCCGGCTCGCAGTCCCTGCCACGGCCAAACACTGCTCTGTTGCAGCCTTCACAAACGTGATCGCGTGATCGCGATCGACAGCGGGCTCCGTTTTTGCACGGGTTAGGAGAACAACGGCCACCTGAGCACACACGGGGACGACAAGATCTGTTAAAACACCATACGTCTGGAAGAAAAAAACCTCACAAACCAACTCATTCGTATTGCTTGCATCGTCTCTACCGGACTGAAGTCTCGACTTAGGCTGTGTTCACACGAGAATTTTCAACCCGGGTTGAAAGTCTGTACGATGGAAAAATAATGAGTGCACGTACACCATGACCTGATCTCACGAACTTTCCCATGAAAGTACATTTTGCGTTCCCTGCAAGTTTCGCGTCCAAAGATGCGAAAGTTCGTGCGAAGTTTCTCGCTTCATGACGCAGAGCGAAAGTTTTTACGCATTTTCGTTTCGCAGAACCTCTCTACTCACGATTTCAACCCGGGTCAAGCGCAATGCCTCATGTAAACGTGCCAGTCAATCTGTGTTCAGGGCGGGTTGAAACTTGATCCGGGTCGAACTCAACCCGGGTTGAAACGCCTCATGTAAACACAGCCTTACAGTGATATGGCATTACAAATGAAAATGTAGTTATGTGTTTATGAGCCAGATTCATGTCAGTACAGCGGAACCTGCTTGGGCCAGAGGATCTGCCTAGAAATCATCACAGAGTGTAAACTTTAGCTAAGTATTTACCTCTCGCTACTGATCGCCTTGTCGGTGGTTGTGTCGGCTCTTCAGTGGGAGAGGCGTCGTTTCCTGCTGCTCTTTGAGGCCCAGCAGGCGGTGCCTGCGGCAGGCCACAGTAGTCGGTTTCCGACAGTTGGGCGTTGCAGACGAAGCGGCCTTGCTGGCCCAAGAAGACCGGCTTGACACACTCGCGTGAGCGTCGGCGGAACCCGTTGCGTGGACTGCATGCTCCCCACTGACCCCACGGACCGGCATCGTTCTCAACTGCACGGAAATGCCACACAACACACGTGGATACTGAATCAGACAACATGCACTGAGGTGCGCTTTCGGAGTGTTTTAGTCCTTGTGCACAAAGCACCGTACCCAGTATTAAGCATGTGATTCGAAGGATTAACTGAGTTTAGAATCACTCTGAGGTCGTTCCCACACACCCGAATCAAAAACCACGACTTGCAAACATGTTTACGAGTATAAGTTCCCAAGGTATTTGGTTGCTGTGACCACTGAATCAACACACATTCGACTCTCTATGTGTAATAGGTCTCAATCTCCTTCACCACCACGGTCTTACACTGCAAACGTAGATGTATATCTCAGAATTTTGGAGAGTATCCGCATATTCAAGAAGGTACATGTATCTTGGTTGGTTGGTATATTTTATTTTACTTGCTTGTGTGCACTGCAAGCTCGTCTTACCTGATTCGCAATCTCTGCCACGGCCGTACCGCGCTCTGTTGCACCCGTCACAGACATGGTCACGCGATCGCGCACGGCACCGAGCTCCGTTCCTGCACGGGTTGGGCGAGCAGCGACCACCTTTGAGCACACGACGGGCACAAAGCACAGGGCTCGATTCCATGACTGTCTTTCAAGGATGAAGACATCATATACACCCTTGAATCTACCACATCACTGGACTGGGTTTTCATTTAGAAATTTCAATCAGACGTCTCTAAAACTTAGCAGCCGTTAATCCGGCATCCTCGGTATCAGATAGGATTTCAGATCCCCGCCAGTCCGTTTACCAGGGTATTCCAGCATTCGTATTCTGTGACGGCATTCCTCTTCCGAAACAATGAGTTTGCGTAGATATTGTCAATCGATCACCCCCCCACCCACCCATCTGACACACGGATGCCACTGCCAAACGCAATCGGTCAGGCTGCAGTAGAGAAACATGAGAGGACAACTGGCCTCCACAAAGACTGAACAAGAGACAGACAACAAAGACATGCATGGCAGTGGACATTGAAATCCGGTGGAATGACCAGGGCCAGCACCCTTACTGCCTGAGCGCTTACATACTGCACAGCTGTAGTACACGCACACTGTAAAAATGGATCCGCAGTGCTCGCGGCTGCAAGGCCAGCGCCCCGTGGCCACTTGATTTCTCAACGAATTCCAATGCTCGCTACAGTACATACATACAGCTTTTCTGGGCGGACAACACACACACACACACACACACACACACACACACACACACCCACACACACACACACGCACGCACACACACCTACATACTCGTAAGCAGGGAGCTTGACAACACAATCGCTCTGCAAACGGTATGCCACATACCTGCCACGACTGGTCGCCTGGTCGGTCTCTCCGGGGTCGGGATTTCATTCCCTGCCACTCTCTGCGGTCCATCTGCAGGAGGTGGTGGGCGCACTTCAGGCGGTCCGCAAAAGTCGGTTTCCGATAGTTGGGCATTGCACTCGAAGCGGCCTTGGGAGGAAAAGAAGACTGGCTTGACGCACTCGCGTGAGCGTCGACGGAACCCGTTGCGCGGACTGCATGCTCCCCACTGACCCCACGGACCGGCATCGTTCTCAACTGTATGGAGCACATGAGAAAAGGAATACTTAGATACATGATCACGATCACTTTACCTACCATACACATGTGTGTAGATAGACTGCGGTCACTGACAGTCTGTACATATCAAGTTACCATATTATACATGTACATGTGAAAACAACATGTATGTAGATTTAGCCATGCACATGAAACATTGACCAAAAAGCTGCGATGCCACAATACAAATTCACTGAAAGTCCACGATAAATTACACAGGTAGCAGACGCATATTTCATTTAATAATATCTTCAAGCAAGAAGGAATGCTATTACCAAGGTACCTATGGAAGGTACCCATGCACAAGGAGCAAAGGGATCTGTTGCATACCATGTTCGGCGAGAAGAATGATGGACGGTACAACAGATTAGTTCGACTACATGCTCTACACTGTCCCCATGGCAACATCAGGTCGGAATGGTTGCCGTGATATCTAAGCTTTCCCATACGTATAACCAACATGCACAGTTGTCTGATGATCACTTAGTGCGCGAAACTCGGAGTAAAAACACTTTTTTTATCCTCTTATTCAGGTTGGAGTTAGCTCTGCCCTTCGGCATTGAGCACTCTATTGGACAGACTGGAACCTGTTTTATAGCCAACATACAATGTGGCTGCGTATCATAATATCAGATGTAAAAGAGCATAGGGCAGCTGCTACAGGATATTCCAAGGACACGCACACTAGTGGCTGTTCTTTTCAACCCATAGCATTTTCACAGGTGATAGTACAGTGTTGCACGTGTGGCCTGCTCACCTGGTTCACAATCACGGCCGCGGCCGAATCGTGCCCTGTCGCAGCCGTCGCACACGTGATCGCGTGACCTCGCTCTGCAGCTCGCGCCATTCTTGCATGGATTGGGGGAGCAGCGATTACCTATTCACGCCGAGAGGATATACATACAATGCAGATACAAACCATTTTAGACGTAATTAAAAAATTGTGGTGAAACTCTCTACAGCATCTGATCTCTCTCTCTCTCTCTCTCTCTCTCTCTCTCTCTCTCTCTCTCTCTCTCTCTCTCTCTCTCTCTCTCTCTCTCTCTCTCTCTTTGTATCATGCCTGCCTAACTTTTCAATTAACCCACTTGATACAACCAGGCTGGGCCTGGCTTTATCGTCAATGATAGAGTCGTGTAGAGCAGCAATGAACAACCTGAGTCGAATATGTGTCACTGATGGCCTTTCTATTTATTTGCTTTACCAAACACCAAGATGCCGTGTATCCTCAAGCTGCAGTGCTCAATGTCCAATGGCAATGGACAGAGCCAGCAAAACACCAGGTAGTACACAACAATGGTACTTCGAAGTACAACCAAGTCATCCTACCCCTTACTCCATCGTTTATGTTTTAAATTAAAAAAGCACTCATCAGGCGGCAGCTTGTGTCACAAGTTTACCAAACTACATACATGTGTCAAGCCATCCTCTCATGCAAGCACACCTACCTCCAACAGGTCTCCGCACTGGCGTGTCGCTGTCCCCGGGCCCCGGTGTCGGCGGCACGGTGTCGCTCGGTGCCCTCTCTGCTCCCGGGCCCGCGTCACCAGGGTTCGGCCGCGGAGCACTGGGTTGCGGACGCGGTGTTCCGCAGAAGTCCGTCTCGGAAAGCCTGGCGTTGCACTCAAAGCGGCCCTGCGAAGAGAAGAAGACGGGCTTGATGCACTCGCGCCGTCGCCGCCGGAATCCACTTGACGGGCTGCAGTTGCTCCATTGTCCCCAAGGACCAGCATCATTCTCAACTACACCACACAGGAAGAGCATAGGAACATGGGTGAAGTGATGTGACTGATTTACGGAACCTAAACGTACAAGTCAATGGGCTCGGTGAACTTCAGGCACTCTTCTCCTTCTAACAGTTACAATGCAGTTCCCATGGGAGCATGTGTAATTGCTTCACAAGCTGAAGCGCACCCCGCCGCAGTGCAATTTAATGGAAATGAAAAAATATTTGGTTTTTCTACCGAAATCTTGGTGTCGTATCTTGAAATTTCCACACATCACAATGGCTGTGTAATTCTTTATACCAAACAAGAAAGTGGACGGGGAAGGAGTTACATTTCCAGTCCGGTTTTACACAATCAGGACTTGCTTTACATGCACAACTGCCAGTGTATGGCAAACAATGATCCAAAATCCACTTGTGCCTTGTGGCCTATCAGGCGCCAAATTTCAAACCGGAATTTTCCTGAAATCAGTTTTAGCATTGCTGGACCAATCATATTTTCTGAATGGACGTGGAGGGAAATGCTGTCGTGGACACGGAAATCCGGCGGAGGTCAAACGACCCCAGGGCGTTGGCCATGCAGCCGCGAGTACGCATACGATACGCACATGCAACGTTCTGTACGCACACTGAGGGCCGGCACAGGCCCCGGTCATTCGACCGGACTTCCATGGCGACGACAGTACTAGCACATTCTACTACTACTACCTTACCAGGCTCGCAGTCCCGACCGCGGAAACGCCTGCGATCACAGTTCAGGCACACATGATCACGTGACCTCGCACGGCACGTGGCACCATTCTGGCACGGATTGGGCGAGCAGCGCCCCTCTGCAGATAAGAGCCAAACAACAACAATGACTTTTTGTTACGTGCACACATACACATGTACCCGAGTCATATTATTTTACTAAGTTAGCCGATTGTCCGCAGGATGAATACTCGTACATAGCTGAACCTGCATTATTTGCTAGGCAATAGAAGACATGTCCTTGTTTAGCATTGTGTCGTACCACGCACCAAAGCATATGTAGCATTGTAGGTCACGCGGCTTCAACTCTAGTTCAAGGTTGGATAAGCGCGACTGCACTGAGAATTGACACACGCCGAAGCAGATGTTCCCGACACTGTGCATGCGCGCGCGCAGGCGCGTGCGTGTGTTTGTGTGCATGTAACACCTGGGAACTCTGCAGTGTGACGGTGGGTGTCAGCTAGAGGTCAACGCGTAGGAATGAATGGGGGCGGGCGTGCGTAAATCAGTGTTGCACTGACACTAACAGGTGCCACCGCTGAGTCACGGTCACGGGTAATCCTGATCAAGCAACAACACGTGCACGCGGCATGTACAATAATATGAACATGTTCATGGTGCCATTTCTGTGTTGCACTGCCATGTGTGGCCTCAGCAATGCACAGCACTTTGGCTGAGATACCAATGCTACAATCATGTAGACCTACATCGCTGGTTAGGACCTGGCAGAAACAGTACATGGACTAGCCACTAGCTTGTGGTTCTCACCAGGGAGTAGTACAATACCCTGGTTCTCACAATACCTTGAAGTGTTCCAAACCAACACCGCTCCTGACCATTATTTTAAAATATTTTTTCGGGGAAATGACAGTTTTTAGACATCATAATCTGGCGATTGGTGCCAACTTGTGTGCTTGTAACTATTACTAACACTACACTACTCACTACTAGTCTACAGCCAGTGCAATGCAAGGCCCACACTGGGCCACAGTCATGGTGACAGATTGTCAGTATGGCTAGTCTACTACTACTAACTAAGTCTATGGATTTGGAGTATGGTGTGAGTGTGCTCTGAAGCCTAGATAGCTAGTACAGTACAGTGGTCTTTGTACTGACTACTTAGTATTAGTAGTACTATCTACAGCACGTCAATAACCCTTTTATGCCAAACAATTATGGCTGGAGAGTTTGAATGACTAGTATGATACTGATAGGTGTCAGTGCAGATATGAATGGCTAGGTCAAGAATGTATGACAAGGTCGTTGTATGACAAGGTCGTTCATACCGCAGGCTTTGACATGGACTCCTGTGTGTGTGTTAGTCCTACTACTACTAGTACTAGACACATGTGACATGAACTACGCCACAGTAGATCTACGTGCTGTCAGTGGCAGCAAAAGGATGGGACACTTCAAACTGAAATACCGGTGGCTGGTTGTGTTTCTCATACTCATACTCATAGCTAGCCGGTCGGTTGTAACTTGTAATGCGGGGGACCTACATGTAGTAGATTCTACCTGCGGACTTTATTTTTTTTTCACAGGCGGCATAGCGCATACTATATGCCTATCACTTATCACTTATCAGTATGATGAATTTTTGTCTTTTACTCACGTGCATTCACAGAACTCGGACAACACCAGACCGCTGCAAGCAGAAAGACGACAAAAGACACAAATCGCGATTGGAAAAAGTAGACATTCGATTGAAAGAATGTGGCATGCGGTTCAATAACTAGTACCGTGGTAGTTCCGACAGTAGAGATTGTCGGCCGCTATGGCCATCTACCCACCTTTCCGACAGTAGAGATTGTCGGCCACTATGGCCATCTACTAGTACCCACTTTTCCGACAGTAGATTCTATCATAATACTAATAGAGCGCAATACACTGGTTCACACTTATGATGTCGGGGATCAGTACCAGTCTATACATAGGTAGAATAACTAAGATCTACAAATAAACCAAACTGCCGGTGCCGGCGACTATGTGCAGTTGTTCCCGGCCTGGCTGCACACAAATCTAGGATGCGCGCGGCACTCACTGGGATGTGACGGCGAACCCACACAAAGCTACAGAAACACTCTCGAGTCGGATCGTAGCTGTGCCTCCAGCTAGACTGTAGTACTAGTAGACTACAGGCCATGGTAGACCATGAATCATGATATTGATAGACTCTACACTTCCCAGACCAGCAGATCCCAGGCAAATCAAAGACGGCAAATCTTCCTATCGCTCAGACCCACTACAAACGTAGGCCGCTCCACCGATGGATCTATCGCTTTGGGCATGTCAAGCGCAACGGGCAAACCGCATAGTGTCCAGCGGACCACCGACTGAATGCCGGGCTCAACAGCTCAACTATTCACATCGCTACTTTGTCTTTGCTCTAGCTACGGGTACGGGTAGTGCCCGTGTGGCCAGAAAACATGGTCGCGGATATTCCAGGAGCATGACGAAAAGCCTTGCGGCGAAGCAAATCTACTTCTTCCAGGCATCATCCTTTTCCTTGAAACCGTTTCTTTACTCATATCATGAGAAGACCATCTTGCCTCGTGAGTTGCAGGGCAATAAATAAAATCACTAATGTCACGTTACGTACCTCTCTACTACGCTACAACGGCTTAGGCCAAGAAAGGTTAGTTAGGGGCCGTCCGGGGTTACCAATAGTTTTTGCAAAAACGAAAAGTTTTAGTATTTTTCAGCACCCACCCACCTATACCTACCTTTTCTGCAGGTAAAACGAATTGAAATAAAATATTGATGTCAATTTTCGACACGCAGAAGTACAGTTGTAACTGGGCATTCTCCATCTGCATTTAATAATTATTTTCAAAACGAAACTCCTTCAAACCCACCCACCCCCAAGCGAACACTTTTCGTTTTGAAAATACTATTGGTAACCTTGAACGGCCCCTTAGGTAGGTATTTGCAGGGCAGTCAATACGTATCTAATAATTATTGACTGAGTCGAGGTCAATATAGGAAATAAAAGCTGAGTAAAAGACCAAGGCGAAGCCAAGGTCTTTTACGAGGTTTTTTATTTCCTACTGACCAAGTACGAAGTCAATATTACTAGATTTAAAGGCTGTGTTCAATCCCTAAAACGGAGTCAAATATAAGCAGTCAATATAGCCATAAGGAGTGAAATATGCAGGAATATTCGACAGCTTGGGTATAGCAAAAATCTATGGGAGTCAATACTAGGGTGTTACGTGACAATCGTGTTACTAGTACTCTGCGGTACGGAGAATACGCGTCTCGTGAGAATCTACCAAAAGTACATTGTACTTCATACCACTATCAGTGTACATGTATCAGCATAACAGCATAACAGCCATCATGTGCATCACACATACATGTACATGTGGTCATGGCTATAATTATCTACACCAGGAAAAGGACACACAAGTCACACAGTCACAGACAGTCATTGCCATACTTGGCCTAAGCCTTGGCTTTGGCTAAGCTAAGGCTAAACCAAATACTCAACGAGTGAGTAAAGCCTAAAGTAAAGGCCAACATTCAGTCATGGTTTATATTACGAGTTACGTGATCAACCCATACTAGCCATAATAGCAGTACTAGCTGCCCGCCAGCAGTACACAGACTCGATCAGCCACCACACGGAACAGATCTGAGCGTGCCTGGAAATGCATATCCCATCATCAATCATGGCTCATTCTTTCTTCAGATTCGAGGCAACAAGATGATTTTTTATCCAGTTTTTTAACAGCAATACCACTGACTTGTTAGTTCATTTCTCATTACAAGGAATACTTGGACGGGTACAGCATTCTACTACAAGTGCAGACGGGTAAGTATTTTCAACACAACGCATGCACGCACGGGATCATGGATCTTACCGGTCAAAACGATCACCGCTATCGTCAGTAGAGGTTTCCACGTTGCCATCTTTGCTCTCCCAGAACCAAAACTAAACTGAAATTGTGGACTGTCACGAGCTAGTTGGAGTTTTTATTCCATCGGGCGGCAAGAAACCAGAAGCAGCATCAAATCGATCGGCCAGGGAATCGTGCATACCGGGTGCGTAGATCTACGATTCCCTGCTTCTGGCTAACCACCCATGAATACTCGACTTTGAGATGACACCATTATGTACCAACACGCTAGTGCAGAGTTCGCGACCGCACAGCGTCCTGGCGAATGGTTTTGCTGATTCACTTTCATTACGAAGCAATAAAAATTTGTTTTGTTTCTGTACAGTCTATGTTGCAGACTATGTGGTATGTTGTCTGTAGCGTAGGCGGGCTTCCCACTGTCGCACCGGTGGTTCCTGTGCCGAAGCACATGCTGAACCACAGCTGTCTGCCATGGTCTACTGAGTACTGTAGACTCTGAGTCTTGACACATACTGACATAGCCTAAGTAGGAGGTATCATATCAGCGACCCTAACTAAGATTAGTAAGAATGAATAGTGCAAGGCATGCATCGTGCTCGTCAAGCTGGTGTTGATCTTCTTGATACTATATCGACCCCGGAGTCTAGACTAGGGCTGTACCGCAAGGAGTACAGACTACAGTCGGTGTCACTTTCTGAAGTTCTGCTGCTGCAGCGTTGACACTAACCATGTCACGTGACATGTCACTGTCAGTTCGGCCCTCCCATTATTCATGTGCATGCACAATCATGCAGATGACAATAATGGGCGCAAATCATTCAACTACATGAACTAATTGTTGTTGTTGTTGTTGTTACTTTATTTTACTTCACCAGAATTACAGGGAGTAGAATGCCTTCTCACTAGACCAGGTCTAGAGTTGCACATCATCGTTAATCCACAGCGTTGAGACACTGATATTCCAGACCGTACCGGCTGTAGACAGCTGCTTCGCTCCAACAGAGCTCATCAGTGGATGTAGACGTTTCAGGTGTTTGAATGATGTTAACGTATACATGTGTGTGTCGTTACAACTTTTAGTTTTAGTGGTCCAAACTGGTGTGGCAGATTTCCACAAACATGCAAATAGTGAAATACAGTTACCTGGTACACAACGGTAGAAGAGATCATGATATCAGTGCACTGACAAGCGGCTACTACTACTAGTAGATCTACATGTACATGTACCACGGTAGCGCCCTGGCCTGGGATAACACCTCACTCCTTTTACACGTTTCGTCTCAGGATTACCAAGTACATGTTCATGATGATGATGTACAGTCATGTACGTGTAGATCTACATGACTGTAGGTATTTGGAGCTCATATCACGACAGTTTTATATAGCAGAAATAGACAAAAACGGATCGAAGAAAAGGAACTCCAGATTCAGTGTAACTCGCCGGAGCCGTCAAGTGACTGCTTCGCACCATTTGAAACATTTTCATGATGGGTCCGCGCGGAGGCCTTTATTTCAGATCAAGAGCTATCTTGGATCACTGTGAGCAGGGAGTGGTGCTTTCTTGAAAGTTTGCCGAATGAAACGTTCGCCATGCTTCTCGTGTGCTCCACGAGGGATAATCATAAGTCAGTCGGCAGGAAGCGCGACTTGAAATCCCAAGTCACACATGTATCCAGCACTGAGTCTTGCAACGGTTATGTACCAGTAAATGTACGGGTGCTCATATTGCTGGAATATTCCATATTCCATAGTCTCCATTGTCTCTCAGCAATACCACCAGTCCTGTACATGGCTGAAGTACAGCAGTGTTACTGGTGAATCGACCATTGATTAGTATTATTGCCAGTTGACACTGCAATGTAACCTTCGAACTCGAAGCCTACCCGGCCGGGATTGCCGCAGGTCTGCGGCACGTCATGTCGCTTGACCGTTATGCTTGACATGCCAAGAGCGATTGATGCCATCGGTGGAGCGGAACTGACGAAGGGCGAAGACTGAGCCCGAGGTTCCGACCGTTCGGTCTCTTTGATTGGCTGGCCTCTGCTTGCCCGTACAGTAGTAGATCTACTGTGTAGCTGGAAGTGGGACTACGCGGCTTCTTTGGCTCTTTCAGTCTTTGTGGATGCATCGCCTGACTTGCCATGTCTCAGTGAGTGCCAACATACTGCACTGCCATGTGCATGCCACTGTACTGGATCGAAAACAAAAGATAGCTCCTGCAGCGCGCTTTTTGCTTTGAATTACTTCAGTCTTCAGTAACTACATGTATTACTTCAGAGGTTTTGCACTATGCTTTGAGGGTGCAGAACTGCTGTCCAAGGCCAAGGATAGTCTTATTTGAATTGACCTTTTTTGAAAGACTCACCTTATGGCAACACTGGCCAACACGCAGCAGAGCGGAGAGAATGCTTTCCACCCAAACCGTGCACTACAGCCATTGTGTAGAAGTGCAGTAAAGTTCGAACATTCACGTTGTCAAGAATGGACTCGAATGGAGAGCCAAGGATGAATTTATAGAAAAGAAAAAAAGGACCGAGAAACTAGAAGTGTTAGTGGACATGTTAGCGTAATTTGTAGTTCCTTGGTCCTGTTTCTTTTCTATCAATTCACGTTGTCCTTCTCCGTTTCTTCCATAATATTATTATAATAATAATTATTGGCTCACCATCCGAGTTCAAATTCACGTTAGTACCCGTTATTATTGCGTTGGGAAACACAACCAGCTTCAGAAGTTTGACTTGTGCCAGGCCACGTGACCATGCCAGCCTGATTAGTAACTACATGTATACCCCTGTTGTGCTATTTTCTAAACCAATTTATTGCTACTACATTACAGTCATGTACTGGGTTTCCTGGAGCTAGGCTAGAGACCAGTACTGGCAGTAGGGCTTCCTTCCTGCTGCACATACACGGTAGCATGGTACTGTCGTGGACATGGAAATCCAGTCGGTGCTTGATCAAGGCTCAGGACACAGACATGGTCCAGATAAGCCTTTCTGCACAACATCCCATGCACACAATACCGTAAACATGTGCCTTATGCACATTGCACAGATACGAAGCACTGCAGAATCCCGTGGAGCTGGGTGGGATGCTAGATATACATCGCGGTTGCTGGTATTCCCACTGTGATTGTATTTTCATTATTTTATTGGTTCGGTGAGACTCCCATGATAGGTATCCATTTACCTCTGGAGAATCCGTAAATAAACAAAACAAACAAACTATGGAACAGGTGCAAAGCCACTTCGAGGCACTGCCTGGTTTGGAAGAACAGCCAGGCACTCAGTAATGCCATCCGTCAAGATTAACTGCTGGAGAACATCACTGGTCTTCCGCCCAGCCTAGCTCATGCACACTCACATGATGTGGTGCATCTATAGAAATAAGGCCTCTACTTTCCCACTCATGGCACGTTCTGCTCGAAGGATGCGCACTCCTGCGGATGTGTTCCTGTCGTGTCACAGCTGTTAATGCCTCATCAAGCGTATTCACCCAGGCTACACCCAGATTACACCCGGGTATCAGCATTGAAGTTCAATAATGATGCCATGGTGTGAGACTTGGACTACGTCCACTGCTGTTGTCACTATGACTATGTAGCTGGCGCCGCACCGCTTGAGCTCTCTTGGGTGCCATTCTATCACTGCTATGACTGCCCAAAACCTACTATAAAGCTGGATAAAGGACTGTTTCTGCTGCTTATATAAGAAGGTGAGCCGCAGCATTCGGCCGGTTGGGGTGCAGTCGATGCTCGCATAATTTTCTCCTGCTCGTATCACCAATGTACTGATTATGAAGAATGATGGTGTGAAAGGCCTCATCGGTGTTACCAGTTGCTTCTTTGCGTTGTGTGCAAATGTCTGGTAATCCTGCGGTCAACTGATTGTTACTTCCGAAGTAGTTCTGCTGTGCGTGTTTTCACTCTCTCTCTCTCTCTCTCTCTCTCTCTCTCTCTCTCTCTCTCTCTCTCTCTCTCTCTCTCTCTCTCTCTCTGAGCCTCTGTTGCAGAACTGGAGGCCTGCTCAATCAGCCCATTCCGAAATGGTGCCACACGTTGCACCAGGTCGTGTGGCTGCTGCGATCACAGTGCCGTCGAGTGAGTGTCCCGTGATTCCAAGGGTGGCGGCGCAAGTGCATCAAGCCAGTCTTTTCGCCCTGCGAAGTCTTTGAGTGTAGCGCCAGGCTTTCCGAGACGGGACACCGCGGAGTGCCAAGTCAGGATCACAGGATCAGCAGCCAAGTGCACCATGTCCTGATCATGGTAAACTGCAGACATATCAGCCTAACCCCTATAAAAGCTGTAACCGAATGTCTGATTGCTCAACGAGATGTTTTCAGAGACTGAGTCGTAACAAGACAAACCACTATAAGCAAGAGTATAATAACTTCCCGTATACTCTTACTACAAGTAATAGTTGTAGTGCAAGTGCACTGCAACGCAGTCACTATTGGCTGCTTTTCAATCCTGGCGCATGAGGCATCAGCGGGTAATGCTAGCATTAAAACTAGCATAATGGGGGTGTTCGCAGAGGGGGGCATTGCCCCGGCATAATGAGGCATCTTTTTGGAGAAACTAGCATAATTCGGGATTTTCAGCGTCTTTGTGGTCCACTTCACAACAATAACACACACAGAAGTCTCTGCTGTGAGCACGGTGGCTCGGCAATGGCGGGTAATGCTAGCATTAAAACTAGCATAATGGGGGTGTTCGCAGAGGGGGGCATTGCCCCGGCATAATGAGGCATCTTTTTGGAGAAACTAGCATAATTCGGGATTTTCAGCATCTCATGGCCAGAGAGTCGTAGAATACAGTACTCCCCGATCAACCTGATCAACCGCAAACTATACCATTGCGTACAACGATGTCGCCTTTGTACGAGTAGAAGTAGTCTACCACCGATCAATCAATTTTTGCGCGTATATCTTTATACATGTATGTACTTTGGAAACTGACTTTTTCGCGTACTCTTCTGCGATTTGTTTGCTGTATTTGGTCATTTTGTATTATAATTCTTGCTTGCATAAAACGCCCTAAACTAGCATAAAAAGCATTAAAACGAGCATTATTATCCTGTTTTTGCTGGCATTCTGAAAAGCATAATCGACTGAGTTTACTAGCATTACCCGCTGATGCCTATGGCACATTCATTCTTCAGATTCTTGCAAATCGTAGCAACAAGATCACTTTTTAGTTTTTACAAAGTTTTTATTAGCAATTCCGCTGAGTTGTTTGTTCATTTCTCATTTCACAAGGAATACTTGGACGGGTACAGCATTTTACCGCAAGTGCAGACGGGTAAGTAACAAGTTTCAACACAACGCAGAGTTCGCGACCGCACAGCGTCCTGGCGAATGGTTTTGCTGATTCACTTTCATTACGAAGCAATAATATTAAATTTGTTTTTGTTTCTGTACAGACTATGTTACAGTATGTAGTATGTTGTCTGTAGCGTAGGCGGGCTTCCCACTGTCGCACCGGTTCCTGTGCAGAAGTACATGCTGAACCACAGCTGTCTCCCATGGTCTACTGTAGACTCCGAGTCTTGGCACATAGCCTAGGTAGGAGGTACCAGCGACCCTATTACTGAATTTAGTGCAAGTCATGCATCGTGCTTGTCAAATTGGTGCTGACCTTCTTGATACGATTGACCCCGGACGGGCAGGAGTCTAGACTAGGGCTGTACCGCAAGGAGTACAGACTACAGTCTGTGTCACTTCTGAAGTTCTGCGGCTGCAGCGTTGACACTAACCACGTCAGTTCGGCCCTCCCATTATGACATAATGGGAGGGCCGAACTGACGTGGTTAGTGTTGGTACGTCATGTACATGTACATGTACATGCAGATGACAATAATGGGCGCAGGGCCATGCAGACCATTCGACTAGTACTAGTACAGACAGTGTATTATTATGTACTTGCACATCGTCGTCACACCGTTGAGACACTGATACATGTATTCCAGACCCGCAGTAGACAGCTGCTTCGCTCTACCTCTACTGGCTCTAGGCAACAGAGCTCATCAGTGACAGTGGATGTGGACGTTTCAGTGTTTGAATGATGTCAACATGGTCAACGTGTACAGTCATGTATATGTACATGATTGTGTACTTCAGTCTTCAGTAGTTACTTTCTTATAGGGCTTGAAAGTGCTACGTCACAGCATAGCAACAATTTCAAAAATTCAAAAACTGGATCCACTTGGATCCAGTTTTTGTATGGATCCAAGCACATTTAAAGCCGTCTTACTCACAGCAAGGTGATGTAACCAGTGAAACTGACTGATTTGGCTACTGGGGGCGGGGTTACAACTGGTGGCGAAATAAAAGTCACACCTGCATGCGACATGAGTGGGTTGCTATGCACCCACATACTTAAGGTGGCAGTCTGGGTTCAGAGGGTCAAAAAACAAAGTTTCGATTTTCTGTATTTTTTCACTGGCAGCGTCTTGTGTATGGTCCAAAGGGTTTATCCTGAAAATTTGAGCGTAATCGGGTGCTTCCTTCCGGAGATATAGCCGCGCAAAGTCTGCACAATTGTTTTTGAAATACTGAAATATCAGCAAATTTCTACAAAATTTAGGTTTGCACACTATTCCGATTTTTACCGTCAATCTTTGAGCGATTTCATTAAAATTTTCTGGAGCGACTCCTGGTACTCCTCTGCGCTGCAGACTGACAGCCGCGCACGATCTTTGTCACCATGGCAACCAAGATAACTTTTGCGCATGCGCAAATTCAAAAAAATTCAAATTTCGACTCTCATGATCTCAGCTGATCGCTCTGCTGTTGAAACTAGTTACTTTTGGAGTAATTGTTTTGGAGTAATTGTTTCTTGGAGCTAACCCCTTCGTTGGCTACTATGGGGAAGTCTAGAGCCAAGGGAAAGCCCGGACGATCTAAGAAAAGGAAAAGAACGTTCTATGGAGTGTCTCAGGCGCCGAAGGCTCCCTCTGGTGAAATTTCGCCTGCAAAACAAATTCCTGACTTGCCACTGTCTGATGACGACCTTGAAGTGTCAGCTGAAGCCACGTCTTCAAACAGCGATAGTGATGGAAGTGGCGGTGAAGTCGACAGCAGTTCCTCCGACAGTGACTTGGATGAAGAGTGTGAGGAAGGGGCGCATGGATTTCGCCTGATTGATCTCGAGTGCCTTCAGCAGCTTTTGTCAGCTGCAGTTTGTTGCAGTGGCTGTAATGGCGCAGTCACGATCAGCGAATCGCAACGGGGAGGCCTTGCATCATGCCTGGAGCTTTCCTGTGTTAACTGCGGCGACATAGCAAGCGAATTTATGTCCAAGAAGTTCAATCGGGTCTGGGAGGTGAACAGACGAGCAGTATTCGGAATGCGACTGATTGGCCGTGGACGTCAATCAATGGTAAAGCTGGCGGGTGCACTGAATATGCCATCACCTATGAGTCGGTCGACATTTTACAGCCATGCTAAAGGCCTGCATTCCGCGTCCAAGAGCGTCGCTGAGCGTAGCATGACTGAGGCAGCTGAGAAAGCAGTGTCCGCAGCAGATGGGGGTAGCGATATCGCTGCTTCCTATGACGGTACCTGGATGCGCCGAGGATTCGCATCGCTCTTCGGAGCCTTCACTATAATTGCATATGATGTCGGCAAAGTGGTGGACTGCGAAGTGCTTTCAAAGTTTTGCCACAAGTGCACGCACTTGGCGTCTAGAAAAGAGAAGGGAGAGCTAACCAAAGATGACTATGATCGACAGATTGCCGAACACGATTGCTCAGTCAACACCACTGTATCAGCTCCTGCCATGGAGAGTGCAGCCGCCAAGACTCTGTGGGCCAGGTCCTTTGAGAGCCGCAAGCTGAGGTACACCACCTACATTGGTGATGGAGATACCAAGAGTTTTAAGGCTGTGCGTGACGCTTGTCCGTATGGGCCCGAGGTGCCTGTAGTCAAGGAGGAATGTGTCGGCCACGTTCAAAAACGCATCGGTACCAGCCTAAGAAAGCTGAAGAAAAACCTTGCGGGCAAGAAGCTTGCTGATGGGCGCACTATAGGCGGACGTGGTCGCCTTACGGATGCCATGATCGACAAGCTGCAAGCCTACTATGGCATGGCTGTGCGGAACAACAGCGGAGACTTGCAAGGCATGGCCAGGGCCATATGGGCATCCCTCATGCATCGTGCATCCAGCGACAGTAAACCTCAGCACCAGTATTGTCCGCCTGGAATTAACAGCTGGTGTAGATGGCAGCAGCAACAGGCAGGTGGTGATGTCTACGCCCACCACAATATCCTGCCAGAGGCAGTATGGAAGGAACTGAAGCCGGTCTACATTCGGTTGTCCGACCGGAGTTTGCTCGAGCGCTGCCAGAAGGGTGCTACGCAGAATCGCAACGAAGCGTTCAATGGACTCGTGTGGCAGTTGTGTCCAAAGACAGGCTTTGCATCCGCTCCCACTGTCCAGATGTGCGTCTACCTGGCCGTGGCCTGGTTCAATGATGGAGGTGTGGCAGTGAAACGCGTTCTGGACGAGATGGGCCTCCCTACTGGACACCATACGACACGTCTCATCAAGCTGCTAGACCGTGAGAGACAGGCACATGCTGCCAGAAAGAAGTCAGAAGAAGGGAAGAGGTCACGAAAGAAGCGAAGGAGGATCAGGAAAGGCATCCAGGATGAGCAGCAAGAGGAAGAAGGTTTGACATATGAAGCTGGTGGCTTCGACTAAGTTCTAGTAAGTTCTAGTTGGACAGACATACCTCCATCTGTACTTGCACAGAGCACTTTTTTTCTCCATTTTCCACTGAGTCCCGTACCTCTTAGACAGCGTAGCGAAGAACCTGTAAGTCACAGACCCCATAAACCATACATTTTTGGAAACTGTGAGCATTTATCAAGGTGCTAAGTGTCATGGATTTTTATATTTGTCTAGTAGCTTTGAGTAAAGTGCTACTGATCGAGGACCTAAATTTTGCGCGATTGCATGATTTTTGTTTGACAGCTTGAGTACTTTGTTCTGAATATGATTTCAAAATTCCGCTCCACTTAGCACCTAGGTATATGTGAAGGAAATCCTGTGGAGCACTCAGTTTCTACCCAGCTTCTTTCTGCGTTTGCATATTGCGTCTAAGGTATTGGTGGTACGGCATAATCGCAGATTTGACTATTGTGTCTGCGGATTCCCATGTGTGAGCTTGATTTATACTTCATTGGACTTAGTGAAATACACTGGGTATGTGGTCAAGATTTGAGCAAAATTCATCAATTATTATGGAAGTTACGGCTGTGTTCATGCGGTCGGGCCGCGAACCCAGACTGCCACCTTAAGCAATAGCAAAGTCACACCTTAGTGGATCCAAAAATAGAGATCTGATGTCAACTTACTAGTCCCTGGCCGTTTTGACGTCATCACTTTCAAGCCCTATTGCCTAGGTCAAAACTGTTGCATACAAGAAGTGTGATATGCTAGGTAAGGGCCTCAGTCACATGATGAACTGAAGGTGTTGGCGTAACTAGGTAACAGACGTTTTAGCAAGCAAAGGGTGAGAATTCGAACGCGCACTGCTGGGATATGCCGACATGGCACAGAGCGCTATAAATGGTGCGAAAACAATAAGCAGTCAGTGGTACTGATGAGGGACAATAATGATACATGTACTTTATCTTTATACCGCGGTAGTAGATCTATTACAGGTGTAGATTTCCACAAAATAGTGTTAATAGTAATACAGTTACATGGTACACAAAGGCAGAAGAGATCACTGAGTCAGGAGTCAGGACCTGTACTCGTACTGAGTTAATTTAAAACTGAGTACTTAGTTAATTAACTGAGTACTGAGATAACCAGAGAAAGTTTCTTATGCAGTCTTCAGGAATAATTGTGCGAGCCGCGGTGACTAGATGTGGATCAGGGAGTCGTAAAATACCCCGTATTTTACGACTCCCTGATGTGGATCGAGTCAGCGCATCGGTTGCTGGAAGATCTGAATTGAGAAGGGATTCGGAACAACTCCCGTGTACTCCGTTATCCAGGCGTTGTTGCCACTTTGATTGTAGCAAGTGTGAATCCTCTGTGGAGCGAGCAGAGCGCCAACTGTTGGGGCGGAAGGATGTTGAGCTCTGGGTGGGTGCTGATAATAGGGCTTGAAAGTGATGACGTCAAAACGGCCAGGGAGTAGTAAGTTGACATCAGATTTCTATTTTTGGATCCACTAAGGTGTGACTTTGCTATTGCCTAAGTATGTGGGTGCATAGCAACCCACTCATGTCGCATGCAGGTGTGACTTTTATTTCGCCACCAGTTGTAACCCCGCCCCCAGTAGCCAAATCAGTCAGTGTCACTGGCTACATCACCATGCTGTGGGTAAGACCGCTTGAAATGTGCTTGGATCCATACAAAAACTGGATCCAAGTGGATCCAGTTTTTGAATTTTTGAAATTGTTGCTATGCTGTGACGTAGCACTTTCAAGCCCTGAAGTAACAAGTTGATGAAGGACATTAAACTTTAAAGAGGGGGACTACAGACACTAGTTTATAGTAGATGTCTGGAAAGGAACCAAGGGAGAGTGATTCATTGAAAATATGACAGAGGGGACCAGCTAGTTCTTTTGCCCAGATCTTCAGGGGAAGGGGTGGCAGTTCGTCGGATCAGTTGGATTTGAAAGGGGATATCTTCCTGAAGAGCTTGGAGGCTTCAGTGATTGTGACAGGGGTGAATTGACATGTCGAAATGATCAGGAGGAAAAATTCATGCAAAATGACCAGATGCCTTGTGACCACTCGGCCCTGCCGGTGCCGGCCCTGCACTGTGTGTTGTAGTCACGAGTTACGGCAAGATGTAGACAGGATCATGGACATCACCGACACTAGACACTGAGACAGACTCACAGTCAGTGCACACCCGCTACTGAACTGTGAAGACTGAAGACAGTGAAGTGTAATGACTATGATTGTCATCATACATGCTACTGCGGCAGTACTGGTAATACTTGTAAGTAAAGACTAAGTAAGTAATTATTTTAGATTTAGTTAGTTGTAGTGGATGGTATGTGCACTGAGTCTGTCTGTCGATGCAGCACGTCGCATGATGATCATGATGATGAAGCCGTGAAGGCGCCGCTAGGTGAAAAGCCCGCGTCCCATCTGTCAAGTGTCTTGCAGTACAGCTGCAAGGACTACCTCCGCGGCCGATCCGGCCGTATTATTATCCTGGTATCGGTAAGTCAATAGATCCACACTGACTGTGTCAGACATGATGTATGTAGATCTACTCCGCACTCGCGTAGTCGACTCCGCGATCCGCACTACACTGGAGACCGTGACCGTCTTCATCATCTTGGTACCGTAGGCGTAGTGTTCAACTGTGCGTTTGTGTGTTTGTAGAAGACGCCATTGTCTGTATTCGCTCCCTGCGACGGCCGAGTTTTTTTTAGACCTGTTCGACTGCACTGGGCAGGATATAATCCAGTTGACAGCAGCAGAGTCTGCCCCATCGGACCTGTAGCAGCAATACGCCAATAATTTCTCTCATAACAGTACCGCAGTCATTTCCTAAAGACTTCAGTAACAGTTCGTTTGGTGGTGGCGGTGTAGGCAAGGCCACGGGCCGAAGCGGATGGTTGGAGAGCAACGTCGAGTGATCATGGCTATCGAGTCATGGTGATGTGTTGACGAAAGCGCAAACCGAAGCTACACGATCTCTGAAGCAGTCCACGGCAAGGTACATGCCAAGAAGTGTAGAACTAGAAGTAACAGTTACTGACCAACTGTTAGTGTTGGTGTTGCTAGAACGTGCATTCTTTTTCTGTGATTCAAGAAAAAATTTCACTGGGTCGTGGGTGTATACCTACCACTGAGTCTGTGTACCAGGTGTACGGCTATGACTGTAGTGTATGGACGAGGTCAGATCATCGCACATGCGGTTATTGTATCCATGGAGTGTATGAAAACAGACTCAGTGAGTGCACTGCTGTAAATAAAAGGCTATACTATTACTACTGTAGTTTTGTATGGAGTATCGGACAGATCTAACTCGTATTGGGATTCGAATGGCAAGTTTGCCACCGTATTGGGTGGCGAAACGATCATGCACACGGTCAGGGGTGGCGGAAGATGGATGTTGACTTGGCCAGCCCGGGATACCCGGCCACTTATCTGTGTGTTTCAATTTTCAATTGGGGCAATCTTGGTCACGTAGTTTCATGCTTTTCTTTCCATCACTATTACAGTGGTATCCATGACAAAGTTTGACGAGCAAATATTAATTAGCCGCCGGGCTGAACAAAATTTTGAGTCACCAAGACATGATTGCTTTTTCATTTTTCAATCTACGCAATCAAAGTTTTGCCGCAGAAGAGGAGCACTCGAGTACCTTTTGTCCCTGACCAATGCTTTGTGAATTGGAAGCTCCATTCTACGTGCAGATGCACATGTTCACAACCCACGTGGAGCAAGCTTTCTTTCCCTGCCATGCTATAATTATCTCGAGCTTCAACTACTGGACATTTCCAGGAGCGTGAAACTAAAACACAGCCCCATTACCACCACGTGCACATCAGCAAAGAAAGCACGAGCTTTCTTGGCTAATGACTGTGCACTGGCTTCGATATCGCGTATAATCGGTACACAGTACTGTGGGCCGCCGAAGAACGGCCAGGCTAGCAGTTCACAACTTTCTAAGAGCGGTGAAGGCTGGATTTTTTTCAGTTAAAATCGTAATCTACACTATTATGTACACTCAGACGTAAGACTCTGCATAAATGTACATGAAAGACTGTAGATCTACCATCGAGTAAGAACGAAACTGCTGTGTTTGCTAAAAATAAGAACAGGGTAGGCTACAACCGTGACCTCCCCAATTCTTCAGCGCCCGACAGTACTGTATGACGGTAGTAAGTCTACATACACACTGCGCCTCTACCATGCAGTCTACATGCTCACTGCGCTTCTACCATGCAGTCTACATGCTCACTGCGCCTCTACCATGCAGTCTACATACACACTGCGCCTCTACCATGCAGTCGACATACACACTGCGCTTCTACCATGCAGTCTACATACACACTGCACCTCTACCATGCAGTCTACATGCTCACTGCGCCTCTACCATGCAGTCTACATACACACTGCGCCTCTACCATGCAGTCTACATACACACTGCGCCTCTACCATGCAGTCTACATACACACTGCGCCTCTACCATGCAGTCTACATACACACTGCGCCTCTACCATGCAGTCTACATACACACTGCGCCTCTACCATGCAGTCTACATACACACTGCACCTCTACTATGCAGTCTACATGCTCACTGCGCCTCTACCATGCAGTCTACATACACACTGCGCCTCTACCATGCAGTCTACATACACACTGCGCCTCTACCATGCAGTCTACATACACACTGCGCCTCTACCATGCAGTCTACATACACACTGCGCCTCTACCATGCAGTCTACATGCTCACTGCGCCTCTACCATGCAGTCTACATACACACTGTGCTTCTACCATGCAGTCTACATACACACACTGCGCTTCTACCATGCAGTCTACGATGGTTTACAAGTCAACTATTTACTTCCCTAAGAACCACCACGGGTACAAAACCAACTCACGAATAATGACACTTTTTTTGTTGGGCAGAGAAATTGCCAGTTTGACTACGTATTTTCAACCTCAGTCATAACGACAGCTTGAGTAACAAAAAATCGTCAACAACAACATGATTTCGTGCCCCGAGACCCAGCTTGCGGTGTGAATAGCGACGTTTTCATCAAATGAGTGTCGTGCCGCTGCCGTATACCTTGACATCTAAGACTCAGGTCTGTAGTCAAAAATGTTCTGATTTCAGCAAAGTCAAAGAACATATCCCTTCACTTCCTGGATATCAATATTTTAAGAGCTAGAGCGTGCTGGGTGGTACGTAGGTGTAGAACTCGATGCGGCCGACTGGCTGTGTGGACACCAGGGCCGCGCAGGCGCGTGCACCGTATGAGTTTTTTGGTGTCTGGAAACCACCTTTTTTCGGGCAATCTTGCCAAAAGAAAAGCGTAGACCTACTGGATTGGTTATCAGGTTATCGATCCTGCAAACGTATCGATCGACGGGCAGTTTACAGTACAGTGACTATGTCCATATTTCGAAGTGAGAGAGAGTTGCTTTGCATGCAGTTCGAAATACATTATTCTCTTTTTCTTCAGTGGAGAGTAGCCACGGAGGGATCGATCTCTAGCTCTGGTTCGCTCCTGGATTGGCGATGACGTTCAAGATATCCGTTTTGTCTCGAAATTTGAGTCAAGCACGCGCGATGCAAGTCAGTTCAAGGATATGATTGACGATATCTCCTTCAAAACCGTTGACTCAAATCAAGATCGCCACAGCCTTTCGTTCTCGCTCATGTGCGCAGCAGAGATGTTCGTCAAAAACGTTGTCGACTGGAAGACGTAAAAACGTGCGTCCATGACCCACTTGCGCTGCTTCAGAACGAAGCGCTGCTCCGGCCGCGATTCAAGGACGCGGGGCTTCGCTTTTCTTCCGCGAGCTTCCATCGAAGCAAGGTCCATAACTCTCTATTGAAATCATGTGGAACATTGCCAATACATGCTGAAAACTTCGTCATAAGAACAGAAAGAAAGATACGTCGAATGTGTTTTGATGAAACAAACAAGCCTGGAATGGACTAGTGAAGTACCACAGTCTGATAGGCATAGTGTTATACTTATAGACTGTAGTGTAGCCTGGACGGCTAGGCCTATCAAACTTTTACGTGTTCAATAATTATGACAAACATGTACATGAGTACATTGACTTTTGCACTCTCTTTGCAAATGCTTTTTGAAGTGCTGGTATGTAAAAGGTAACCCGTTTTATCCTGCTATCGATTATACATGTACCAACATTTCCATGTAACCGGCATCGTCCCCTCCCTCCATTCCTCTTTATTCATATTTCTGCCCTTTCTACCCCTGTACCTGGTTCCTTCTCAGACGCGTTTGTGCCGGCATGATCTGATGATAGCAGTCGGACGAGCCCCGCATCTCATCAGCACCAGTGTTCATTGGTGCCCTGCACCCCTGATCTTGAGTCTCCCCCCTCCCTCCTCCCTAGCCAGCTGCCCTCGCCGTTATCTCCGACGGGATGTTCGGGGGATGCGCATGTGCACAAAATTCATACATAATTATACAATGGGGCCCCAGAAAAAATTACCAACTCTAGAAACCCCCCTTTCAAGACTCGGTGCACGCCACTGCAGGGGTGCACGTGGAACAATAGAGCGTATGAGGAGGACATGTAGGTGTACTGTAGAGTCGCCTGCACGTGTTTCTGCAATGCCAATACGAGTACACTGTGGATCCGCAAGTGAAAGTCATGACCCAAAGTCACCTCCCTTCTCTTTTCAAGTCATGTGCAAACTCTGGGCATTTATAGTTTGACTTCATTGTCGGTGCAGTACTGATAGTAAAGCTTGAGTGGAAATCCTGAATTGAAATGCTTCAGTTTCCTAGGAGACTAGAATGCAATAATACTGGGAAGGAGGACACACTTCAGGCACTTGAACATTTCGAAAATTTTCACTAATATTACAAGTATTACTTTCAAGCCTTCTAGTCAGCTGAAATACAGGCAAAATCAAGCTAACACAACAGCGATGAATGTGTGACCCATACACACACATGTAGAAAGAAATTTTAGCTCTTCTTTCTTGCACTTGCAGGCAGGCATAGTGGGGTGGTCTGAGGCGATAATTCAGAAACAGAGGGTACAGGTCTACTCTCCATGTAACGTAATCTCTGGGACCAAGCAAAAATAATGTTATATCGAGAGTTATGTTATGTACCTGAAAACCGTGTGTAAAATACAAGATGTACCTCACAGTGAAGGGTTTTAAAAGGCGGATTCAACCATGCAAACATATACACACTGTACCGCCATCGACATCAGATGCAATCAATGCCGCAGAATATATGCACAATAGGACTAAACTGGCTAGCTACGGCTACAGCTTGATCGCAACGCACACGTGAATCTACGCTGTATCGAGAGTGCGCACGTCGCGGACCGCGCCGCAGCGTGCGTTATGTCGACGTTTACGTTATGTAGGACTAAACTGGCCTAAACTGGCTAGTTACAGCTACCGCTTGATCGCACCGCGCACGTGAATCTACACGTACGTTGTATCGAGAGTGCGCACGTTGGGGACTGAGCCATAGCGTGCGTTATGTCCAGGTTTATGTTATGTAGGATTATGTTGTGTAGAAAAAAAATTGTATGGGAGTGATGCTGTTTTGGCGCAGGATTTGATTTTTTTACGTACTAGTGAGGTTTACATACAAGTGAGAGTTGTTATATCGAGAGCAGACCTGTACCAGGTTCAAGTCCTGCTTGGGAGCGGAAGGGTTTTTCCAGCCGTGCTGTGGCCCACATTTAATTGGGAACTCGTGGCCTGGCACGAGGGAAGCATACATGTAGATGCAACGGATGAAATTTTCGGTCTTTGACCACTTTGGCACGGTGGGACTGATCTACTCACATCCCTCTGCTTTAGGAGCGGCATCTACGCCTTGATCCTTGGGGGTGGTGGCATTCCGACGGATGCAAAAAACTCGGCTTCCAGCCGAGTCTCACGTGAATGGTGATTTTTTTAATCCTTACGCTGTTTCTATAGCCCCTCAACTGTACTTGCACTTATATATTGATCCATTGTCCCTGTTCCTTGTATCCATAGGCAGAAAGAAGTGTGTATTTATGTGTTGTGTATGTGAAGGTGGATGGTAAGTTTGGCTTGTAATTGTTTATAGAAAAGAAAAAAAGGACCGAGGAACTACAAGTTACGCTATAATGTCCACTTACACCACCAGTAACTAAACAATCAGCTCATGCGATAACATTGCACGACACTGACCGACGGTACTGACGTTCTACAAATAACTGACTAGTAGCTCTAGCACATCTTGGTCCTTTTTCTTTTTCTATTAATTTATCCTTGGCTCTCCATCCGAGTCCATTCTTGTAATTGTTTGTTGGTATAATTATATCTATTTTCTTCACCAAAATGAACAGGCGTTTTATGCCATCTCACGGGCCGTGATGGCCGGTTCTCACAGCATGATGAAAATAGTTTTGTATGATGGAAGAAGAAGGTCAAGTGAGACGTACAGAATCTGGCTAAAATGGGAAGAAAAGGGGCAGGAGAATAATAAGAAGGAAAGTGAGGACAGGGGAAAGGAGGATGAGAAAAGCGTCATAATGGGGATACTGTGTAGCAAGTTGTAGTGATCTCTTGTGCATAGTCAACCTTTCATGGAATCCGGCAATAATTATATCTGTGAACGGGAAGGAATCTGTTTATTGACTCGGATGGAGAGCCAAGGATACATTTATGGAAAATGAAAGGACCAAGGAACTGCAAGTCCACTAACACCACCAGTTACTAAACAATCAGCTCATGCGATAACATTGCACGTTACTGACCGACGGTACTGACGTTCTACAACTACTAGTAACTGGCTATCAGCTCTAGCACGTCTTGGATGCGCACTCCATCAGCCTTCCAACTTGGAAGGTTATAACTTCTAAGTTATAATGATACATTAAGAGGGGAAGTTGAGCGCAACCAAGACAAGCACGAGCTGAAAGTCTCAGCAAGGATGTTGGCGGATGTTAATGCATGTCGATAACGATACTGGAAAGACCATTGGACAATACGGTCAAATCACGATTCAAGGACGCAAAGCAAAATTTCACACATCCTCGCATGAGCTGATTGTTTAGTAACTGGTGGTGTTAGTGGACATTATAGCATAGCTTGTAGTTCCTTGATCCTGGTATTTTCTATAAATCTTTTATTTATTTTTTTGTAAAGAGAAGAGGACCTATAAGTTACTAGTAATGACTAACAGTCCACCAAGGTTACGAGATAATATTCAGTCAGATAGTGCGACAACGAGACACAAAACTGACAAGGTTCCCCTCTTTATGTATTTTACATACCTTTGAGCCTCCCAAGTTGGGTGGTCTGTTGCCTTGCGTTTTCGAGTTGTCGTTAGACCGGTTTGTCCAATAGTCTTACTAGTCTCGTCATCATCATCCCGTAATGTTCGACATTCTTTGTTGCCGAGGGACCTAGCTCGTGCACATCTTCGTGGCGCATCCGTTCCCTTCATTGGACCTTTCCGCACCTGAGCCTTCCAAGTTAGGAAGGTTGTTGGTTTGCGCGTGGTATATATGTTGGAGCTAGGTGCCAGGTTGTCGAATGTCTCAATATCCTTGTCAGTTTTGTGCCTCGTTGTCGCACTATCTGACTGTATATTATCTCGTTACCTTGGTGGACTATTAGTCATAACTACACGAGAGGCAATATGCTTTGGTTCTGCAAGAGTGCTCAATGCCTGATTCAGGCAGAGCGGCGTACACAAAGGCACACAATGAAAACCTTGGCAAATTTATTCCGTTGTGACTCCGAGTTTCATGGCTGAACCAATCATCGTTGTCTGATGATTGGTTCAGCCATGAAACTCGGAGTCACAACGGAATATATTTGCCAAGGTTTTCATTGTGTGCCTTTGTGTATTAGTCATAACTAGTAACTTATAGGTCCTTTTCTCTTTACATCTTATTATTTTTATATTTTTATATCACAGTGCACATACCTACGGAAGAAGGGGAAAAAACCAAAGACAAAACAAAAAGAAAGAACAATGGAGGTGTAGGCGCTACATGAGCTGCACTGGCGAGGTGCGGTGAACTCACCCGACCAAGGGTCTCGGGATCGGCGTACACAAGAAGCACCATGGGGGGGGGGGGGCGAGAGGAATGACGGGGAGTGAGAGACCGAGATAGAGTCAGAGAGAGAGAGAGAGAGAGTGTGTGTGTGTGTGTGTGTATGTGTGTGAGTGTTTGAGTGTGTGAGTGTGTGAGTGAGTGAGCAAATGTGTGTGTATGTGTGAGAGAGAGAGAGAAAGAGAGAGATAGATAGATAGATAGAGACGGCGAGAGGAAGAGAGAGAGGGAGAGAGACAGACTAGGGGGAGAGATAGATAGAGAGAGAGATAGAGAGCGGATAAAAGAGAGGAGAGAGAATTATAATATATTGTTCTGTGTGTGTTTTTGTTGTTGTTTAGAACAATGCCGTTTGACTTCTGGGATGATGTTGTCCTGCCAGCATGGCGTGACATAGCTCCATGCCAGATTACACATGAAGCATTCATGAAGGTCCTCACGGCAATTGATGAACATCATCCACATATCAGCAGAGATGCCATTATGAAGAGACACGTGTTGTTTTTTAAGGAGCACTTCACCAGCAGAAGGTGTGTAGAAAAGGAGAGGTTGGTCACCTATGTTAGCTTGGTGATTGTCTACAAGAGAGGGCCATCAGGCGTCCAGAACTTCATTCAAGCCATCCAGTCTTCATCTTTCCCATCCAATGGTGTTGTTGGTGGACTGCTGGAGAGAATTTGGCAAGTTCGTAAGCATGATCATCCTGATGAAGATGTCAAGGATCCATGTGAGTAAATGATTGCTATAAAGTTAGTTCTAACACTTGCACACATAACAAGAATAGGATTTCGGCCAGGTTTTGCCCCAGAAGCACTGATTTGGGAAATCCATCAAAAAATCCAGGCCGTTTGACCCCGCCTGAAAACAGTGCATTGTGCGGTTCGAACCCCAGTCCAGGTAACCTCTTTGGACCTGGTTTTAAATTTCAAATTTCGAAGCACTGAGTGTATACGATAATATCACAAACACGGCAGCTCACCAGAGCCAGGGACCATCTTTTTTATGAATGGACTGTAGAACCGGCATACCATCAATGGGAATGAAAAACGAGCCGATGTAGGATAATTACAACTCATGCATTGCACCATCGTGTCACGGGTTTTAGTCAATACATGTCTGTACAAAAGTACTGAAATGAACATGATTGCACTCACTATAGTGTAATTGTGCTATGTAAGTTTAATAACGAGACGTGTAGATCTTTACTTGATCAACTGATGCCAAGTATTGTTTGGTGCAAAGATCCATCAATCTTTGTTATGCTACATGGAGTTTAGACTAAAACTGAGCATGTATGTCACATATGCTGTATACAGTCAAATTATCAAGCAATGCATTTGCAATACTGAAGACTACCCGAAAGTTATAAATTATTATTTGAAGTAAAGAAAAAAAGGACCAAGAAACTACAAGTTACGCTATAATGTCCACTAACACCACCAGTTACACCAGTTACAGTTCCCCTCCTCATGTTATTTCTATAAACGTACTACTGGAACCTTCCAAGTTGGAAGGCTGTTGGAGTGCGCATCCAAGATGTGCAAGAGCTGTTGGCCAGTTAGTTGTTGAACGTCAGTACTGTCGATCAGTGTCGTATAATGTTATCGCATGCCTGAGCTGATTGTTTCGTAAATGGCGGTGTGAGTGGACATTATAACGTAACTTGTAGTTACTTGGTCCTTTTTTCTTTACTATAAATTTATCCTTGGCTCTCCATCCGAGTCCATTATTATTTGAGTGCACATTTTGCCTGAGTTCAAGTGTAGTCTAAAAATATACTTCCTCCGCACCACCGAAAAGTGCACTTATTTTTTAAGAGCCTGTGAGCAATCATTCCTTGACATTGGCAAAAGAGTACGTCAAAAATCGGATCCAAGTATCTAGAAAGGGAAAAGACATATTGTTATGTTATGACGTAATGCCGTACAACTTTAGCTCTACTGTGTATGCACGTACGCATATCTTTGAAGGTCTTCTCTGTCGTTTACAGATTGAATCTTGTCAGTTTTTCTACTTCGTATATTCTAACCAATAAACTACTTGTCTCTTGTCTACCGAACCTAACATGGCGCAGTGAACTACTAGTAACCTGAGTACGGAATATTTGACAGCCTGTAGTTGTCCGTGAATTCTGTAGCCTTTTATTTTCAAACGATCGATCGTGTAGCATAAGTGTCTTGTAGTTGTAGAATTTGTAGAATTGTCGTGATGGCGGAACCTGGAATTTCCCCAATCAGTGCTGAAATCGTATCCCTGCTCGCCTTGATGCAGCAGCAGATGAAAGCGGCTGAGGCACGCGAGACTCGCCTCACCACACTGGTCGAAAACGCAACGCGCGACAACCAGGCACCACCCAGCACTTCGACATCAGGCTGCAGTCAGAAGCCGATTTCTGTCGAGCGACCGGTGTTGCTCAGCACTGCAACCATGGCCGATTTCACGGCATGGGAGGAGGCTTGGAGAGATTATGCTGTGTGCCAGCACCTCGCCAGCCAAAGTCGTGAGACTCGGGTGTCCGCTCTTCGCCAGGCGTTCGATGCCGACATTCGTCGTTTCATGCGCGAAGATGTGATTGTCATCTCCCACAGTGCCGATGCTCCAGAGATCATCATAGCAGTAAAAGCGTACATCCGACGCCAACGGAACCCCCTCCTAGATCGAATTGCGTTTTACAATAGAAAGCAGCAGCGCAATGAGTCATTTGACTCCTTCTTTACTGCAATGAGGGAGCTGTTTGCACAGTGCGATTTCCCTGACATGGAGCTGTGCAGCACATGTACACCTCAGCTATGCAGTACTTGTCCCCAGAGCCTCCGCAAGGTGACGGACGACATGATGCGAGACCGCATCGTAGTTGGCATAGCCAACGACGACACGCGCCATATCCGTTCGTATATTCTAACCAATAAACTACTTGTCTCTTGTCTACCGAACCTAACACATATTTCTTAGCCGACGTTTGATGATGACTCAAGCTAATGGGGAGTCAAACCCTCTCCAGTATACTGTAATCAGCATCGAGTGACACAGACACACACACAAAATATGAGTCATACAATGTGTGAAAGTTTCAACTTCCGTGCTTCTGGGCTTTGCACGCAAAACCAGTTTGCGCAGCTATTGCACGCATGCCCGACATGTGGGCTCGTGCATGGAAAACCTGTACGCATTGCTGCGATCGCGAGGTCCTGTACGCACTAGCTGCTATCCGCGGAACCCGGCGCTGTACTAGCCTGCAGAACGCAGTTTCAAATTGGAGTGCTTTTTGTTTCAAGCTCCTGCACTGTAAGTTCTCCATCTCCTGCCAAAGTCTGAACAAGTGAAATACCAGTAGCTCACATTATGTCATTGATCCGCCTGGACCTGTACAGCTGAAAGGCTACAAATGAACCTTGACTACTGGTCAGAGTGCAGAGCTTGCACAACGTGCAGAGCTTGAGTACCATGCAACTCTGAGTTGAGATCTACTTTTGTTCCAATGGAATTCTGCTGAAATACTATGGAGAGGCTGGTTCGGGAAAAGTGCTCTGCTGGTCCTTAGGCTGTGGCGTGCTGTTGTTTAGAATTTGATGTTGTGCCCGCAGCCAATTTGTGATTCCTCTTACGCCGTACGAGAGTAGAAAAGCCTTCAGATTACTCTTGCTAGGTAGATCGTGTCTCTCAAGTACACACTGATCCTGCCAGCAATGAGAATGTGGCCAGTTTTTAAAGGCAACATGACAAACTTATACTATGGAAAAGATAAGCGCACATTGCGGTGGGGTGGCGAAAGTATGAAGATGACATTCACACAAAGACAAATAAGCGGGAACAAGTACGGAAAAGTGTGTACACTGGGGGCCAGAAGACGGTGCAGCAGCATGTACAAAGGGGTGACAAAAACACAGCAAAAACGCAGCAGCAGGCCGCAACAGAGTGACACAAACGCAGCAGCATGTACAACATACCTATTTGTATACAGCATATTATTTCCTAGTGTGCAGATCAAATGCAGTCTTTGTTATGGTAATACAGTGTATATACAGCTTGTGTGGATATGGGTATACGTATAGCTCATGACATTCCATGCTCTGATCAATTGACACCAGTTGTTCCACACCAGCAACCATATAGCCCAACTCAACCTCTTGTGCTCAGCTGTGCCTTGCTATGCTTGTGCCACACCACGTGCACACACACACGGTGACACTCCATGTACACACACCAAGTGCACACACACACACCACATGCACCTTTTTTGCCCTTTTGAGTTTTGACGCCCATCACCGAGGCGATGATAGCGATGCTACAGCAGAAGCCATAGCAACTTGTGCTGGAATTGCACCATTGAACAGTTTACAAGGCTGAAGAATTGACCGCCATTATCCTGAACCTTGTCTACACCACACAGCTATTTGAAGAGGCCATTTCTGGCCAGTGAATCCCTACTTTTTCGTTTTCGTTTTTTCCAGCACACATCACATCACATATTCCACCATGTACTGGCTGTTGGGAACCACCCAGGATTTTTCATACCGCGTGCACACACACACATACACACACACACACACACACACACACACACACACTTGTACTTGTACTTGTTGCTCACTGCCAAAACTGGTCACGTGGGTCTCCCCGGGAGAGGGGAGAGAGACTCAAAAGGAATCTTGGAAAGATGACTCAATTGGCTATTGAACCGCCCAACGGCCGACACCCCCTGAAATCCCCAAAACTCTGGGTGGACTTGAAAATGATCCAACTTATGGGCTCACCACACCTCAGTAAGTGGGTGAGGACAAGGTGCAGAAAAAGGATTGACGGCATCAGGGTATCCGTCCTGGGATCCAACTGCAGTTACCCCTGCCCCCAGTGAAGGTAATACTTGCTACTAGTGCGGGTGGCTAAATCAGGCTGGATCTGATTTAGACATCACTAGCACCATCGATTACACAAGAGTTAATCTAGCCAGAAGCAGTCCATGGTTAACAGGTATGTATACTTCAAATAGAAAGTATATGAACCCTGGAACCAACAAAGGTGGCAAGTACAACATTACACCTTCAAGCAGCCGAGCCCGTTGGCAACAGACCCAACACAATCAGGCATAAGTGTACCCACCAACCGAACTAGCTGGCACACACACACACACACACACACACACACACACACACACACACACACACACACACACACACACACACACCAGACACACACACACGCACCAGACACACACACACACACACACCACCACCACCACCACCACCACCACCACCACCATGTACCACACACACACACCAGACATACACACACACACACACACACACACACACACACACACACACACACACACACACACACACACACACACACACACACACACACACACACACACACCTCAGACCTCAGACCTGCCCATCGCGGAAGCGATGATAGCGAACAGCTATATTAGACATAGCAACTTGTGCTGGAATTACACCATTCAACAGGTTGCAAGGCTGATGAATTGACCGCCACTAATTTTAGTCTGAAATCCACCACACAGCTGATTGAAGTGGCTTATTCTGGCCAGTGAATCCCTATTTTTCCATTTTTCCATTTTTTCATTTTTTCATTTTTTTTGGACACACACGCCACACCACATACTCCGGCATACACTGGCTGTTGGTAGCCACCCAGGATTATGAAAGAAGAGCTAGGAGATGAGAAAGAGAAGAAAAACATGTGCGACCATAGTCGTCTGGAATTGAACCCGCAACCTCTTGATTGGAAATCGACTGCACATACCACTGCACCATATGGGACACACAGGGACACACACACACACACACACACACACACACACACACACACACACACACACACACACACACACACACACACACACACACACATACGCACCCACACAAATACGTGTATACGTAAAGTCCGCTGCAAGTGCCCACTTCGCAGCAAACGCTCACCACAGCGGGTCCATAGTATTTTCGTCTTTTTCAGGTCAATTTAGTTGTAGAAAACTGGCATGAAGGTCGAATGCGTACAAGAACGACTGTAATGCCTACACAGTGCCTATGTCTTCAGAACGGAACCGTGATTGTTCTGACGAAGCGTCATTCGACGACTTGACCAGTCGCAGTATTGCAGTTGCAAGTCGAACAGGGGAGATGTCACAAAAGCTACACCTACAAAGTCGCTACCAACTTGTTGACAACTCTGAAGTGCTCGAGAAAAACCCTTGCCTTTGCGTGTTGCGTGATTTGGAAATGATGGCTTGAAACACCTTCAGAAGTATATTTGGTTCCTGCAATACTCTGCTCTTTGCTATCTTGTTATTCGGAAGAAAAACCCATTTGGATTTGCGAAATACAACAAACAACATCATAAAATCACTACGAGCCAGCTCGTAGCTAGTGCCCAAAGAGACTTTGAAACCAGGAAAGTGGACATTGTTTACCGTAGCAAAGCGCTCTTCGCGCCACGGTGTGAGATGCACTTTCGTACAGTGGGAGTGACAGTGCATGGGGTCAGTGCGTACAGGCCAGCAGATCTTGCACAAGGCGGTGGGAATTTGCAGCGGGCTTTACGGTACACAAACACACACACACATACGCACGAAAAACACACACACACTATTGGACCAGACATAGTGGTTACAATAATGTGTCCTGTTTTTCTTGTGTATTATTCGCTGTCTGTAGATTTCTTCACAAGGGTTGTCAAGAGCAACCTACCACAGATCATCGCCAAACTAGCGACCGTACCAGATATAGTGCTCACTGAAGTATTTAGAGATGTCGACCTGGATGAAGAGGTTATCAGCACTTATCGAACGGCATGTGAGGTGGCCGGTCATGTGCGTGATCTTCCACTTTGCAGTCAAGCACACATCGGGGCGTCTTTACTGTACCCAGTGACCGGCTTTCTGTTTCTCTTTTATTCCTTGCACCGTCCTGATCTCACTCAACGACTGGATAACGATTTCCTGATCAAGATCGACCGTGAGGCAGGATGTGATGGGAGTAGTCTTGTCCAACTGTTGAATTTGGCTATTGATTTACAGAGCGATAGTAAGTGACAATTTGAAGACTGTGATGCAAGTTAAAGAATGTCCATGATGGTGAATCCTAGTCAATGGATGATGCTGGTCTTTGTCTTAGTGTGCATACCAGCTGAAGGTTATATGAAAATACAGTTGTCTTATACTAGCAGAAATGTTCTAAATGATATTAGCTGTGTTCCAATTTGTTTAGTATACGTTATGTTCAAGCCTTGGTTTCCATTGTGAGAGAGAATGAGGAATTTTATTGAAATCGTCCATACCTAATCATAATGGGACTTTCTCCCGGTGACTTGACTTGACACTTGACTGACTCACGACCGCCATCCAGATCACACAAGAAGTCCATTGAACTGTTGAAGTCGGCAGGAAAGCGCTAGCTTCAGTGTTGGGAGCAAAACATGTTCTGATGAAATGATCGCCAAAGTCGCAAACTCTTTTTCATAACATGGTAAAGTAGCCTAAACCTGCCTGTCATGTTTGTGGAAATCACCAGCATATTGTTTAGTATTGTCAAAATGCCAATTTTCTGAACTTAAAGGGGAAGTTAAGGCAAAAATTAAAATTTCACCAGTTGTAGTCTTCGGGGTGCTGAGTCGAATGGTCTTGGTCCGAGAAAGCTGAGACGCTCCCTTCCTACTTGAATGCCAATCGAACTCGCGCACTTCCACCGAAACTGGGTGACTGCGCCCTACTAGATGGGGATTTGTATGCAAAATGTCACTAAAAGCGCCATTTCGTTCTTATAAAAGCACGGATGACCGCGATTGGCCCATATGTTGTAGTCTTTTGGACGCTGAGTCGACTGGTTTTGGTCCGAAAAGGCTGCGATGCAGCGTTCCTCCTTTATTCCCAATCGAACATGGTTGAAGAAGCGGTCACGTGCTCCTGGGTGCCCAAATCACCTGGTCACCACGCCAGCAGGCGACAACTTTCACACCAAGGTTCAACTCGAGTTCAACTCGAGTGACAGGACTGCACCCAAAAAAGGTCAAACAGGCTAGTAAGTTGTACCCTGCAGGCACGGTGACCAGGTGACTGGTGTACGCAGGAGCATGTGACCACTTGTTCAACCATGTTCGATTGGGAATAAAGGAGGAACGCTGCATCGCAGCCTTTTCGGACCAAAACCAATCGACTCAGCGTCCAAAAGACTACAACATATGGGCCAATCGCGGTCATCCATACTTTTATAAGAACGAAATGGCGCTTTTAGTGACATTTTGCATACAAATCCCCATCTAGTAGGGCGCAGTCACCCAGTTTCGGTGGAAGTGCGCGAGTTCGATTGGGATTCAAGTAGGAAGGGAGCGTCTCAGCTTCCTCGGACCACGACCATTCGACTCAGCACCCCCGAAGACTACAACTGGTGAAATTTTAATTTTTGCCTTAACTTCCCCTTTAATGGACCAGCAATCCAAGCAATACTCGTAGAGAATTCTATTGTGATTCTTCTGATCTCACCTTCATATACAGCAGGTACCGCAATGTCAATGATGAATGATGAAGGTGTGATTGCAGTGAGAGAAGGACCAGGAGATACAGTTGAAGGTCAGTACTGTCCTTGTAGTGGTCCTCCATTAATGCACGACCCTATTTTAGGGGAATGCATACTCAAAGTTTGTCAGCCTGAGCCTTACGCTCGCATTCCAGCGCAAGCTTTACAGTGTCCTGCGAATTAGGACTACCTTTCTCAGCGCGGCCAGCAAAACTGAGTGTCCACAGAGTTACCGAGGAACATCTCAGCCTGACAGTAAATCCTTCTGCGAATTAGAGCGCCGTGGAAATGAGTGCCCAAAAGGTCAGCGCAAAATACCCCAGAGAGACAGAAAAAGCGTGTGATTAAGTTAGCACAACCTGATTCTTCCAGAGATCATTGCTATTTATGTGTTACACTCGGTGGTGTCGCACACTTCATGGCCGGTAAGACCAAGGTCGTCCGATGTGGTCTGCTCAATTCATCCAAAAAGCAGTAATCATTTCGTAACATCATACACTTCTACATACACTTGTGCAAACACTGTGCACACAACTCATGGAGTTGACTTGGAGTAGACCAGGGTAAGCATATGTGCCCTTTATTGGTACTGTTCTGTCTGGACCCACAGTTGTTGCCAGTAGACTAGTATACCGAGTACACTCATACCTCTCTTATCCGGGCGCTTCGGGACCGGACACTGCCCGTAACTTCGAGGGTGCCCATAACTCCGAATCATATACATCTTGATGGGGAAAGGCCATCGATATGGCATATGACGTCAATATTTCTATGAAAAGTGACAAAAGAGTAGTAATATTTCCCCTGAAACTCGCCCAAATAGTGCCCGGTAGACCGAAGTGCCCGTAACTTCGAAGTCCGGATAACCAAGGTATGAGTGTACTAGGTAGTTGTATTTAGTGCTGGGTGCTATGTGCTATGTAGTTACATTGACTGTTGCTGCAGTGTCCATGTAAACATGGTAGTCTAGATGTACATGTATGTCTTCAGCTCACACACGCACACACACACACACCCTCGCACGCACACACTCACACGCACACACACACACACACACACACACACACACACACACACACACACACACACACACACACACACACACACACACACACACACACACACACACACACACACTCACACTCACACACACAGATTCACAGAATCACAAAGACAGTATACTAAGAAACGAACACCTAGCCTACAGGATACCAGTTAATCAGCTATGGTAGATGTATGAGGTGTTGACATGTCATGTCGGCATGGAGACGGCCTTTCCATGGTAACTGGAGCTGTGAAAGAACTCAGTTCTGATTTGACTTGCTTACTTTTCTGCTGTGGTGAGACAATGGCAGTACGAAAAGGGAGGAATGCTCCACATAATCAAATTGAAGAAATGAGAAATGTTGCAGAGCGTGTGATTTCAGCAGACGTGTCACATGATTGGCAGACACTGGTTTGAACAGTGCTAGGATAAGAAGTGCTATGGAAATGTTTTGCACTGACACTCAGTGCATGACCACAGATACGTAGCGTGCAGATAATGTGGTGCAACTTCAAGAGGTTCAGTACTGAGACGATATGGACGTTGTACAGATGTATGAAGTTCTGTACTAAGGCCGTAGGTGTGTACAGACCCGTTCGGGTGTTCATTGTGTGCTATACATGCGCATTTGACCAATGTTAGCCTCATTTTTTTATGGCAAACAATCGCTTTTACAGTTTCTTCACTTTGGTTAGAACTAATTACTAGCTAGATCTTTGTCAGAAAAAGGGGTTCGTAAGAAATGCCTTCAGGGCCCATTTCTTAGTGGAAATAGCAGTAAACACAATAGGGTCCTGCACATTCAACACCCAACCGGGTCTACAGGATTCTACGAGATCCTACGGGATTTCGTGCATCTGTACAATGTGCATAAGGCTCATACCATCCTCTTCTAAGGTTTCATTTGCTCAAATTCACAGCAGTCAGTTACATTCCAATGAAAGTCTTGTGCTCAAATGGTCCTGCTAATCTGTTCATGTTGAAATTCTGGGGCTGAAATAGGATTATTCTGGGTGTTTTAGACTAGCTAAACCCAATACATCTTGAACATCCTTCCCATTTTTTTCAATATATTATTCTTCCTCATATCTACATCACGTGTATTGTGCTTTGTTCTGGTGTATGTGTATTGTGCAGCTGATAATGGCCAGTACGCAGCAGCACTAAGTGAGCTGATCAAGGAAGGTGTCCAGCTGATACCGTACGGGCGCCTGATAATGTGCGGGCCGGGCCGCACAGGCAAGAGCAGCTTCCTGCGATCTCTCCTGCGTCAAGCATTCATGTCAAAGGTCGATAGTACCATCGGTGTGGAGCTGGAGAAGGTGATATGCACGATCGAGAAGCAAGGGTTCAAGTATGTCTGGAAGCAAGCTGAAGATTCTTACCAGCAGCAGTTGGCCCTGACGCACAGAGCTGTTGGACAAGAACAAAGGAAGAAAGAGATAGTAGCAGCACTGAGACAACAAGGTGTGGAGATCCCACAGAACACCAGGTCCACATCCTCCATGCCATCAACACCCGTGACATCACCATCCGCTGTGATTGAGACTGAGCAAGCAGATGCAGCCAGTGTGTGTGAATCTGCTGTCAGCCAACAGGATGAAGCCACCCACACAGGGTACTCTGGTCAATCAGCTACCAGTTCATCTGACACCATGGACTCTCAGAATGTTTCCACTGCATCCAAGCCGGAGGAGGTCTCAACAATGAGTGTAGAACAGGTAGCAACAGCAGAGCGAGATGTGCAGCAGCTACAGACGGAGATCAACTCAGCAACGCAGAAGTTTGAAGGCTTCATTGAAGATCTGAAGAAGGGCAAAAGTGAAGTTTTCACTGCAGAGCATCTGAAGAACCTGACATTCATAGATGTCTGGGACTTTGCTGGTCAGAAGCTGTTTGCTGCGATCCAACACATGGTCCTGGCCTGTGATCGATGTGCATATGCTGTTGTATTTGATTCCTCAAAGAAGCTCCAGGACAGAGCGAAGCCGACGTTTGGTGTAGACGGTGAGGAACTGCCGCTTTCCAACAGCCTGCAGCAGACCAACTTCGACGTCATGGAGACATGGTTCAACGCTATCCACGAGGTCATTGGAGACAGCGACAACGTACCCGTGTTTGCCATTGGCACACATGTGGACAAGTTACCAAAGAAGCCAGAAGCAAGGAAGAAGGCAATTGAAGAGACTGAGCAGTATATCTGGGCCAATGCGGAGGGTAAAGCTTATGCTAACAACATCGACAAGGTGGTATTTGTGGACAACACACGAGCTGGCAAAAACCCGGAAGACCCAGCAGTTGTTCAACTACGTCACGACATCATCCAGCAGCTGCAGCATCAGTTCAGCGTTCCTATTCCACTTCGTTGGCTTCCTGTAACCATCTCCATAGGGCACATTGCAAAATCATTCGAACGACCATGGGTATCGGTTGACGAGCTACGTCGCTTGGCTATTGCTGTTGGTAGCATCTCCAGTGATGATCCTGAGTCCGATTTCCAGAAGATGGTGAAGTTCCACCATGATCTTGGTCATTTGCTTCACTTTATTCACAATGCCCGTCTTCGTGATCGTGTCATCATCGACATCCACTGGATTCTGAAAACCATGTCACTTCTCTTTTGTCCTGAACCGAAGAGTAAGCAGAGCAAGCGTCTTCGTCCACAGTACGACTTGCTGACACAGAATGGCATCCTCCTGGAAAGTCTTGCCATCCACCGCTGGTCGCAGCACAATCGTATGACATCGCGCTACACGGCCACAGAAGAACAACGTGATTTCCTGTTCGAGATGGGTGAGCACTTTGCACTGTTCTACAACACCAAGACAACTGTGAATGTGCCTGGTCAGAGGAAGGAGGTGACGACTCGCAAGTTCTTTGTACCAGCTCTGGTGGAACGAGTTGCACGTCTTCAAGATGAAGCGAGCAAAGGCAAGCCATGCCCAGCAATGTACCTGTACAGTGGTGCAGATCGTTACTTTCCACAAACCCTGTTCTGGTGTGGTGTTGTGAGGTGTATGCAACGCTACAGTCCAAAGGTGGATCCAATCCTCTATCACACGTCAGCACGTATTCTGGTGAAGGATCGCTTCTGGCTTGTCATGCAGTATTTCCAGCATGGCATTCGCCTGTCACTTGAGATTCCTGTCGCAGCTGGCACAGCTAAGTCTTCTACTAGCAATGCTGGTACTCGCACGGATGAGTCAGTTGGCTCTCCTGGCGTTGGTACTGCAGCAAGCAAGGATGAGTCGGCTGCAGTCAAGATTTGTCACGAGCTTCTACCGTACCTGGAGTCGGAGCTTGACAAGCTGAAGGCATTCTCCCTGACTCACGTGAAGTTTGGCAGAGCTGTTCGCTGTCCATGCTCGTTCAGCCGAGATGCGTGTCGCAAACACAAGCAGAAGTCTTGTGTAGAGATTGGCTGTCAACACTTTGCACCATTGGTGGAGGGATCGCGTCCCCGTTGTCCTAGTGGAGCACGTCCAGAAGTGGATATCAGTGATGTACGGCAATACTGGCCATGCTTTGCCGAAGACACACAGGTAAAATATAGGTCATATTCAGTTTTCCGAAATATATTTTCCCCGTGCTTTGGGTGTATGGTCTGGCCCACTCGAGTGTATGGTCTGGCCCACTCGAGAGTATGTACAAGGCCAGGCCATGTTAGAATGGTGCAGCTGTTAGGACTGTGAGGGCAAGTTCTGATTTTCAGTTTCCCTGGGCTGGAAATGTTTCTGAATCTACCAACTCAAACACCAAGCACTCTGAACTCTAACCCGAACCAGTGTAGGCAATATTGTACAGTACAGCATGCACTCGCTGGCTCAGGGTTCGCTGTTTCCTTGACAACCACCTTGTGATGAGAGACACCGGCATGCACGTACACATTATTATTATGTGATGATTTTTGTTGAACCGTCTTGACAAGTCCATCAAACCCAAATCTTTGAGAAAGGATTTCCCGTGATTGCATTTCTCCATAATGTGAAGCCGGGAATTTTCGGTGGTGTAATATTTTCGGTATTTCCCAAAATCAACGGTTCGGTAGAGCGAATAAATTCGGTAAAGCAGTTTTCCAGATCCAAAAAATGCATTTTGCACACTGTGTGGCATGGGATTGTTGAATTTTAGTTCTCAGTTTATTTTAGGTAACAATTACCTGTACTGAAGTTACTGAAAATAAATCTGCTCCTAAATTTTCACTTTTCACAGTAGTGCTTGATGCCCGGAATGAGTACAAGTATATTTTGCTGCACTTGCAAGACAATAGCAATAGAAACATAAGGAGTTGATGTGGACAAATGCAATAGGGCTTGAAAGTGCTATACCACAACCAGGCCAGGGTCATGATAGCGCTGAAGTTAGGATCCAATTGTAGTCTAGTTTTGCACGGATCCATGCACATTTGAGTTGCCTCCTTCTCCGTAGGGTGACAAATCTACCCATACTAACTGTACTGCTCCCAACCCCCCAGTAGTGGGGACCAACTTCTGGCACTGAATCCAATTCAGTACACCTGCACTTGACACAATGACGGCCTACCTGTCAGATATGTATTTTGCTATGGCCGGAGTGGATCCCCCTGAAGTCGTTATCTGTTTATCTGTTGAGTTCTGACTTCATCATTTTTAGTCCCGGTACAAGTCTATAGTAAAGGGATGGGGGATTGGCTGGTGTAAATAATTTTCTTTGTCTGCATGCCACACTGCTGTGTTTCATTGATTCTCTCCAGATCCCAGAGCTTGCTGATACTGAGAAGCCAATGCCGGCAATGCCAATGACAGCTGTGGAGCCCGCAGTCAAGGACAATGGTGAGATAATTCAGTATAGTGTGAAATTGATAATATGCCCTGGAAAGTACTGTGCTGCTCAATGAAATCCGGTCACGGGAATCAAGTACATGCCCGGCGCTGTGCAACCCTAGACCTGCAAACACTGGTTTGTGACCTGGTGCAGGTCGCCGACTACTTACTTGACTCACTCGATCAGATTTCATTGAGCATTCCCTGTGGAATACGGGAATGCAGGCTGGAAAACGAGACATGAGAAGCTAGTACATGTATAACCTGCCTATCCCTGATCACTAGAGTGTAGGGTTCACGCAGGGAACGACATACTGGAATTGACCGTAATGTCGGGTACGAAGGCTGGATATAAGACTGAGATTATTCCTATAGAAACGTGTGTCAGTGCTGGGCTTCTATTCAAATCAGGTCGGTATTTAACCCTTTGTTTACAGACTGTACAACTTTCGATCCCCTGGGATCGAAACGTTTCAAGATTTCAATCGATCGTAACTCAGTCATTTCTGGGTTATTTCAAAAACTAAGATGTGTAGGTCGAAGAGAAAACTCCCAGCTGTCCATTGCCATTGGCATTGAAACAATCGCTGAAGCGCTCCGATGTGCGGTTCTGGGAATGTGTGTGTGTGTGTATGTGTGTGTGTATGTCGATCGAATCGATAGATTGCAGGTTCGATTCCCGACGATTATGGTCACACACGTCTTTCTTCTCTTTCTCAGACTCTTCCTGACTTTTCTTTCTTTCTCCTGGGTGGTTACCAACAGCCAGTGTATGCCGGAGTATGTGGTGTGGTGTGTGTGTAGAAAAAGAAAAAAAAGAAAAAAAATGGAAAAATGAAAAATAGGGATTCACTGGCCAGAAAAAGTCACTTCAAACAGCTGTGTGGTGGATACCAGGCTAAAAATAGTGGCGATCAATTCATCAGCCTTGCAAGCTGTTGAATGGTGTAATCCCAGCACAAGTTGCTATGTCTAACATAGCTGTTCGCTATCATCGCTCCCGCGATGGGCATGTCTGAGGTCTGCCGAGGTGTGTATGTGTGTGTGTGCATGTGTGTGTGCGTGAGTGTGTGAGTGTGTGTGTGTGTGTGTGTGTGTGTGCGTGTGTGTGTGTGTCCATTGTTCTTATCACCTGACGATGGCCAAGTGCCGAAACGTTGTAAAATAACGGAACTTGTTCGGATGTGCAGCGCTCTTGGAATGGGTGTGTCCACTCAAATTTCTTTCCATGTATTATCGGTGTTGTGCAATTCTATTTTTATTTGTTTCTGGACATGTAGTTCACTGTTGTGTGTACTTGTGTGTTCATGTGTCATCTGTGCCTTCTGTATTTTGCTGCTTTCGCAACAGACAATCCGTTTGACC